GACTTTTAGCTCTTATGTTTAGGTCTTTGGTCCACTCTTCAGTTAACTTTGTTCATGGTGTAGGTAAGGACCCAGCTTCATTCTTTTGCATGAGGATCCAGTTTTCCCAGCACCATTTGTTGAAAAGTCTTTCTCCATCGAATGGTCTCAGCACACTTGTTGACAATGTGCTGACCATATATGTGAAGGTTTATTTCTAGGCTCTTTATTCCATCCCACTGGTCTATGTCTATCCTTATGCCAATGCCATACTGTTTTGCTGATTGCGGCTTTGTAGTAAGTTTTGAAATCAGGAAGCATGAGTCCTCCAACTTTCTTCAAAATTGTTTTGTCCATTCAGGGTCCCTTGAGATTCCATATGAATTATATTACTTTTTGAGACAGGGTCTCACTCTGTCATCCAGGCTGGAGTGCAATGGGACAATCACAGCTCACCGTGGCCTTGAATCCTGGGCTCAAGTGATTCTTCCACTTCAGCGTCCTGAGTAACTGCAATGAGAAGCACAACTCCACCATGCCCAGCTAATAAAAAAAACATTTTTTTGAAGAGACAGGGTCTTGCTGTTTCCCCAGGCTGGTCTCCAACTCCTGGCCTCAAGCAATCCTCCTGCCTTGGCTTCCCAAAGTGCTGGGATTACAGGAGTGAGCCACTGCACCTGACCCCATGTGAATTTTAGAATGGGTTTTTCTATTTTTGCAAAAACTGTCATTGGTATTTTGATAGGGACTATACTGAATCTCTTCAAAGAGTACTGTTGTTTTTCAAATATAAAGTTATCCAACCCATGAACAAGGGATGTTTCCATTTATGTTTTCTTTACTTTCTTTCAGTAATGTTTTTCAGTTTTCACCGTTCAAGTCTCTTCCTTCTCACGGCCACTTCAGATGTTAGCCTCAATCTCAGAGAAATGGTGAGGCCAGGGACCCCAGGACACTTGTGGGGATGACAGGCAGGGCCTGAGTAAAGGTCAGAGGACTCCTTAATTTTTAGGAGAAAATATATTCTAGCATACCTCAGGTCTGAAAGCACTGAGTTAATACTCAAGTCTTCAAATATAAAAAGTGTCTTCCAGTGACAGATTACTCTCATAAAAAATTTGTCTTTATAACTCAAAATATCACCAAAACGAAAGTTTAAGATGTTCGCCAAAAAGAAAAACAAAAAAGTAAAAAAAAAAAAAAAAATGCTCACAGGATAAGCAGGCCCCAGGCTGAGCATCTCCACCACGTTCCAAGGGTCAGAAACGCTCCCGTGGCCGGCTGGTACATCACCTCTAAGCAGGTCGCTGGGGGTGGGGAGGGAGGGCCAGGCTGCCCTCAGACACAGAACAGAAGGGATGTGGAGACGGGGGAGTGAGGAAGACCCCAGTCTGAGGAGCTTGCTTGGCAGACGGAGCCCCAGGGAAGGGATGCTAAGGGACTGAGGGGCATTCCAGGTACTGGAGGGGGAGGTGATGAGAGCACAGGGAGGGGCCGGATGAGACGCGGCTTTAGCATTTCTCTGAACATAAAATGTACACTTGTGTGTATTGTTTTCTTAGTCATTCCACAAAAGCAGTAAACAATATGGAATAAGTACATTAATTGTTTAGTGTAAAAGAGCAGAACAGACTGAAGTGCTATCTGTACACAAGAGGCAGGTGGTGCGTGCACGGCTCCCCGGTGGGCCTGGCGGCATCTGGACCCAGATCCTGCCTTAGACTACCTGTGTGTCCCCCTCCCCTGAAATCTAAACGATGCCCACCTCACTTCGGGGTTAAAAAGGGTCGCCCGCAGGGAAGTCAAGGCCAGACCTCCGTGAAGTGAGTAGCAGAGCGAGGCTGCTGGACGAAGCGGCCCGCCCCACGGGCGATCGGAGGAAGGCTGGGGACCTGCGGGGTTAGGGTTAGGGTTAGCCTAACCTCTCACCCCGGCTCCCGTCCCTGGACTTGGAGCCCCAGCGAACGTCGGTAAACATGAGCGGCGTCACTGGTGGAGCTGACTCCAAGGTCCTTGGCGGGTTGATGAGCACAGGGAGCGGGCGGCTGCCAGTACCGCGCTCCCGCGGAAGGAGAGGACGCCCCACTTGGCAGTGGCCTCGGGATGCCCCCAATACCGCGCTGGGCGGAGGGCAGGGGCGCCCCGGCGGGGAGGACCCACCCGCGCCCCTCGCCCGCCCCGGCCCACCTGGAGAAGGGCGTGGGCCCAGCGCCCTTGAGCTGTAGCTCCCAGCGCTCGCCGGTCGCCGTGCACACCTCGCCCAAGTACATGGCGGCGCCGTCGCCCAGCTGCCCGGCGAACTGGCCGAACTGGTGGCCGCAGTAGCAGTGCGCGGCGGGCTCAGCGCCCGGCAGGAGCGCGTTGCCGCTGAAGAACAGCGCGGCCTCGGCCTCGGCCTCGGCCTCGCGTGCGGGCGGCGCGCCCAGGCCCAGCAGTGCCAGCGCGGGCTCCGACAGCGCCACAAGGCGCGGCTGCCGCAGCGGGGTGGGCCGCACGCGGGTGAAGCAGGCCCCGGGCACCGGGCGCGGCGCGGACTGGGCGCCCTCGGGACCAGGAGGCGGCGCCTCCACGGGCAGCGCGCGCAGGGCGCGGTTGTCGAAGCGCAGCCCCGCCAGCCAGCAAGGCGCGGGCTCCATGGCGGCGCCCGACAAGGTAGAGCCGGGCGCGGGCGACGGGTGGCAGCGGCCGAGGGGCAGGAGTCGGGCAGCCGCGAGCGAACCCCCGAGAGCAGCCCTGTACGCGGCCATCCGCGGCGGCGCTCCCGCCGGAAGCCAGCCTGTCCCGCCCGGAAGCCAGCCTGCCCCTCCCGGAAGCCCCGCCCCGCGCGTCCCGCAACCCAATCGCCAGTGGGGGTGTGTGGGGGCGGGAGGCGCGGTGTCTGGCCGGGCTCTAATTGGCTGCCTTGTCGGTCTGTCCGCATCTCCCTGCCGGAGGGTCTGAGGCGTCCGGGGTGGCCGCCGGCGTCGTGGGGCGCGCGCTGCCGCGAGCGGGGTGACCGATGGAAACGCCTCCCAGACCGCCAGCGACGACCCCGCTCGGGCGGCCCCGGATTTCCTCGGCTGCACCGGCGCCGGCAGCAGGGACCGAGGCCCACGTCCGTTCGGGTCGGGCCGGGGCTTAGCGCCGCGCCCCACAGGCGGCCGGGACCCCGCCCGGACCCCGCCGCAGCTCTGGGCCGCCGGAGCCTCGCGCCGCTCTCGGGGACCTTGTCCCGTGGCCTCCGGCCTCTCGGGCCCCTCGCCTGCCGTCTAGGAACGAAGGGGCCTTGGACCCGTGCCCCGCCCGGGGAACAGCGCCCGGGTTCGGAGAGGCCCCGCGAGGCCTGGGCGGGCACCGGGGTCTTCGGCTGGCTCGAAGGACCCGACCCCCGGGGGAGGAGTTTGGGGTCGGTGTGGCCCATTGAACGCGCGGGTTCAGACGAGCCTGTGGTGCCCCCGCTTTCCATCTCCTGCTGACCCGGCCCCAGAGGACAGTCCGAGAGGCCGGTGACCGCGGATCCTGGACGCGCCTCCCTCCTGCCTGTGGTTTCCCTTTATTCTGGCAGCGCTGTGAGTCCACCTTTCACTTACCGGAGCCACATCCAGAACCTTCTCCTGGGGCCACAGCGTGGGCTTCCGAGACCTGTGTGACCTCAGCTCTGCCCCTTCCAGGCTGCGTGGTGAAGCCCTCAGGACCCTCCGCGTGGGTTGGGCAGGTGACTGGATGAGGGACAACGTGGTGAAGTGCCCGTGCCCGACCCTCCCCTGCAGCCCACAGCAACCGTTCCCTCCTCAGCAGCCCCCGCCTGGCCGCTCTGGGCACCCCTGTTCCCTGTTCCCCAGGCCCTGGGCCCTCCTGGTCTGTCTCCTCGACCCCCGGCTCCGGTCTGGCTCAGTCTGTCCACACTCTGCAATCTGGTGGGACTGGGTATGGAGGGTCTTGAGTGTCAGCAGGCCACCTGCGTCCCACCTGGTGGGTGAGAAGGGTCCCACAGGTCAGCATGGAGGGACAGTGACCCTGTCTCTTCCGCTGGAAACCAGGCAAGCTCCCCCAGGGCCCCCGCAGGGCCCCCAGCACACGCTGCCCTGGAGCATGGGGGAAGAGGCCGGGATCCTTCATTACCTGAACCCCATTTCCAACACGTCACAAAACAGGATTTCCAAAATTAGAATTTATTTCAGTTTCTAAGGAATGAATCCCCGAGTGTGGCAGGAAGGACACGGCCAGCTCCTGATGCACACCTGATTTGACTCAACACTGAGTCGGGACAGACACAACCGGAGATGACCTGGGTCCAGGCTGGGGCTGCACAGGCTGTGTCCTGGACAGCCAGGAGGGAGGCCCCACACACAGACGGCCACCGGGCAGGGGGCCTGAGTGGGGCAGGCCCGGCCATAGCCCATGTCCTTGGTCTTCCACATAGGTCCACACATTCTCTGCCCACAGAGGGCCAGGACACCCTGGGCACCTCCTCACTCCGGGGGCTCAGGACACAGGCTTCCAGGTGAGGCTGCGCCTGGAGCCAGAGCTGATGTTTGGCTGCACACAAGCCCACTAGGGACAGACCCCAGAACACGAATTCTGTCCCCCTGGATTTAAGGCTGGTGTTTTTTGACATTTACTTCAGTTTTTCTCTTTGAAATTAAAATTACCTGAGTAAAAGATTTTGAGACATTAAAAAAGCCAAAAACACAGAATCCCTGCAGGCAGACGGCGCCGGGGAGGTGGTGGCCGGGGCCAGGATGCCGGGGGCATGGCAGGGTTGGCTGGAGCTCAAGGGCGGGGCCTTTGTCCCAGTCTCGCCTGCCCTGGAGCCCCCAGGAGCCACCCCTGGGCCGAAGCTCCCATGGCCGGAGCACAGGAAGGCACAGTGAGGTAGGGACAGTGGCCATTGTCCCCCGCCCGCCACCAGGGCTCAGAGGGCAGCGCACACCTCGGCTCCTCCTCCAAGCCCCTGCCCCCTCGGAGCTGGGCATCTTGTCCAGAGGCCGGTGAACGGCCCCTGCAGTATGGGAGGGGAGGGGCTGCCGGGAGGCCTGAGCTCAGACAGTTAAATAATCCTTTATTTGGGTGGGCTGGGGGAGGGGTGACTGGACCAGGAGGGCAGGCGAGGCCGGGCCCAGACCCCCATGGGGGGTGGCAGGGGCCTCCGGCGGGCTAGGATGCGCCTGGCACCCAGGAAGTGCCGCGGGGGCACTGGCTCCTCAGGGGCCCGCGCGGGCGGGGAGCAGTCTCCTACTTGTGCCGGGCCTCGGTCACCCTCTGCAGGCAGTACTGCGCGGCGGGCAGCGACAGGACCAGGCTCGCAGTGCGGCGGCCCATCCAGTACAGACTGTAGCCCAGCAGACCGAAGAAGGCGGCCTTCAGGGCCAACCGAGACACTCTGCCGGAGACGGACGGTGGGGGCACGCTGCGGGAGGGAGGGGGTGCTGGGCCTGGCTGGGGGTGGGCTCCCCACACCCCAGCCCCCACGTCTGGGTCCCCACCACGTGCGGTTGGCCTCCCCGGGGCTCAGCCTCCACCTGGGGGCTTGCAGGGAAGGGCTCGCGGGGTGGGGTGGGCGCTTACGTCATGATCTCCTGGATGTTGAGGTCGGTGCTCCAGTTCTTCTCAATGCCAGGCACGTGGCCCATGCCCACGACGCCCACAACCACAGACGGGACACACTTCCTGGGCTCGGCTATGGGGAAGGACAAGGGGTCAGTACCTGCTCGGGCCTCAGCCTCACGGGCGGCCCGGTGCCCAGGGACAGCCGTCACCGTCAGAGGCCCGAGGCAGCTCAAGGCGCCGGGCGGCCTGGCGCAGCATGTAGGTCAGGTAGACGTCGCGCTCCGAGACAATGGTGCGGTGCAGGTCCGGGAACTCGCCGATCATCTCAGCCATCATCTGCTCCAGCAGGTCCTTCTGCTTGCAGCGCTCCACGTCGTCCTTGCTGTGGAGAGGGTGGCTGCAGCCCCGCAGGGATGGGGCAGCGTGTCGGGGGAGGGCTGGCACCGTGGACACCGGGCAGGGACCACAGCACGTTTGTTTGGGATTTGTGGCAGACAGAAAGGGCAGGGAAGGCCTCGAGTGAGGACTGGCTGCGCTTGGACCTGCACAGGAAGGCCTGGAGCCTCCCGCAGACCACCCTGCAGGCCAGCCGGGGTCCTGGGGGCAGCCCTACCTGATGGGGTCTGACAGGAAGCACAGGCCCCAAGCCAGCCTGACCTTCTGCCAGAAGGAGAGCGCAGCGATGGCCCTCTTGAAGGTGACAGGGATGGGCCGGTCACCCAGGTGGAACTTGCAGAAAGGCACCTTGCTGGCCTGGAGCAGAGGCTGGGCGTTGGGGAGCAGTGGGAGCCCCAGACCACCCCTGTGAGCCACATCCCTGTGGTCACCCCCTACCTCGCCCTGTGCCCACCTCCTTGAAGGCCTCCCTGAACTCGCCGCCCGGGGCCATGCCCAGCTGCTCGGTGATGTGCGCAGACACCTTCAGCAGCAGCATCTGCATCAGCCCCGACATGAGCCCGTTCTGCAGAGACAGGGAGCAGGCATCAGCTGGAGGGGTGGGGCTGGGGGGTGCGCTGGGGGAACGGCAGAACTGGGATGGCAGGCAGCACCAGCACAGAGCTCCGCCCTAGCCCCGTGCTGTGTCCTCGGCCCCCCTCCCCGACAGGTGTAGGACCACCCTAGCATGCAGAGGGTGGGACCAGAGCAGGGAGTGCTGGCTCAACAGTCACTTCTCAAAGGTAGCTCCCTTCAGAAAAGGCCTTCACAGGCCGGGTGCGGTGGCTCACGCCTGTAATGCCAGCACTTTTGGAGGCCAAGGCAGGCGGATCACTTGAGGTCAGGAATTCTCTCAGACCAGCCTGGCCAACATGGTGAAACCCCATCTCTACTAAAAATATAAAAATTAGCCGGATGTGGTGGTGGGCACCTGTAATCCCAGCTACTCAGGAGGCTACGGCAGAATCACTTGAACCCCAGAGGCAGAGGCTGCAGTGAGCCGAGATCACACCACTGCACTCCAGCCTGAGCGACAGAGCGAGACTGCTCCATCTCAAAAAAAAAAAAAAAAAGAAAAAAGATCTTCACGAGGCGGTCTTGTGCTGCAAAGGGGCCGCCTTGAGCTGGCACGGACACTGGGTGCTGGGCAGGCAGGCTGGAGAAGGGGGCTCGCCACTCACTTGCCTGCTGAGGCCAGCACAGCACTGCCGCTGGTGCAGACGCCAGGCCACCCACATCTTCAGCAACCACGGCCTGAGACCTACTGCCCCGGGTCTCACCGGCCAGCTGGGGCCACAGGGGTGTCCACGCATGGAGATGTTGCCCACAGAAGGGCAGCAAAGCCCCGGGGACCACACAGCGCCGGGCAATTGCTCACACCCTGCACACGCCCAGGGAAGGTCTGGGCCTGAGCCCTGGGAATGTCCCGTCTGATGGAGGGCCCGTGTTTCTCCTGGGCCCAGGCCACCCTGGAGAGCCCAGGCTAACTTAGGATAAGATGTGCATGGGGCCTTGGTCTGCTGGGACCAGCTCCACCTCTGGAGGGGCTGGGGCCTGAGCTCAGCTATGCCTGTGACCAACCCTGGTAGAAACCCAGACACCAGGGCACAACGAGCCTCCCCCGGGGGGGACAGGTGAAGCTGATGCCTGGTGTCTCCCAGACCCTGCCCCACACCCCCTTCCCTCTGTGATGCCGCAGCACTGAGCACCACAGCACTGCCGAATTCTATGGCCCTTTGAGATCACTGGGCCCCAGGCTCTGGTGGGGAGGCTCTCTGGCACTGGGCCCTGGCTGGACTGGGGACTGCCCTTTACAAGATGGCCCACAGAGGTCCTTGGTGACTTCCCTCACCTGGAGAAATTAAAAAATGAAAGGCAGGTGCCAAATGTTCAGGGACGTTTCTACAAGATCTCATAACAATTGTTTCCTTTGAACAGGGGGAAGGCAAACTGACTAGGGCTGGGGTCAGGTATCCCTTTGAAAACACAAAGATCGGCCGGGCATGGTGGCTCATGCCTGTAATCCCAACACACTCTGGGGGCCGAGGTGGGTGGATTGCCTGAGCTCAGGAGTTTGAGATGAGCCTGGGCAAAATGGCAAAACCCCATCTCTACTAAAAATACAAAAAATTAGCCGGGTGTGGTGGCGGGCACCTGTAATCCCAGCTACCCAGGAAGCTGAGGCAGGAGAATCCCTAGAACCCAGGAGGCGAAGGTTGCAGTGAGCCGAGATTGCACCACTGCATTCCAGCCTGGACAACAGAGCGAGACTCTGTCTTAAAAAAAAAAACAAAACAAACAAAAAAACCAAAAACACAAAGAGCAATGAGAAAGTCCTGCCTCAGCAGTCACTGCAAGGCTGGAGAAGTGGGGACAGGAGGAGCCCTGAGCCCCACCCACTTTGGGGCCTGGGTGTGGTACCTGGGGGGCCAGCATTGCTGTGAGACCTGACCCAACCCCAGTGAAGGCTCAGCAGCCCAGTCCTCGGGCGACCAGCCCCGGTCTCAGCTTGGAGAGCCACCCGTTTCCCCCTCCCTTGCCTGAAACTGGGTAATGGAGCCTCTTACCTTTCTCCTGCCCCAGGGGAGGTCCCCAACCCGGCAACCCCCAGTGCGGGCCAGGCACAGCCACACTGACTGGGGGCATGGGCCGTGGGAGGAACCTGTGCAACAGTCGCACAGGTGGCTTTGACCCCAACCCCGACCTGCAGCTGCGCACCTGCCTCACGGCCTGCTGCAGCTTCTCCAGGCTGAGCTCCTGTGCCTCCCGCAGCAGCGTGCTCTCATCCATCTTCAGCATGGACACACGGTACTGGCAGAGCTCCACAACTACCACGTCAGGCTGCACCTCCCGGATGGTCTGCAACAGCCGCAGGCCACGCCTTGTGAACATGGCCAGCTCCCTGCACAGCTGACACCAGCACCTGGGGCCCCATCCCAGGGGCAGCCAGCGTTGGCGTCACCCCAGGACTAGCTAACCCCGCTGCTGCAGTGACAGCTCGATTCTTTTTTGTGTGTGTGTGTGTATTTCCAATTACTCATTATTTTGTTGAGACGGAGTCTCGCTCTGTCGCCCAGGCTGGAGTGCAGTGGCCGGATCTCAGCTCACTGCAAGCTCCGCCTCCCGGGTTCACGCCATTCTCCGGCCTCAGCCTCCCGAGTAGCTGGGACTACAGGCGCCCGCCACCTCGCCTGGCTAGTTTTTTTTGTATTTCTTAATAGAGACGGGGTTTCACCGTGTTAGCCAGGATAGTCTCGATCTCCTGACCTCGTGATCCGCCCGTCTCGGCCTCCCAAAGTGCTGGGATTACAGGCTTGAGCCACCGCGCCCGGCCGTGTGTGTGTATTTTTTAGTAGAGACAGAGTTTCACTGTGTTAGCCAGGATGGTCTCGATCTGCTGACCTCGTGATCCGCCCGTCTCGGCCTCCCAAAGTGCTGGGATTACAGGCTTGAGCCACCGCGCCCGGCCGACAGCTCGATTCTTTAAGCAACAAGAGAGGAAGCTGTGAAGCTTGTTCACTTGTCAAGTGGGAAGACGCACGAGGCTGTTATGGCTCGCAGGCAGGAAGCCCACTGCGCCACTCCCAGGGACCAGAGTGTTGAAGCAGATGGCCTGCGGTGCACACACACGGGCACACGGGCCCTGCCACGAGGTCCCTTTGAGTGCAGGACACAGGAGCTTACACCGGGCTGTGGCAGGCGGTGGCGCTCACCTTCACGACATCCCTCTTGCTGTCGTCGCTGAAGTGGGCTGTCCCCACCACGTACACCCTGCTCCCATCTTCAGCCACCAGCTGGGTCACAGTGCGAGGCAGGTTGGGCTGCTGACGCCGCCGCTTTAGCTTCATCTCCAGGAGCAGATTGAAGGCGTCCACGTCGGCTGCAATAGCAGCAAAGGCCGTTGTGAGGCCGGGCCCACCCAGGGACACCGCCAGGCCCACCCCAGGGATACCACCAGGCCCCTGGCAGCCTGGGCTCCGGAACCCTCCCGGGTTCCGACAATCAAACAGGTGCAGAGCACACGCCCCCTGGCGAGCATCACACACCACATGCTTGGCCTGCCCAGTGACAGGAGCACCAGCTACCAACTCTGTGAGCTGGATGCCGTCGAGAAGCCAGGGCCTCAGGAGTCCTGTGCCCCATACACCCCGTGAGGGCGACCTTGGGGGCTGCTGTGGATGACGCCTGGTGTGGGGGACAGTGGGGGGCGGGTGCTGCACGGGGCTTAGCTAGGGGAGGGGCTCTAAGGCAAAGCAGGCCCCCCACACCACTCAGGAGGGACAGGCTGAGGCCACAGCAAGGAGGGACTCCCATGCCGCTCACACTACTTGTGCTCAAGAGCCCCTCCAGGGGCCGGCCTGTGCTGTTGGCAGCCCCTCCAAGAGGTTCCACTGTCAGGCAGGGCCCAGGAGCAGCTGCTGTTGGGGGGCAGGTCTGCCCTCTGAAGCACCAGGCCCAGCAGCACTTACCCCAGGTCTCAGCCAGGACCCTGCTCACCACAAGCTCCAAGCCCCTAGCAGTGGTTGGCTGCCTCCCCTCCTCCTTGACTCAACAGCCCAACATGGGGGAACGTGCCAGGGCCCTGAGGGAGACATACACAGGTTCTGGGGGTCCCCAGAAAGCACCCTGGGCACCGGCTCTGAAGCCTCCGATGACACAACAGGTTCCACGTTGGCCTGCAGGCAGAAGGGAGAGTTCAAGTCAGGGTCCATGCACCCCAGAAAGCCAGGGCTCCATGGCAATTCCACAGACCACGTACCCTGGAAAGGGCCCTGTGGCCACTCCGTGGACCACACACCCTGAAAAGCAGGGTCCGTGGCCGCTCTGTGGAGCCTAGGCCCCTTCCTGCTTGGCTCTCACTGGCACAGCCGCCATCAAGCTGGGCAGACAGGGCCACCAGCCACCTCAGCCCAGGGCCCCTCTCCCTCGGAGGTGCCTCCTGCCTGACCCTGGAAAGCCCTGTGAAGATCACCTTTGCAGAACAGCAGCCAGGGACCAACCCCGAGAACCCACACAGTGGGGAGGCCCCCCACCCCTGCCTCTGTGCATCCAGCCCAGCCTCTACCTCACCTCATGCAGTGGCTGCTGCTCCTCCCCGTCCATGGCTGGGCGGTGGCTTCCTGCACGGGTGGGGAGCCTGAGGAGAGGCATGAGAGGCAGAGTTTCCACCCGGAGCCCCAGGCCCGGCTCAGGACTCACTGCATAGTGCTCTGTCAGTCTAGAACCATCTGTTGGGCGGGACTGGGGGCTCCTTTCCCCATATCCCCAAATGCCTCCTGCCCATCAAAGGCTACTGAGGTCCAGGGTCCATTCAGGTCAGGCCCGGGTGGGGAAAGGCCAGCAGGTCCCCGGGGACCCACCATAAGCAAAATGCAGACGGGCTAGGATGGGCTGCTGGTGCTCAGGCCTCATTCAGAACAGGGCCAGAGCTGCCCAACCTTCACTGCAGCATGGCGGGCAGACACAGGAAGGCAGCCCTGGGGTCCGTGCATGATCTCAGGACACAGAACACAGCTTCTGACACGTGGCAAAGACCCCAGGGCCTTTGTACAAAAGCCACTTCCCCTTTCGGTAACTACGGCCCAAGCAACGTCATCACAGAGTCAGCACAGACAGAGGAATCCACAAAGCCAAGACCTTCTCTCCCAGATTAAGAGACAAACATGGTGTGGAAGGAACCATGGCAGAAACCCGGACAGCTGGGGCAGCCATGCGAGGGGGCTGCCCCAACGCATCACAGCTCCCCACAGACCCTCAGAGAGAAATCAGGAGCTCAGGCTGGGGGCCCAGGAGCCTAAGGAAGAGAAAGAAAACAGCCAGGCGCCTGTAGCACCAGAGGCACATGCCGGCCAAGACCCATGGCGCCCCTTGAGGTGGGGGCAGGGACCAGCAGGTTGTCCTGAGACTGGCCACGGAACGCCAGGAGCGACTGTTTACAAAGTCAATGGCTCATGCATGTCCTGGCAGATGGATGTGTCGCCAGGCAGAATCATTAAAATATCCAAAACAGGCCAGGCATGGTGGCTCACACCTGTAATCCTAGCACTTTGGGAGGCCAAGGTGGGCGGATTGCCTGAGCTCAGGAGTTCGAGACCAGCCTGGCCAACACAGACCATCCTGGTGAAACCAAGTCTCTACTAAAAATACACAAATTAACCAGGTGTGGTGGTGCATGCCTGTAATCCCAGCTACTGGGGAGGCTGATGCAGGAGAATCACTTTGAACCTGGGAGGCAGAGGTTGCAGTGAGCTGAGATCATGTCACTGCATTCCGGCCTGGGTGACAAAGGGAGACTCTGTCTCAAGAGGGAAAAAAAAAAAAAAAGTAAAAAAAAAAATGAGCCGTTGGAAACTATTCTGAACTGTCTAGTCTTGCAAGGGTATTGTGGTTTTTTCTTGAAGTGTCTGCATCAGTCAGAGACGAGCATCTGTGGAGGACACAACAGGGCTTGTATGTGCTTCAGAAGGGGCCACTGCCAGGTTCTGCTCTGATGCCTGCGTGCATCTGGGGTCATTCTCGTATCACTACTGCTGCCCACTTCTCAGAACTCATAAGAAAAAGGAACAATGAGTAACAAGATGCTACGTCAGGTTCCTTTCCTCTGCAAACCCTGTTGGCACACAGCCGCAAGCACAGACCCCGGCCCTAGCCAGGCCTCACGGACCCAGCTGGGTCCTGGCCACGCATGTCCGAGTTAAGATGCCTCCAAGCTCAGGTGTCCTCACCTGTGAACAGGAAGGAGCTCTCCGTGCAGTGTCTAGGAGGGCAGTCAGAGGGTGGGGTGGCAGTGACAGTTCTGAGCAGGGGAAGGGGCCTCAGTGCAACCAGAGGCCCCATCTGAAGCTGACCAAGAAGAGGGCAGCCCACCCTGAGGACAGCCGGGACTTCTGGAAGAGGAACTGGCCTGGTTTGGGGCAGGTGGTGCGATGGGGCCATGGTCAGGGGAGGTCAGCTGAGACTAAAGAGAGAGCTGATAAACACCAGGCTGGCCTGGGAACCCAGTCCTCATGCCCCCGGGGGCCTTGAGCCTCTGCAGAGGGCAAGGGGAGCCCACCCCACAGGCTCCCCTCTAGGGCCGTGCGGCCTTGGCAGGGGGTCCCATTCCTTTCCACCTGGGTTTGAGTCTGGACCCAACCCTGGCCTGGGCGTCTTAATGGTTGGCACATCCAGGAAGTGCTGCTGACACTGGTCGGAGCAAAGCCAGGCCTCGGCAGCTTGGGCCACCTCCTTCCCCTTTTGCAGATGAAAGCTACAAAACCCGCTGGAAGCTGTTGTGAGCAGCTGCCAGGCCAGCTGGCCCAGACAAGCACCCGGTCCGGGGGATGGCCGCCTCCCTGGGTCCAGCTGCACATGGAAGTTGGGACTCTTACGAGCACGGGGGAGCACTAGGCTGGAGTCTGGGAGGCAGTTTCTTACGAGCGCGCGCGGGGGAAACTCACACACGGAAGTCAGGACTTTGAGAGCAGCAAAAGGCTGCTGGCGCGCACGGGGGAAACTCCTTAAAGAAACTCTTGTGCAGCCGGTGGGAGGCTGCCTCGGCCCAGCCAACGGGAGGCGCCCACGTTGCCACAGCCCTTCCCCCATGGGTGTGGCAGCCCCAGGTCTGCGGTCAGCCCCCGCCCTCCACCCAGCCTGGCCAGACCCGCCTCTGAGGCCGGCCCCGGGTGCGCCTGTGGCCATAGACAGGGCAGGATCTCAGTTGCAGCAGCAGGCGCTGGTCCTGACCCCAGTCGTGCCACGGGGTGGGCGTGCACAGGTCTCCTGTCGGGGCGGGCAGAGAAGCCTTCCTGGCCGGCAGCCAAGCCTTGAGCAGGACGATGTCAGTGCCACCAGAGGCAGTGCCAGCCCCCAGCCCTGGCCCCTGAAGCCTCTCAGCAGAGGCGTGCTGCCCGCAGGGGGCCAGGCGGAAGGTCACTGAGGCCCCTCCAGCACCTAAAGCCCATGATTCTGGGGGACATATCTGGCAGTCCCCCTCACAGTCCCAGCACTCTCTTTGCCTCCTCGCTGAGGCCCCTGGAAGTTCTAGGGTGTGATTTCAGGTCACCAGCCCTCCTCCCTCTAGCCTGCTTCAGGCAGCCATGCTCTCAGACATTTACAGCTGGGCCCAGAGCCTCTCCCAGCTGCCTGGTGGTGAGCAAAGGGCCCTGGCCCGAAAGCCACAGATGCTGGGCCTGGACTCTGAAGTGTCTTCAGAGGCAATGTCTGAAGAACCACCCACCTGGATCCCACCCCTACAACCTCTGGGTCCCAGCAGAGCATCACCTGGGGTCCGGCCAGTGCACACTGCAGCCCCCTGTGGGTCCCAGCAGAGCATCACCTGGGGTCCGGCCAGCGCACACTGCAGCCACCCCCTTCCTACCTGTCCTTTTCAGATACGCTCAGGCCCATCAGCAGAGACCAGCAGACCCCAGCTGCCCCTCCGGGGGGACAGACACCTCTCCTTCCCAAATCCCCAGTGCTGGCACTGCCCCAGGGAGCCTCACAGCAGCTTCTGGCCTTGTTACCCGTGAGGCCAACCCGCTGGGAGGCAGTGCAGCCTGGAAGGAAGCCAGACGCTTCTATCAGACCAGCTGTGCTTCACTCTCCCTGCCCCGCACAGATGTCCACCGACCAGGACTGGGGTGGGTGCTGAACACGATTTGTGGGAGATGCCTCCTGAGCACGGGTGCCGGCAGACGGGGTCCTCGGATCTCAGACCCCAGCACTGCCCTGGGCAGGATGCTTCAAACGAGCCTCCGGTTAAGGTGGGAACTTGCCTCCAGGGTCAGCATCCCACCTGCCCCACACAGGTGGCCCTCTCTTGGCTGCAAGCACAAGCCACATTCAGACGCTGCTTTAGCAGTCGGCCTCAGCCTCTGAGCTTCTCTGCCACAGCATGATCTGTCCCAAAGGCAAAGAACAGGGTGGAGACCCACAGGGCAAGAAAAGACTCGGCAGCCTGATTTCAGGAGACCCTAGACACTGCCTCTGAAGACACTTGTTCTCCAAGGGCTGTTCCTCATCCGTAAAAAGGGATATCTGGCTTTGGAAACCATGATCCTCTGTGCAGACGAAGCCTCTGAGAGTTCCCAACAGCCCAGGAGGACATCTGTTGTGCGCGAGAAAAGCCCTAGACACAAAATCAGAGCAGCATCTATAGTCTTTTGGCATCAGAGAAGGCCGTTTGCATCCAACGTCCCGCAGGACGTCGACGTGACATCCAGTCCCAGGCTGTTTGCATCCGACGTCCCACAGGACGTCGACGTGACATCCAGTCCCAGGCTGTTTGCATCCGACTTCCCGCAGGACGTCGACGTGACATCCAGTCCCAGGCTGTTTGCATCCGACGTCCCGCAGCATCAGGCTCCACAGATGCCTCAGACAGCACATCCCACCTGCCTGCTCAGGCCCCACTGCTACAGACTGAACTGTGTCCCCCAAAACCCACAGGTTAGAGCCCTAACTCCCACTATGAAGGTATTAGAAGGTGGGGCCTCCGGGAGGTGATCAGGTTCAGATGAGGTCATAAGTGCAAAGCCCCGGTGACTGGGTTAGTACTCCTGGAAAAGACACCACAGAGCTCTCGTTCCCCGAGGTGAGAACGCCGCAAGAGGGCCCGTCTACAAGCCAGGAGGCTGGATGGCAACCAGTGACCTTTGACCTGGGACGTCCAGCCCCTAGAACTCTGAGAAAATTAATTTCTGTTAAGTTTTTTCCCAGCACCAGTGAGGCACGGTGGGAGAAGACTACTCGCCCACAGCCCCAGCTACTCAGGAGAGGCTGAGGTAGGAGAATTGTCTGAGGTCTGGAGTTTAAGACCAGCCTGGGCAACTTAGCGAGATCTCATTTTCTTTTTTTTTGTTTGAGACAGAGTGTCACTCTGTCGCCCAGGCTGGAGTGCCACAGCGTGATCTCAGCTCACTGCAATCTCCCCCACCCCGGGGTCCAAGCGATTCTCCTGCCTCAGCCTCCTGAGTAGCTGGGATTACAGGCGCACGCCACCACATCCAGCTAATTTTTGTATTTTTAGTAGAGATGGGGTTTCACCATCTTGGCCAGGCCAGTGTTGAACTCCTGACCTCCTGATCCACCTGCCTCGGCCTCCCAAAGTGCTGGGATTACAGGCGTGAGCCACCGCGCCAGGCCGAGACCTCATTTTTGTTTTTGTTTTTGAGACAGAGTCACACTCTGTTGCCCAGGCTGGAGTGCAGTGGTGTGATCTCAACCTCTGCCTCCCGGGTTCGAGTGATTCTCCTGCCTCAGCCACCCAAGTAGCTGGGATTACAGGCACCTACCACCACGTCTGGCTGATTTTTGTATTTTTAGTACAGATGGGGTTTTGCCATATTGGCCAGACTGGTCTTGAACTCCTGACCTCAGGCGATCCACCCGCCTCAGCCTCCCAAAGTGCTGGGATTACAGGTGTGAGCCACCACACCCAACCTGTTTTTTTTTTTGTTTTTCTTTTGAGATGGAGTCTCGCTCTGTTGCCCAGGCTGGAGTGGGTACGACCTCGGCTCACTGCAAGCTCCGCCTCCTGAGTTCATACCACTCTCCTGCCTCAGCCTCCTGAGTAGCTGGGACTACAGGCGCTTGCCACCATGCCAGCTAATTTTTTGTATTTTTTAGCAGAGACGGGGTTTCACCATGTTAGCCAGGATGGTCTCGATCTCCTGACCTTGTGATCCGCCTGCCTCGGCCTCCCAAAGTGCTGGGATTACAGGCATGAACCAACACACCCAGCCCAGCCTATTGTTTTTTTAAAGTTTCCTGGTCTGTGATGTTTTGTTACAGCAGCCAGAGCTAAGACACCCATCCTATCCCCTTCACCCTACTAGAAACTGCCTCCCAGACTCCAGCCTAGCTTCCTAGTGCAGACCAAAAGCTAGCTAGCATCAAATGCAGTTCCCAGAAAAAAACCATCTCTCAACCAACCCACTAGACCGGCTCAGAAAGCCCAGGTTCCAAACTGGTCAGACCTGGGGGTTGCAGAAATGACAAACTTGGAGGGACCAGGGTGTGGCCCAGAGCTCTGACCTCCCCTGCTTCCCATTTCTGAGGCTGGCGCCTTTGGCCACAGGAAACCTCTCCCGGGTCTGGTGGGACCGCTTCACGCAGGTGTGGCAGAGCTGGGAGATGGGAAACACACCTGAGCCAGAACCCGAGGCCTCCTTGCCAGCACACCTGGCAGCCCCCAGCCTCCTGGGAGCTGGTCACAGCGAACGCAGAGCCCCCACACTGACCACCATGCAGGGGGCCCCACAGGCTCCTGACACCCACCCACCCTGCCAGGCCCCCTCCTCGGACCCCACAGCATCAGGGCCTCCGGCGAGGCTGGCCAGCGGCCCCACCAGTCACACTGCAGGGGCGGCGGCAGCAAGCGGGGTGCAGAGACACACAGGGCAGTGAGCCCGGCGGCCTGCACAGCCTCTTTAGGGACCTAAAAGCTAGGAGGCGTCCATCTGGAGGCTACCAAGGCTGCGGGAGCCCCGCAGGGACCTCAGCACCTTCGCAAGTTCCTGGTTGTTTCTGGGACGCCAGTGCCCAGACAGCTCCCACTCCATTTTTCTTGTAAGAGTTTTGAAAAAGACACTCGGCAGCTTCATGGTAGCTCAGTTACAAAGACCTTTTAAGTTTGGGCTGAGCACAGCGGGGGACGATCTGGCGTCCACTTCGCTCATATGGGAACCCCGCTCTGCTCCACTTGAAGGGCAAAGGCACCTACAGAGGAGCGAAGCCCCAGGTTTCAGCGAGGCCGGAGGGACAACGGGGGTCCAGGGCCTCACGCTTGGCCTCCCCCAGCACCCCCAGAGACCCGCAGGCCTGGGCCGCCTTCCTCCACTCTCACCTCGGCCGGCTCCACCGCAGGCGGGAGGCGGGCATGGTTGGGGCCCTCCCGACCCGCGAGGACCCCGGGACTAGAGGTCCGACCCGCGCCCTCCCGCGAGGCCGCAGCTGACCCTCCCGGCCCCAGCCCCGGAGGCTCCGCTCCTCGGGAGCGTCGCTCCAGGCAGCGGTGGCGGGGGACGCTCGGGGCCTGCTCCCACCCCAAACCTGACCCGGGCCTGACCCCCACGACCTGCTCCCCCGGTTCCGAAACCTGACCCCGGCCTGGCCCCCACGACCTGCTACCCTGGCCCCCAAACCTGACCCGGGTCCGGCCCCCCACGACCATGCTCCACTGGCCCCAAACCCGGAACCTGACCCGGGCCTGACCCCCACGACCTGCTTCCCCGGCCCCAAAACCTGAACCTGACCTGGGCCTGACCCCCACGACCTGCTACCCCGGCCCCAAAACCTGACCTGGGCCTGACCCCCCCGGCCCCCACCCCCCGACTCGGGCTGGCTCCTCCCCCCCAGTCACCCCACGGCCCTGACCCGGGCCCGCCCCCCGCCCGGTGCCAGGCCCCGTCCTCACGCACGCGCTGTCCGCGCCGCGCGGCGTACCAAGGCGAGGCCGCGGCGCTCCTCAGCCGGCCTCCATGCGGCGCGGGACCTCAACGGACGGGGCGGGCTGGGGCCGAGGGGCGGGGCGGGGCAGACGGGCCAAGGGCGCCGGCGGCCGCGCGGCATGCCGGGAAAGGTAGTTCCATGCGCTTTCCGCTTGGCCCCGGCCTGCGACTGCGGACTACACTTCCCAGGGGGCCGCGCGCGAGGCCCCGCCCCGTCCCAGCGCCCCCGGGTCCTAAGGAGCACCGGCACTCACTAGGGAGGGAGGGTTCGAGTCCCGCCGCGGCCACGGCCTTGCGAGGCGCGCCCACGTTCTCTGGTCGCAGCTCCCAAGCTGTGAAATGGGGACAATGCTCGCACGGCGTCCACAGGATGGTTTTGAGTCGAATGATATTGAAATGTAACTGTTTTGTGAGCCGTCACTCCCACACGAAAGGGACAGCCGATAGTGGGACGCGAGGAGCCGAGAACACGGGATCGGGGAACGCGCCGACAGGGCCTCGGCCCGACCCCCTCCCCTCTGGGGATCGGCCTAGTCCATCCTCCGGGGGTCAGCCCAGAGCCGTCCCTGACCCGGGACTCATGCCTCAGCGGGACCTCAGCCTTGCCGCAGGTTGGGGCACCCCGGGGAGGTCGGGCCCCAGGGGCCCCGCAGCCAGCCCGGCGGAGAACCGGGACCGGGCGGGAGTCTTAGGGCAGGCCGACCCCCGGCCTCATGGACCCTGGCGCGCGGTCACTTCCGATCGTCCCGAGGGCCCCAGGGGGACCCGGCTGGCTGCGGCCACCCCGACGCTACCTCGCTGTGCGCCTTCGGCCCCGAGGGCAGGGAGAGACTGCCTGACCCCACCCGCCGCGCCCCTCCTGCCCGGGCTCCTGGCCCCCTTGCTGCACCCAGCCTCTCCCAGGGCGGCCGGGGCCCGGCGGCCAAGTTGCTGCGCGCTGCGGGGAACGGCGCGGACGGGGGGCTGGGCGTAGCGAGGGTCCCGGGCCCTTCGCAGCCGCCTGCAGACGACTCGCTGCCAGCCAGCTGCTGCGCCGTCCGCCTGCCCCGCTCGCCTGCAATGGTCAGGCCGCGCATCCCGGGCCCACGACTTCCTCCTCCACGACCCCGGCGTCTTGGCTGACCTGGCGCTGGCGCTGGGCTTAGTGCAGGCGTGGGCGTGGCGATGGTTTGCCTGCGGGCTGCATGCGCGGCCCCCACAGCCAGCTCCCCGAAGCACTGCACCCACCTCTACCGCGCTGACCCAGCCCAGGGATCAGGTCCTTGGAGTGGGGCCTGCCCCGGGGCCAGGACTCCAGTCACCAGGGAAGGGCTGCTGTGTCTTCCTGCCGGGCACTGATGAGTTAGTTGGGGAAAGGGGCCAGGTGGGTCCCAGCTGGGGAACCCTTTAGAAGAGGGAGGAGGGCGCACCTCTTTACGAGTGCCCTGGGACCAGCTACTCTCTGGAGCTAGGGTGAGGACCTCAGTGACGGCTGCCCCGCGCAGGAACCTGCAGCGAGCCTGGAAGGCGGACCCAACAGGCCTGGGGTTGCGGGAGTCCAACGCAGCGCCCGGGTCCGGTCTGGGTCTGCCTGAGGCGGTCCACCAGGACTCCGTGCCGGGGAGCCTGCTTCCTTCCAGGCTCCAGGAAGGGAGGCCCCGGCCCCAGCCCCAGGTTCTGAGGAGCTACCCCGGCTCAGGTGGCCTGCAGGGGTCCCCTCAGGTCCCCAGTCCTGAGTCTGCGGGTGGTCCTCCCAGGGTCCGGCGAGTGGGTGAAAATGACTGTCCACACAGCAGCAGGCTGGGCTCCCTCCAGCAGGCTGAGCTGGCTGCCCACTGAACTCTCTTACACAAGAGGCTCCGCCCCCTCCTACAGCTTCCTGGTCCCCAAAGAGGCCTCTGTCCTCCTGGGTGAAGGACACTCACTTTGGGCCCTAGGGCCTCTGGCTCACACCCTCTCCATTCATTCTCATTGTTCGCTGCCTTTGTGGTCATTCTGCCTTTCTGACCACCTCGGCCACATCCTCACAGGAGGGCAGTGGTTGGCAGTGGCCCCGGCTCTACCTCACCCATTTCTCAGCACTGGGTTGGTGTGGAGGGAAGATCCCTGGCCTGGGAGCTGGAGGCCTGGGTTCTCGGTCCTGGCCGTCTGGCCGCCTGGAATGGGTGCAAGGTCCTCCTGGAGACCCTCCTTCTCCATGAGAGGGACAGTACTATCCACCTGCCAGGCCTCCCTGTGCTCAGGGAGGGGGAGGAGGCACTATTTCAAACCAATGCTGGCCCCTGGGCTGCAGAACGACCCTCTGACTCACCTGGGCAAGGTGGCCAGTCGGGGAGGGGAGGGTGTCCGAGATCCCAGCCTCCGGTGGGCAGTAGACAGTGGAGAAGCAGAACTGCCCTCCGATCAGGCTGGAGTCCCCTGCAGGGCTGCACTAGGCTGTGGGGGGTGAGAAGCAGAAAAGGGGGAGATTGAGTCCTTGGGGAGTATGCGGGGGAAACTGAGGCAGGACCTCAGCCGCTGGCCCTGCACCACCACCCACATCCCAGGCTGAGCTTGTCTTCTAAAGGTCTGCTCCCAAGCCTGCTTTTCTCTGGGCAGGCTCTGTACCTTCACCGTAGGGGGCAGGTGGGGTTGCCTTGGGAAGAGGGTCAGGTGGAGGTGGAGGACGTGCACCCTGGGGTGCCAGAGCTTTTGAGGCCCCGACCCCGGGGGGCTGGCCATGTGGATGCCCTGTTCATGGAGCAGCCAGAGGAGGTGTTTCTTGAGGTGCCCTGGGGGCAGTGAGGAGTCATCCTAGGGAGGGTGGGGGTCCTCAGGAACAGAAACAAACAGTGTGAAGCCATTTGTGCTGGCAGGGACAGTCTTGGCCCCCAGCTGGCTTTGTCCTCAAGGAGTGGACCTTGAGGAAGGGCCAAGTCCCATTCGGAGCAGAGTGACAGATCCCACAGAAGCAGGCGTTGGGGCAAGAGGAGGGAGGGAGCCCCATGGGGGAAGGGAGTCGGTGCTGGCTCAGCCCTGACCCAGTGCCAAGGGTGAGTGCCACCCTTTCAAGCCTCTGCCCGCCTGCCTCTAGGAACGTGGCACAGCTGGCAAGGACATAGCCAGAGGAACAGGTCTGGGGATGAGATGGTGACATTGCCTGGGAGAGTCTGGAGCCAGCGTCTCACTGCAGGACGGACACCAGTTCCCCATCATGGGCCGCGAGGAGGGCCGGCTCCAGCACAGGGCGGGGTGCTCACTTCAGGCACGAACCTCTTCCCAGACAGGAGTTGGTTTGACACCTCCTGCCAGGCCGAGGCCCACAGGCGGGGGATGGGCAGCGTGGCTGCTGCCCATGGCCCTGGCCCCATTGAAGACTCCAGGTGGCTCCACCTGAGGCCTCCTGTGTCCCCCAGCTCAGCTCAAGCCCCACATCGGCCTAGACGTTTTCTGGGCACTGACAGCTCCTCTCACGATCTGGGAGGCAGGGCCTGAGGGACTCGGCACCACCCAGACCAGCTGCCCCCAAGGACTACTGGACGTCTCCCTGAGCCGAGCCATGCGGGATACTGGGTGGCCTCTGGAGCAGGGAGGATGGCTGCAGGTGGGCAGGGTGCACGTGTGAGGATGAGGAGGGCCCGGGAGGTAGGACCTCAGCCCCAGCTTGAGAGCAGCAAGGATGCCCATGGCAAACGCTACCACTGGAGGCCAGCATCCCTCAGGTCTCCTCAGCTGCCATGTCCTGCCCACCCTCGCCACTGTGCTGGTCTGTGGGTGCAGGACCAAGGCGATACTGCCAAGGCCCAGGGCTCAGCCCTCCCTGCACAACCAGGCTGGCCTGGGCTGGCATCTGTGGGAATGCTGGGCACATGGGTGTGCAGGCTGGGGAGGTGTCCCGAGTTAGGTGAGCATGAAGAACTGCGTTTCTTTTTTTTTTTTTTTTTTTTTTTTTGAGACGGAGTCTCGCTCTGTCGCCCAGGCTGGAGTGCAGTGGTCGGATCTCAGCTCACTGCAAGCTCCGCCTCCCGGGTTCACTCCATTCTCCTGCCTCAGCCTCCTGAGTAGCTGGGACTACAGGCGTCTGCCACCTCGCCCGGCTAGTTTTTTGTATTTTTTAGTAGAGACCGGGTTTCACCGTGTTAGCCAGGATGGTCTCGATCTCCTCACCTCATGATCCACCCGTCTCGGCCTCCCAAAGTGCTGGGATTACAGGCGTGAGCCACCGCACCCGGCCTTTTTTTTTTTTTTTTTTTTGAGACGGAATCTCGCTCTGTCGCCCATGCTGCTGGAGTGCAGCGGCACGATCTTGGCTCACTGCAACCTCCACCTTCTGGGTTCCAGCAATTCTTCTGCCTCAGCCTCCTGAGTAGCTGAGATTACAGGTGCACGCCACCACCCCCGGCTAATTTTTGTATTTTTGGTAGAGACGGGGTGTCACCATGTTGGCCAGACTGGTCTCAAACTCCTGACCTGATGATCTGCCCACCTCAGCCTCCCAAAGTGCTAGGATTACAAGTGTGAGCCACCACCCCCGGCCAAACTGTGCCTTTTATTTTCTGCTTTGTTGCTTTGACCTCTGGGGCCTTGCTGGCCCTGTTGAGACTGCCTCTCCTAGGTCCCACCGATTTGTCAGCAAACAACTTCCTGTGCAAGCTCCTGGGTTCAGGGCCCACACCCCCTCCAGGCCTCCTCCGTGGGCTCTCTCACACTAGGCCCTATTCCCCTGCCCTTATCGTCCTGGGCTACGTACCCGGCAGCCAGGGGCAGCCCCTGCCCAGCACCCACCAGGGTGTCCACTCTGGAGTCCCGAGCCTGTGACCCCACCCCACTCGTTCCTTTGGTGGAGTCATGGTGAAGGCCCTGCCCACGCTTCCCCCCATTGCCTGTGTCTGTGACAATCCGGTGCCCTCCTGCATGGCCCTGGGTGGCACGGGGTATCTGAGTAAATTTTTTATTTTCGCCCAGGCTGGAGTGCAGTCGCGCAATCATGGCTCACTGCAGCCTCGAATCCTGTCCTCAAGTGATCCTCCCACCTCAGCCTCCCATGACAGGCGTATGCCCTGGCGCCTGGCCCAGCTCTTTTAATGGCAAGAGGCCTCACCAGCCCAGAAGAGTATAAAAACCTCCGTTTTAATGTGGAGGGTGAGATACACCCTCCAGCTTGTGTCCCCGTGTGTCTCACACTAGGCCCTGGCTGTGGGGGCCACACCCTGGAGAGACCCTTCCTCCTGACTCCTGGGAACCCGGGGAGCCCTGCCCTGCCCACTCAGGGCTGCTCCAGGAGAGGCCTGGCGACGGGGCTTCCAGGAAACCCAGGCCAGGCGGGAGGTGAGACCGTTCTGATCTCAGCCGCGCCCACCCTTGCAATTAGTGACCTACACCACCGACCCCACTCCAGCCCCCATGGGGTTCTGGCCTCGCTGCCCAGCCACCTGTCTTCAAGGAGCCTCTGTTCAGACTCTCAGGGTCACCTGCCGGGGTCTATAGGGCACGTGGCTCCATGGTGCACCCACGGGACCAGCCTTGTTCCATGGAGTCCTGGCCCCAGCAAAGGCGCCTGCACAGGACCTCCGTGTTGTTTTGAGCATCCCAGACCACACTGAGGGCACCTCCTCCAGGAAGCCTTCCTGGATCCTGCCAGCTCTCTGTTCTCCTAGAGGGTGCCTCACACTCCCCCTCCTCGCTCCCCTGCAGGAGCAGGAAGACTAAGGGGGTCGTGCATTCGTCTCCCAAGCCTGTGTGCCCAAGGGCTTCAGGCCACAGCTGAATCGCCTCCGTGCCCACAGCCTGAGTCCAGGGCATGTCCTGCTCCAAGTGTGACACCTGCTGTGGGTGCAGAGGGGCCCCCATTATGCGTTTGAAGGCGGCCCCTGCCCCACATCCCCCAGCACCCCCATGAGAGGCGCCAAGTCAGGGGACGGGTGTGGAGGGAGGCGAAGTCCCCGGCCGAGCACAGGCGGTTATCAGAATAATATTTATTGATATGCTCGGTGCTACCTTGTTAATTCTGCATCACATGGCCTCCACGGCTGAGGTATTCGGGGTGGGACCAGCCGGGGCTCCCACAGGAAGCCGTGTGGCCTCAGCCACGGCAGGGGGCCCGGGTGGGGGACGTGGTTATTGCGTTGGGCTGCTTCCCTCCTCATACATGGGCCACGCACCAGCATGTACTCGATCACTCACCCGCCTGCTCACACACAATCCCACCCAAGCTGGCACCACACCCTCTGTGCACATGCACACACGTGCAGACTCGTACACACACACCCGCTTGCTCACGCCCACCTCTGCTCATGCCCGTTCACACACACACCATCCTGCTTTAAACCCATCCTAAGTCTCCTGATGATAAATATGCTTGTTCAGTACAGCAGTCTTAGTAAAATAAAATGTATGTCAGGCGACAAGGAGAAAGTGCATGTTGATCTTTGACCCGAGGGTGGACCTCGGTCCCTCCCACCCGAGGGCATCAGGTCCCTGCAGGGGGTGACCCCTGAGCACGTGACCCCATGGGCGTGGCCACCCCACTGGTGGGACTGGCTCCACCTTCCTCTTCCCTGGCTCTGAGCTGGGGGAGCTGGGCTGTCCCGCCACAGCCCGGGGCCAGGACGGAACGGACTACAAAAATAAACTCTTCATCTGGAGGCCCCCACCCACGGCTGGGCGCCTGATGCAGGAGCATGGGAGGCCGGCCTCAGCCTTCCTGGCCACCGGCTCCACAGGGCCACCTTTTCCCGCCCCAGCCAGTGCGTGGCGATGCCGTCGGGGCGGGTTCCCCTGTCTAGCGGGTGGGGTGGGGGCCCCAGGCATGCGGACGGAGGTTGGGGATGTGGGCAGTGCGGTGGAAGCAGAGGCCACGTCCACGCAGGGCTGGCGTCCGCCGGGAGGCCTCTGGAGGGGCTCTGACGGCCTGGGCAGTGCCATCCCTCAAAACTCCACAGTGCTCACGACCGTTCTCGGCTCGTCGAAGGTGGCGATGAGGATCTGCTGCGGGGCAGGGATGGCGATGAGGTCCCCCACGTCCTGCGGCAGGCGGGGGCCCCCTTCCTCCTCCTCCCGGGCCTCGTACAGCGTGTTGATGTGTAGCAGCGGGTGCGTGGCGTTTCGGCTCAGGATGGTGAGGGGCTCCGCCTTGCCCAGGCTGGCTGGTGTCAGAGGGGCCACAGCAGGCGCGGCGGGAGGTGAGCGGACGTGGAACGGGCCCCCCGAGGGAAGCCCTGCCCGGGCTGGCTCTGCGGGGTATGGGATTTCCTTCTCCGGGAGCGGAGCATCTGCAAACAGCCAAGAGCACAGATATCTCACACCAGCCGCCACTGCGCCCCTCTCAGCGCCCACCCAGTGCAGGCTGGCAGGGGAGCAGGGCTCACGGCTCTGAAGGGCCCTGGAGGTGCTGGGCCTGGACGCCGCTGCACACAGCAGCTGGCCTGGGCACACCCCCCGCTCCACTGTCCCGGAGCCGCAGTGCCGTCGGTGGAATTTCCTCACCCAAGGAACTTGGCTCCACCACGCACGCGGAGCTCCAGGAAGCTGACCAGGAGCACGTCCCTCCCAGCCTGCCTCCTCCCCACCTGCCTCCCGGGGGGTCTCCAGGCCTGAGACCTCTGCCTGGCCTGAGGCTCACCTTGACAGAGTCCGTTTGATGCAGACGGTTCAAACCTTGGCCTCCTCCCTTCCCCCTTTGAGGGGGCCTCAAACCAGGCCCCCTCCCTTCCCTAGAGCCCTGGGCAGGCTCCCGTGGGCCGCTGTGGCTGTGGGCACCTCTCCCATCCCCAGTCCTCCGTCCCCAGTCCCCGGCCCGGCCCCTACCTTTGGTGGGCGCCGGGGCCAGGCCCAGCCCACAGTCCTCCGCCTGGGACAGGAAGCCCCCCTCCTGGCTCCGGGAGGCGGGCAGGGCGGCGGGCACCGCCTCGGGCTTGGCCTTCTTGGTGCCGAGGATGTAGGGGTGCACGTCCAGGGAGAAGTGGCGCGCGTGCTTCTTGTCGGGGGCGGGCGCAGGGGCAGGGCCTGGGCCTGGGTCGCCGCCTCCGCCCTTGTAGTGGTGGGCGGAGCGGTCCAGCAGCGGCGCTATCAGCGTGTCCGTGGCCGTCTTCCTGCGCGCGGGCTTCGGTTTCTCCGCCTTGCTGTTCTCCACGCGCATGATGGCCAGCGGCTCCTTGAAGGGCTGCGGCAGCGGGTTGCTGGTGGGGATCCACTTCATCTTCTTGCGCGGCCGCTTGACCACGGGCGGCTCGGCTGCGCCGTCGGGCTCGGCGGGGTTGGCGCTGGGGTCCACGGTCTGCACCCCCGAGTCGCGCACCGTGGGGGTGGCGTCGTGGTTGGACTGCGCCAGCGCCGCCAGCAGCTGCCGGACCACGTTGTCGTACATGAGGTCACTCTCGTTGGTGATGAAGTCCAGCCGGTTGAGCGACTTGATGTGGTCGCGGTTCTCGTTGCAGAACATGGCCAGGATGTTGATGTCGCAGAACTGCGAGCGGCGCCACTGCCGGCGCGTCTTGATGCCCACTTTGTGCAGCTTGTCGAAGATGAAGTTGCTCTTGCGGAAGATGAAGAGGTGGATGAGGTTGACGAGGATGATGAGGTTCATGACGCACAGCAGCACGATGTCCACACCCGCGATGATGCGCTGCAGCTGCACGGACGGGAGCTTGCAGCTCACGCGCACCGCGGGCCCCGCACCTGCCGCCCCGTCCGGGGACGCGCCCAGCGCGCAGGTGAACTCGTTCTGCTTCTGCGTGGCGTAGTAGGTGCACAGGTAGGAGATGGGCACGGCGCTCAGCAGCAGGATCAGCACGTGCCGCGCCAGGTACAGCTTGGCCAGGAAGTTGCTGCGGCCGCGGCGCTCCAGGTACTTCTCGAACAGGTTCTGCTCCGGGCTCTTCTCCTTCTCCGCGTTCTCGATGATCTCGCGCTTTTCGCGCTCCGTGATGCCCGGGCCCTTGGACTGGATCTGCTTCTCGATCTTGGGCGCGCGGCCCTCGGCCGCCCGGTGGTAGCAGTTGTCGATCTCCTGCAGCAGGAAGTTGAGCTCGGAGGTGAGGCGCGTGGAGGCCAGGAACTCCCAGCCTAGCGCGGGCACGTACATGATGGCGGCGAAGGCCAGCAGCGCGTAGGGCAGGAACTTGTGCTCAAACAGCGACGGCCACAGGCTGGCGTCCACGCCGGGCAGCGCGTCCCGCAGCTCCGTCCAGCAGTAGCCGCGGGCGTACAGCGCCTGGTCGCGCGTGAAGTTGTGCGGGGTGTAACAGTAAATGGGTTCCTCTGGGGGCAAAGAGGAGACACGGGCTGGGGCGGGGAGGCGGCTCGGGCTGGGCTGAAGAAACCGGGCTGGACCTGACCACGTCCCTGCCGAACCCCTCCCAGGAGCCTCTCCAGCCTCCTCCACACAGCGCCTGTGGTTCCCCAAATGAACCCCACCCCCTCCCCCACCACGGTGGTGTGGGGGTCTGGCCCTGAATACCCCCACGAGGTCAGCTGGGAGGCACCTGCAGGTTGAAGCCATGCCCGCCCGCGAAACCACCTGAGCCACGCACCTCTCCAAATGTCACAAAGACTGTGTGCACAAGGCCAACCCAAATCCCAGAGAGGACCAAGGCAGGTCGGGACTCTCAGCCAGAGTTCCTCTTCTATCCACACAGCCGGACCCAAACCAGGTCCCAGCCATGGGCCATGTACAGCCCGGTGCTCCCCTGGGAGGAAGGCTGTTGGCTCAGGTGCTGCTAGCTGGCAGGGTGGTTTCTACAGCACTGGGAAGCCAGTATGGGCTCTGCCCACCCTTGCGGGTGAGGGGCACCTCCCTAAGACCCACTGTTCTGGGGACTGGCCAGCCTGGGGACCCTGGACACCAGGTGGGGCTGGTTGGGGATGTCACCTGCTGGACTGCGGTATCTCCTGCTAAAATTGAAAAGAGGGGGGTCCCTCGAACTGCAGGCAAATGGTCGTTACTGAACTCTGTTTTTTCCCTCAAGAGCGTGTCTCTGCCTGCAGGTGACAATGGCACACACGGCAGTAAAAGCATTCAGGACACTCGCGCCTTGGTTCAGTGTGGGGTCTGAGCGCCTGGGTTCTTGCTAATGTTTCCCAGGAAGGCTCAAAGCCTGGGGGCCTCCAGCCACTGTGCCATCTGTCCACAGCACATGCGATGGGGCCCACGCCAGCCTTGGCCTTGTCTCCCAGCCCCAAAGAGCAGCCCCAGGGCAGGACCCACATCAGCACAATCCCCTCCCCACAAACCAGAAGCAACAGGGACCGGCCTGTCCGTCTGTGCCGAGGCCTGAATGAGGGTTGGAAAGCGAGGCAGATTAGAGACTCTGCCCACTCTGAGAAGAGCGGCATTCACTGCTGATGCCCCACAGGGACCCGGGGGCTGGGCAAGACGGCTGGTTACACAGCTGGGCACCTCCAGCCCTGAACCCGGCTCAGCAACGAGCCCCTCGGACCGCACATGGAGCTCCTGGCTGCCATCGTATCGCCACCGAGGCACATCCACCAGTCTGGACAGTCTGCTCAGGGAGGGTTCGAGGACAACCCCTAAGGCAGGGCTCCCATGAGTCATTGGATCCTTCTGAGGGTCCTGGGGACTCTGGAGGGTTTGGGAGGGAACCTGGGAAGAGGCAGGAAAAGCTGGGACCTGAGGCCCGAGTCCTCGGTGGGGACATTGAGCTGGACTCAGAGAAGAGCAAACCGGACAAGGCAAAGGAATCCACTCTCTTGGTTGAGAAAATGGCACATTTTATTTACTTATGTTTTGTTCTCACAGCCAATCCCAGGAGCCAGAGAAGAGCGTCCACCCTGGGGAAGAGAACAGGGACAGGTTTGTGTCCCGTCCTGAGCTGGGCCCATCCCTGGCAGCCACCCTTGCTGGGCATGTGTGGCCAACATGGGTGGGGAGAGGCCCCAGAACCCCTGGCCCAGACTCCAGTGGGGCCACAGGGAGACAGGAAGGAGGGCTCCTTGTCTCTGGGGCAGGGGACGGCCTGGCCTCCTCCAGGGTGAATGAAAGCAGGGGCCCCACACTGCACCACATGTCTGGCGAGCTGCCCCCACTGTGTGGAGCCTCACTTGGACCCGAACTCCTCACTCCTGTTACTGTCTCCCTGCCGGACGGCGGCAGCAAGAGCAAGACAAGTCCTGCTTGCCACTCTGACCTGAGTTTCCTCATCTGCTCAACCAAGGATACTGCCCTGACTCACTGCAGGTGAGCAGCCCAGCCCTTTGGGGGCCCCAAGGCATGTCCAGCAAGGCCTCCCTCCTCCCTGGACCTGCCGCTCCTGCAGGGCGCAGGGTGCTCCTGGCAGCCTTAGCAGGTCCTGATGGACTCAAAGCTGTGCCGGCAGCTGGGCCTCTCCCGGTGGATGCTGCCGCAGCTTCCAGCAGGGGCTGCCAGGGCCGGGGGTGCTGGCCCGACTGGGGGTGGAGCAGCAGAGAGGGCTACTGAGCCCAAATTCATGGGCCCATCCCACACACAGCAACTGCCACGGGTCCTTTGCCTGAGGCCCTGCTCTGGGACTTCCCAGGGACAGTGGGACCCTGCCTTGGTCAGTGCAGGTGTCCAAATGAGAGGCAGGAAGGCCTGGCCCATCCGACAGGGCAGACAGAGCCACCGCCAGGGGCCCCTTTATCAGGAGACTCTGCTGTGTGGACCCCGGTCATGCCAGCTATGCCCCAAGAGAGAACACTGGCTTCCCAGCCAAGAAGCCTGTCCACACTAAGTCCTCAGAGCCCCAGTGACAACGTCAGAGTTGGCAGCCAGGGGCCTGGTGCTGCCTGGAGCACCTCTGAATGGGTGTCTGAGCGCACCCCAACACGGCCCATATTCCCATATTTGGAATGCTGTCCACAGGGCCCCAGGCCAAAGCCCAGCCTCCCGGCCCTCCCCAAGTTGTGCCCTTCCTCGGTTCTGCCATCCCCAAGCTTGTCTCCAGCCCACCCCTGCGATCTGGGCTGCACATGGCCCCAAGGTGACCCCCAAGGGTGAAGCTGGGTCCCTCCCGACAGCCCCTCCCACCTGGGGAGTGGGGACACCTCTCCAGGACCCCCTGGCTCTGCACAGGCTCCTCCTGCCTGCTGGCCAAACCCTGTCCAGTCATCCCAGACCATGGCCTCATCCTCGAAGCCCTCGGCCCAGGCCAGGCTCTGGCCCTTCCCTGATTCCCCTGGCCTTACAGACCTCCACACGGGGTCTGCAGTGAGCAGATTCATGGCCCCCAAAGAGGCCACATCCCAACCCTGGAGCCTGTGGCGGTGTCACGTTTCCCAGTTCACGAGGACTTTGCAGACATGCCTAGGTTGGGGGTCTTGGTGGGCGGCAACTGCAGGTTTCCTCTAAGAGGGTCAGAGTCAGGGAGGGGATGTGAGGACAGAATTGGGGGTGGGAGAGAGGACGCCACGTGGCCGGCTCTTAGGACGCAGGAAGGGCTGCAAGGCCAGGAATGTGGAGGCCTCCGGAGGTCGGAGAAGGTGGAAAGTGGATTCCCCCTGGAGCCAGCCCTGCTGACACAGTCGTTTTAGCCCTATGAGACTTGCATCTGGTTTCTGACCTGTAGGTTTGTTCCAGCAGCCATAGGAAGCTAATCCTGGCGGTGGCTGCGCACCTGCTACATTCTCCAGTCTCTGCAGGCTGAGGGGGACCAACAGCCTTCCCCGGCCCACCCTGGAGACCCTGGGATTTGGCCCTCAACCTTCGAGGGTACCGCATCCCGAGACAGCAGCTGGCCACACGGGCCCTCAGGCCCAACCCTGCTCTGTGGCATCAAGGGCTGCGGGGCTGCGCTCGGCCCACCAAGGTTGCTGAGGCCAAAAAGAGGAACCAGCCCACAGGCTCCCGGGAGGGTGCTCGGGAGGGTGCTCGGGAGGGTGCTCGGGGGCAGAGCGCTCGCTTCCTTTACGTTTTAAAGAAGAAAGTTGGGCCGGGTGTAGTAGTTCACACCTGTAACACCAGCACTTTGGGAGGCTGAGGTGGGCGGATCGCCTGAGGTCAGGAGTTCGAGACCAGCCTGGCCAACATGGCAAAACCCCGTCTCTACTAAAAATACAAAAATGAGGAGGTGGGCGTGGTGGCGAGTGCCTGCAGTCCCAGCTACTTGGGAAGCTGAGGCAGGAGAATCGCTTGAACCTGGGAGGCGAAGCTTGCAGTGAGCCAACATTGCACCATTGCACTCCAGCCTGGGTGATAGAGCAAGACTTTGTCTCAAAAAAAGGGCACAGTGGCTCACGCCTGTAGTCCCAGCACTTTGGGAAGCTGAGGTGGGAGGATCACTTGAGCCCAGGAGTTCGAGACCAGTCTGGGGAACATGGCACAAAAATTAGCTGGGTGTGGTGTTGAATGCCTGTGGTCCCAGGCTGGGGGCTGAGGCAGGAGGATCACCTGAGCCCGAGAGGTGGAGGTTGCAGATTGTACCACAGCACTCCAGCCTGGGCGACATACCAAGACGCTGTCTCAAAAAAAAAAAAAAAAAAAAAGAAAGAAAAAGAAAAAGGAAATTTGGACACAGACAGGGAGGGAAGAAGCCCATGAGAAGACAGAGGCAGAGACTGGGTGAGGTGGCCATGAGCCAAGGTGCTCAGGGCAGCAGGAGGCTGGAAGGTCCCTCCCCTAGAGCTTTGGAGGGAGCAGGGCCCTGCCGACACCTTGAGTTTGGACTTTTGGCCTCCGGAACCATGAGAGATAAATGTCTGCTATTTGAAACTGCCTCGTTGGTGGTACTTTATTGCCACAAACACAGAGAACACACATGGTGCCTGGACATGCTGGGCCTGCCCCAAGGCCCCACCGGACGCCCAGGTTCCCTGCTCTTCAGTGTGTGCTGTGCGCCCACCCCAGGGGTCCACTAATCCCTGGTGCCTGGGCTCCAGTGTCCAAAGGAGACCAGCAGAGCCCTCCTCCGCCCCTGGGTGGGATCAGACAGCCTGGCCAATGTCCACCCTCAGGCCTGGTGACTCCTTAAGGAGTCACCTGGGAGATTCAGGAAGCACCAGTGCTAAGGCAGGGTCCGCCAAGGTTTGGAGGCTGCAGAAGAGAGGGCCCCAGGGCCCCAGCACCCCTCCCTGCTGCAGACTGGCCCCTCTGGGCCAAACAGGCCAGGAGACCCTGATCCCCCTTGCTTTGGCCCAGACCCCAGCTGTCTCCTCACACTCCTTGGGGAGGGCAGAGGCACCAGAACTCCACCCCGCAGAGGCTCACAGGCAGGCTGGCTGCTCTGTCCATCTTCCTGCCTGGCCTGGGTGGCTTCAGGTGCCCTCACTGGTCCTGATCTAACCAGCCCGGGTCCCTGCCCTGGTCCAGCTCCCATCTCCATGCAGGAGCTCCAGGCTCCCTGCTCTGACACGTGGCCCTGCCCTGTGCTAGCTCCCCTGCTTCAGACCTTCAGAGGCCACCAGTGCCCCAGGATAGGCCTCCAGCCGCCCGAGGGGTGGAAGGCCTGGGCCTCTCAGAGACTCACTCTGCCCTCCTTCCACCCAAGTCCAGCCCGGGGACCCTGCCCGGCAGCTCCACCAGCCCCTGTAATCAGCTCTCTGCTCTCAACACCCGTCCCGGCCTTTCCTGGTCCCCCCCTGGCCACCCCGCACTCCCTCAGACGCTGCTTGTGACATTCTCCAAACCAGATCTCATGTCTCATGACATTTGGGACCCCTGGGTCCAGACAGGCCTAGTCCCACCCGCAGCGCATGGGCGGACGAATGGAAGGAAGAACGACAATAAAATAGAGACGAGGGGTCTGGGCGACCAGCGACACCTGCGAGGATGGGGGCGGCTGTGGAAGGTGCCTGGGACGCCGCGGACGCAGCCAGGTCACGGTGGGCGCGGCTGGACGGAGCCGCCGGGGACGCGGGAAGCGCCAGCGCCCGGACACCTGCGGACGGCCCCCTGCCCGCGCCCCGCGCCCCGGCCGCCGGCCTCACCTGCGAAGTTCTTGGTGAAGACCAGGGTGACCAGCAGGATGGGCACCAGCACGGTGCCGATGGTGACCACGCGGTCGAACGGCAGCTCCAGCTTCAGCTGCAGAAGCAGCGCGGCCAGCGCGCCCGCCTTGTCGTCCTGCGCGCCCGGCAGGATCAGCTCCCGCAGCTTCTCTCCCGCCAGCAGCGCGGTCGCCATGTCCGCCGACTGCTCCAGGAGGTGGTGCATGGGGGGCGGGGGGCGCGGCCCGGCAGGGGGGCGCGGGCGGGGCGGGGGGCGCGGGGCGGGGCCCGGCGGGGGGGGCCGGGGGAGGGGCGGAGCGGGAGCCCCGGGGCGGGAGCGGGGCTGGCCGGGCGCGGAGCCCGCGGCGGGGTTTGGGGGGCGCTCCGCCGCCGCCCCCGGGGGCAGGGGTCGGGCGGCCCGGGCCGGCGCGGGGGTGGGGGGCACAGGAGCCGCCCGCCTCCGCCGCAGCCCGGCCCCCGCCCTGGCGCGTGCCTCCGGCGGGGGCGGCGGCGGGATCCCGGCCCGGAGCGCGGGCGGCGGCTGCTGTCCCTGTCTGGGGCCGGCGGCCCCGCTCCCGCCGCGGGGAGGGGGCTGTTTACCTGCGGCGACTCCGCGGCGTGGCTCCGCCCCCACCCCCCCCGCAACGCAGATGCGGCGCGGGCGATGACTTTGCAGAAAATATTTAAATGAAGTGAAATGAATGAGTAATGACCGGTCCGTCTTCCTGGGAACGCGGGGCGGCTGGGTGGGGGCGGCCCCGGCCCGCGGGAGGGTGGGCAGGGGTGGGGGCGGCCCTGCGGGGCTCCGGGCCTGGGCGGGGGCGCCGCTCGGTGGCGACTTGAGGACCGGGCGCGCGCTGGGGCTGCCCCCGCCGCACCGCAGGGCTCTTCGCCCAGCCCAGGACGCAGAAGGGGCTTCCTCGCCCGGGACCCCCACCTGCCCCGGCCGCGCCCCGTTGTGGGCCCGGAAGCTCCCGCGCTCCTGGGGTGCTGCGGCCACGGGTGGGGAGGCCGGCGCCCTCTTCCCCGGGCTCGGGCGCCCGTGCGCGGGCAATGAGGGCATCTCCCCGCCCCATACCCTCCCATGCAGCCCAGCCCCCACCTGAGCCCCCCAGTCCCCCCAGTCCCGCGTGGTCCCCGCCCACAGGGTTCTCTTTGGGGCAGCGGTTTTCCCTTGTGCAGGTCCCCCTCCCACTATACCAGGACGTACGTGCACAATCTTTCATATAACAGATTTAGCGTGATTGGAGTTTTAAGTTCATTCAATAATTCATTCCGAAAATGTATTTTGAGCCCCAGTGTTCGCAGGCCGGCCACTGCTGTGAGCAAACCAGGAGGTCCTCCGCCTCCCTCGGCTGCAGAGGGGATGTGTGTCTGCTTTGAGCTTTCACCCTGTCTGTGCTTTTAAAGATCCTTGCATGTTTCTGAGGGATGCCCGCCCATGGCTTCCAGCAAACTTCATCCTAAGGCAGACAGTTCAGCTACATCCAATCCCAGCACCCAACCACCCAGTCACCCCAAATAACCCAGTCACCCCAGATAAACCCAGTCACCCCAAATAACCCAGGCACCTCCAGATAAATCACCCCTAGCAGATAACACAGTCACCCCTGACAACCCAGGCACCCCAGATAAACCAACTCACCCCCAGATAACAGTCACCCCTACCAGATAACCCAGTCACTGCCAGATAAACCCATCACCCCAGGCACCTCTCACACAACCTATTCACCCGATCACTCGGTCACCTCCAGATAACCCAGTCATCCCAGATACAATAATCATCCCCAAATAACCAAGTCCCCTTCAGTAAACCAGATAAACCAGTCATCTCCTGGATAACCCAGGCACCCCTCAGATAACTCATCTCATATAACCCAGTCACCCCCAGAGAACCGTCACCCCAGAGAACCCAGCCACCCCTCACATAACCAAGTCACCCCCCAGGCAACTCAGTCACTCCCAGATAACCCAGAGCAGTGAGTTCCAGCCCCTCTGAGTGTGGCTGCTGGGTGGGTGCCTTTGTTTTTCAGATGCACTTTCTGCTTTCGCACGGGTGCCTCTCCATGCTTTCCAGAAGTGCTAGATCAGTCCACACTCACACCATCAGTGAAAAAGCTTGCTGTCCCTGTCTTCTTTCCAGCTCTCAGACCATCCACCTTCTAGTATCTACCATCTTCCTTCTCCAGCCTCAGACCTCATCCAATTCTAGCATCTACCATCTTCCTTCCAGCCTCTCAGACCATCCACCTTCTAGTATCTACCATCTCCTTCCAGCCTCAGACCATCCACCTTCAGTATCTAATATGTCTCTTCCAGCCTCAGACTCATCCAATTTAGTATCTACCGTCTTTCCAGCCTCAGACTCATCCACCTTTCTAGTATCTACACTGTCTTCCTTCCAGCTCTCAGACTCTATCCACCTTCTAGTATCTACCATCTTCCTTCCAGCCCTCAGACCATCCACCCTTCTAGCATCTACCATCTCCTTCCAGCTCTCAGACTCCATCCACCTTCTCAGTATCTACTATCTTCCTTCTGTTTTCCTCAGACTGATTCCAATTTCTAGTGTATCTACCATCTTCCTTCCAAAGGCCAGACCTATCCACCTTTCTAGTATTCTGCCTCATCTTCTCCCTCCAGCCTCTGAATAACCACCTCTAGCATTCACCGCCTTCCTTCCAGCGCCAGACCTGATCCACCTTCTATATCTACCATCTTCTTCCAGCTCTCTAGATCTACTCCACCTTCTAGTATCTACCATCTTCTTTCCAGCTCTCAGACCATCCACCTTCTAGTATCTACCATCTTCTTTCCAGCTCTCAGACCCATCCACCTTCTAGTATCTACCATCTTCTTTCCAGCTCTGAGACCTATCCACCTTCTAGTATCTACCATCTTCTTTCAAGCTCTGAAACCCATCCACCTTCTAGTATCTACGATTCTGAGGCGGGGAGTGTAGCTTCGAGGTACTTTGAGTTTCTTTATTCCTAGCGGTTTGTGTTCACGGTCTGTTCAAACCCTGAGCATCACTGGTCAGAGCTCACTGCAACCCTGAACTCCTGGGCTCAAGCAATTCCCCCACCTTGATCCCTCAAGTAGCTGGCATTATAGATGCATGCCACCACGCCTGGCTTCTTTACATTGTTACTCTTATTTTTTGAGACAAGGTCTCTCTGTTGCCCAAGCTGGAGTCCAGTGGTGTGATCTTGGCTCACTGTAACCTCCGTCTACTGGGCTCAAGGGATCCTCCCACCTCAGCCTCCTGAGTCGCTGGGACTGCAGGCGTGCACCACCATACCTGGCTAATTGCTTTAATAGAGATGGGGTTTCGCCATGTTGCCTAGGTTGGTCTCGAATTCCTGGGCTCAAGTGATTCTCCTGCCTCAGCCTCCCAGTGCTGGGATTATAGGCATAAGCCACTGCACCTGACCTTAAAATTTCTTTATCTGTAGAAACAGGGTCCCACTATATTGCCCAGGATGGCCTCAAACCCCTGATCCCCCCAGCCCCCCCACCCCCCGCCTTGGCCTCCCACAGTACTGGGATTGCAGGCGTGGGCCATGCTGAGATTGCAGGCATGAGCCCCTGCACCTGCTGCATTTGTTTTGCACGTTGCCCCCCCCTGCCTGGGGCAGCATCTGGGCCACAGCAGCTTTTCAGTGAACAAGGATGGTTGAGTGGGTGTGATCTTGCATGCCTGTTGAGCGCCACTGAGCACCACTGGCCAGTCACTGTCTTGCACAGGAAGTGGTGGGAGCTTGACAAGGGGAATGCCTGTGGCAGAGCCAGGACCTGGATTCAAACTCGGCACCCTGGCTGCCATCCTCATTCCAGGTGAGTGGAACGATGAGCAAAGGTCGTGATGACACCCTGGCCGCCTAGCCTGCTACCCTCCTCAGGAGGATGTGCGGGGGGAGTGAAGGGTCCACCCCTGCGGTCTTCACACTCCGGTGGCCCAGACTGGAGGACTGTCTTCCCAAATCCCCATATTGTGGGAGCAGCTGCTTCTTTCTCTTGGTGATACGTTAACATGAGATTTCAACACATGGAAGGATCTTGAAGATGGTGAGTGCTGTGCAAAGCTTGTATTCCCATCTCTTTCTTTAGGCGAATAAGCTTTCTGAGCTTCCATAACCATGAAGATGAAAAACAGGAAAAAAAAACTGACAAACTTTCATTTCTGCCCTAAGTAATATCTTCGCATGAAGACATTATTTGCAAATAAGCCCCATACAGATAATTAAATAATGTATTTCTGGCCAGGTGCAGTGGCTCACGCCTGTAGTCCCAGCACTTTGGGAAGCTGAGGTGGGCGGATCACTTGAGGTCAGGAGTTCAAGACCAGCCTGGCCAACATGGTGAAATGACATCTCTACTAAAAATACAAAAATTAGCCAGGTGGCCAGGCGTGGTGGCTCACGCCTGTAATCTCAGCACTTTGGGAGGCTGAGGCGGGCGGATCACGAGGTCAGGAGATCGAGACCATCCTGGCTAACACAGTGAAACCCCGTCTCTACTAAAAATACAAAATATTAGCCAGCTGTAGTGGCGGGCACCTGTAGTCCCAGCTACTTGGGAGGCTGAGGCAGGAGAATCGCTTGAACCTGGGAGGCAGAGGTTGCAGTGAGCCGAGATCATGCCACTGCACTCCAGCCTGGGCGACAGAGTGAGACTCCATCTCGAAAAAAGAAAAAGAAAAATAAAATAAAATAAATTAGCCAGGCATGGTGGCATACGCCTGTAATCCCAGCTACTCAGGAGGCTGAGGCAGGGGAATCGCTTGAATCCAGGAGGTGGAGGTTGCAGTGAGCTGAGATTGTGCCACTGCACTCCAGCCTGGGCAACAGAGTGAAACTCCATCTCAAAAAAAAGAAAAAGAAAAAAAAAATTTCCAGTTCAATTTTATTTTTATGCTTATTACTAAAACTAGAAATGTATGCATGTCATTTTGATTGGGTATTTATAATAATCATAAGAATAACAATCGGCCAGATTGTTCCCATGTTAAGCCTCAGTGCGTGTATTTGGTCGGGGTGTGCTGAGATGTGTTTGGTAGGGACAGGCCAGGCCATGCCACAGTAACAGACGCCAACAGCAGTCCTGGTTGTTGCCCCACACACTGCTCCCAGGGAGCCTGGGGGCTGTCCCGCTGTCCTCAGCCTGGCACAGCAGCCCTCACCCGGGTGTCCAGTGGGGAGTAGGGGTGAGCTGCCCTCTGCCCTCAGAGTCTTCGCATCAGCGACATCACTGGCCTTACACACCTGTGGTAGTGAAGGAGGTGGGGGTGAAATCCTGTTTTGTGCCCAGATGCCCACACCTTTCAAACATAACACATTTTGCATTAGGATATAAACATGTGGGGGAGTGGAACAGAAATGTGAGTTCAAGGAAAAGAAGAAATAGACTTTCTAGCTGTGGAAGAACAGCTTGCTGGTGTCCTCTAAGTGGATGATGGTATCAAATTGTAATGGCATTTTTTGTTCCACTGGATACACTGAAAAGTTTTTTAAAATGGCAAGATTTGGCCAGGTGCGGTGGCTCACGCCTGTAATCCCAACACTATGGGAGGCCGAGGTGGGCGGATCACAAAGTCAGGAGATGGAGACCATCCTGGCTAACACGGTGAAACCTCGTCTTTACTAAAAATACAAAAAATTAGCCAGGTATGGTGGCGGGCGCCTGTAGTCCCAGCTACTTGGGAGGCTGAGGCAGAAGAATGGCGTGAACCCGGGAGGCGGAGCTTGCAGTGAGCCGAGATTGCGCCACTGCACTCCAACCTGGGCAACAGTGTGAGACTCTGTCTCAAAAAAAAAATAGTAATAAATAAATAAATAAATAAATAAATAAATAAAATAAAAATAAATAAAATGGCAAGATTTATAATATGCTGTGACTTACATCATAAGCACGTTTAAAACATGATGAAGAAAAAATCTTAGATAACTAAAAAAATGAGGGAAGAGGTACACTCCCTTAAGGTTTCATTTAGGGGACTCCAAGCACCAAAGTTGAAAACTGCACCAGCCTGGCCAACACAGCGAGACCGCCTCTACAAATAACCACAAGCAGATTAGCCAGGTGTGGTGGCACGCGCCTGCGATCTCAACTGCCTGGGAGGTTGAGGTGGGCAGAACACTTGAGCCCAGGAGACTGAGTCCAACCTGGGCAACATGGCAAAATCCTGTCTCTACAGAAAATTAGCCAGGTGTGATGGTGCACAGCTGTAGTGACAGCTATTTGGGAGGCTGAGGTGGGAGGATCACCTGAGCCTGGGAGGTTGAGGATGCAGTGAGCCATGACAGTGCCACTGCACTCCAGCCTGGGCAACAGAGCAAGATTCTGTCTCAAAAAAAGTCCAAAATCCTGTGCAGACGACACCTGTCTACAGGCCCCACTTGCCTCTGCTTCCCTGGCCTTGCTTTGCAGGGATGTGTGGGTGGCTGAGCAGTGCTGCCTTCCCGGTAGCCTGGGCCCCTCCAGGGCAGCCTCCTCACTGACCTCCTTCTCTTCCCCTCCCTCCCTGTCACCTGACAGCTTCCTGCCACTCTTGCACCAGCGAACAGGTGCCCCGAGTCCTTTATAGAATGACCCCGCCGGGTGTCTTGCCACGCCGGACACACGCCAGATCATTGCTGAGGTGTCCCCCAGCTGAGGACAACTGCCCAGCCTCAATAGTGGCTCCCCACGTCTCTGCCCAAGAGCACTCCCTCAGGTGTGGACCCCACGCCTGCTTCTTGCCTCTCTCCCACCTGCCAGGACATCCACGTCACTGAGCCCAGAGAGGCGGCCTCTCAGTGTCAGGGCTGACCCCACTGCTCCCTTCACCTGGGTCAGAAAAGTCCCCAGCCTCCCTGGGGGGCGTCCCTTCGATTTGGGGTTGACAGGATGGAGAGGTCCTTGCCCCAGGACTTCCGCTCTGCAGAGGGAGTCCAGCAAATGCTGGCTGCAGGAGCACTGGGCACAGCAGCCTCTGCGCATGGGGGCTCTGCCTGGGCCTACCTGGGAGGTTGTCCTCAGCCTACCAGCCTGAGGACAGTGCGGGGCTCACCCCAAGTGTTCTTCCTGCCACTTCTCTGCTCCTCCTGGCCTGAGATGCGTCGCCCGTCTCCACGTGTTTTATTTCTGGCCCAGAGATGTGTTCTAAGGACCCCTAAACTCAGTACCCCTAGGGTGCAGGCCTGCACCCAGGAACCCACCCAGCTGCAAACTCCCAGAAGCACTGGGCCTAGGGCAGGCCTGACTGCCACCCCCACAACCCTGGCCCCATGTAAAGCCTCAGGCCCTGTGGGCTCTACATGCCTGGTCCATGGCCCTGGCACTCTGCTGAGTGGAGCTGGCAGCCTGGAGCCTGGCACACGGCTAGTTCAGGTGAAGTGGACAGCAAGCCATCTCCAAACCCCACGCTAGCAGGGGTGAGAGGCCACATGAAACCCTGGTCATCACTGACATGGGCACACATCTCGACGTGGAAAGGCTGCTGGGGGTCACTCAAGGGTTTATTTCAGGGTGGGCGGCAGTGACTGCCCCGTGGCAGGAACAGGCTGGCATATGCCAAAGTCAGGGCAGCAGCAGCTGGGTTCAACCTGGCAGCCCCACACCCACACACAGCCCTGCCTGGCTGTGAGACAAACGCAGGCCACAGGAGCCACGGAGCAGATGGAAACGGCAACGTGGCCAGGCCGAACACATGGTCTCTCTGCTGTCAGCCACTGCAGATCAGTTGGGCTCCTGACGCTTCTCTGGTCCTGTGGATTCTGGCACCACTGGGTAGGAGGGGTCTGCCACCCCGTCGCCACAGCTGCAGACAGAGGAGAAGTGGATGGCCAGTGAGGAGCTGCACTCTTTTCCCACTGTGGGTTTTACAAGGGGACTTAGTTTACCCCGTTAGCCTATGCAAGACAGGTGACATGACCCCAAATGTCCAGGAAACGGTGACTGCTGAAGCCTAGGATGAGCTGAGATGGCTGTCGGAGGACTAAGGCTGCAGCGAGTTGGGGGGCATGTGGGTGGGCAGGAACGGTGATCGCTGAAGCCTAGGGATGAGCTGAGAGGAAGGCTCTGAGGACTAAGGCTGCAGCGAGTTGGGGGCATGTGGGTGGGAGTGAGGGGGACAAGCCGAGGAAGGAGGTGTCATGGAGGACTGGCTGCAGGCAGGTTGGGGGGCATGGGTGGGGGTGAGGGGACAAGCTGAGGAAGGAGGCCGGGCGGAGACTCACAAGGCTGCAGCGGGTTGGGGGGCATGTGGGTGGGGGTGTGGGGATGTTGAGGGGAAGGTGTGTGGCTTCAAGTGGAGGACTAAGGGCTGCAGTGGGTTGGGGGCATGTGGTGGGGTGAGGGACAAGCTGAGGAAGGGTCAGTGAGACCAAGGCTGTAGCGGGTTGGGGCATGTGGGGTGGGGGTGTGGGGACAAGCTGAGGAAGGAGGTCATGGAGGACTAAGGCTGCAGCGAGTTGTGTGGGCTTGGGGAGGAGGTGACAAGCTGAGGTGGCGTGTGGCCGCGAGGCGGAGGACTAAGGCTGCAGCGGGTTGGGGGGCATGTGGGTGGGGGCAGGAGAGCAGGGGAGAGCAGGCTAGAGCATGTTTTAGAGCCAGCCTGTCCTTGAGGAAGACAGCAGAAGTGCTCACTTTTGCAGAGACTGCAGTTCAGGAGGTAAATCGCATCCCATGTAAACACCATTTGTAATACTGTATTCCAGCAAAGCACCAAAACAGGGGTCCTGTTGGCAATAACAATTAGCCTGGCATGAGAGCAAGTGAAGGCCCCATGTCTCCTGGTGCCGCGTGCGTCTCATCCCCAGTGACCTGGACCCTCCCTCCTTTTCTGTTTTTTTTTTTTTGAGACGGAGTCTCGCTCTGTCACCCAGGCTGGAGTGCAGTGGTGCGATCTTGGCTCACTGCAAGCTCCGCCTCCCAGGTTCCCGCCATTCTCCTGCCTCAGCCTCCCGAGTAGCTGGGACTGCAGGCGCCCGCCACCTCACCCGGCTAGTTTTTTTCTATTTTTTTAGTAGAGACGGGGTTTCACCGTGTTAGCCAGGATGGTCTCGATCTCCTGACTTCGTGATCCACCTGCCTCGGCCTCCCAAAGTGCTGGGATTATAGGTGTGAGCCACCGCGCCTGGCCTGGACCCTCCCTCCTTAAGTGATCACAGCCCACCCAGTGCCTGAAAACTCACTCGAACGAGAACATGGGGGTTTCCCAGCACTATCAGCAAAGCTTTGGGTCTGGTGATTGCAACATTAAATCTTTTTGAGTTGGACAAGAAACCCAAAAAATATCGATCATCTTCAAATCTATCTTCATTTGACCGTACCTAAAAGCACACAGAGATGAATAAAAATGGCGTTTTAAATTTTTGGGGGGCATGAAGAGAAACTCTTGACATATGAAAACATTTAGAATGTTAAATAGCAGAATGACTTCCTTTTTGGTTCAAAAAGAAACAGGAGGAGGAGGGGGAGGAGGAAGGGCAGCAGAAAGGGGTGGGACTCATCGGCACTCCGTCTGCAGACAGGGAGCCCTCACGCTTGTGGCTGTCTGGATGGCGGGGTCTTAGGGGCTCTCCTGTTGGTACCTGCCCTCCCACTCTCTGCTCCTCAGCTGCCTGTTCTTCCAACTTCGTGTCCCTCCTTCTCCAAGGCATCCACCATGTCTTCCTGGGTCCCTTCTCTTTACTTCCCTGTGTCTCAGTCTTTTGAGTATTGTTTTCAAAGACCTTCCCACAGCCACGGCTCACGATGGCACCTGGGCCTAGGGAGTCTCCGCCTGCAGCTGCTTCTCCGTGCTGGGAATCGGCCTCTGTCCCTTTAGATCTGAAGCCCCCAAAACTCCCAAGGCAGCAAGTGCCTGACTGGCCAACCCCATGGAGAACAGGGATACCTACGGTCGAAATGATGATGACCAGATACTCTTGTCCTTGAAACTCCTCTACTGATCCAACCTTTATATCCATCAGATCAACATTACGCAAAAGAATTCTGATTTTCTCCACCTTGAGAACAGATTAAAAGAAAGACTAAAGATAACACTGTACGAATCCATTTTTCTTTTTTTTTTTTTTTTTTTTGAGACGGAGTCTCGCTCTGTCGCCCAGGCTGGAGTGCAGTGGCCAGATCTCAGCCCACTGCAAGCTCCGCCTCCCAGGTTCACACCATTCTCCTGCCTCAGCCTCCAGAGTAGCTGGGACTACAGGCGCCCGCCACCTTGCCCGGCTAGTTTTTTGTATTTTTTTAGTAGACACGGGGTTTCACCGTGTTAGCCAGGATGGTCTCAATCTCCTGACCTCGTGATCCGCCCTTCTCGGCCTCCCAAAGTGCTGGGATTACAGGCTTGAGCCACCGCACCCAGCCTTTTTTTTTGAGACGGAGTCTTATTGTCACCCAGGCTGGAGTGCTGTGGCGTGATCTCGGTTCACTGCAACCTCCACCTCCTTGGTTCAAGCAATTCTCCTGCTTCAGTCTCCTGAGTAGCTGGGATTACGGGCGCCTGCCACCACACCCGGCTAATTTTTTGTATTTTTTAGTAGAGACAGGGTTTCACCATGTTGGCCTGGCTGGTCTTGAACTCCTGACCTTGTGATCCACCTACCTCAGCCTCCCTAAGTGTTGGGATTACAGGCGTGAGCCACCGCCCCCGGCGTGTACATATCCATTTCTTTACACATCACAGCGTGAACCAAATATTGGCCAATGTGCAATATTGTTTTTTAATTCTTTATTGTTTTCTTCCAATCTGAATTGATTAGAAGACAAATTCCAGTTTTAGTTAAACTGGGGACGGGGGACAATGCTTATTAGGAAAGCCAAGTTTCATGTGGAAAATCCTCCCTCCCCACAAGCACACATCAAGGATGGAGGAAGTCCTTCAGGAGAAATGAGATGCGTGTCTGCTGCTTAGAGCTGAGGTGTGTGTCTCAGCAGGATGGCACCTACACGCTGAGGTTAAGACACCAGGACACTGGCTGTGTGATGTTTGGCAACTTACTTGTCTCCACAAGCCTTCGTAATCTCTGTACCTCTGGGAGAGCTAAGCACTCACCTCTTGAGGCCCCGAGGTCAGACAAAAGGAAACATAACACCTGTGAAGGGCTCTGCAAGCCCGTGGTACAGGTGATCTGTTACTGTGACGGCCTAGGGGACCCACCTTTTCTTCTGCATTTTGGGGGTTCTTTCCAAGCTCTGCTTGGTGGTGTGAACGCCACAGGGACACATGCTTCATGAAAGTGTTTGGCATGGGAGCCACCTGCGTCCCCACCAGAGCTCCAGAGCCACTGTGAACGTGTGGAGATGCTTCCTGGGACCAGTCCCTGGGCCTCCGGGGCCACTAACTCCCCTGTAATCACACTGCAGTCACAGGAAATGAGAAGTGTCCCATTCAAATACAACCAAAATCGCCCCCTTTGAGAAATACTGGGTTAGACCTGGGGGTTGGCAAATGTTTTCCCAAAGGGCCAAATATCAAGGGACATATAAATGTAACCATTTAGAAATGTAAAAAACTGTTCTAGGCTCCGGCCACAGAAAAGCCTGGAACTAGTGCGTGGATGGCAGCTGGCTGACCTCTCGTGCTGAATGACATTCAAGTGCGGTCCTGCTCCTTTAAAAACCTGCTGCTGCTCAAAGGAGCTTGTTTCTGCCTCTGTGGAGCTGCAGGGACCTCACAGAGCCAGGCGTGCCTGGGCAGGGCGTACCTGCTTCCGGTAGGGCGTGATGACGCCAATGTCGCTGGCAGACACCTGACTGGAGATACTCTGGGCCAGGAGGCAGCAGTAGCGCAGGACCTGGACGGCCTCGGCCGGGTTGAACCACGATGGGCTTTTTCCCTCCCGTGCCTCGCTGCCCTGGGTTGATGAAGAGGGAAAACCTCCTTCACTCCATGAATATTCGCCAGAAGGCTGCAATCCAGGAGCTGAAGTTGGTGCTGGGAATACACACTAAATATGACAGAACGAATCCCTGCTCTCACACAGAACTTCCATGGGAGCAGGGCAGACGGCACATGTTAAATGATGATGGCATGGCTCACAGCCATGTGAAACGCTGCAGAGGAGGATGGTCACACGAGTCCACCACTCGGGTCTGAGCCCCGGAGTGGAGGGCTGGTTGGCTCATCTTCTTCTTCTTTTTTTTTTTTTGATATTAGACCTTTGACATAGCTACTGTTCATCTTGAAAATACTCTTCCTTAGAAAACATTAATGAGATATACTGACATAAAAGACAGACATATAGATCAACAGGGTAGAATGGAGAATCTAGAAATAAACCCTTGCGTATACGGCCTACGGCCAGATGACTTTTGACAAGGGTGCCAGGACGGTTTTTCAACCAATGCTGCTGGAAACACTAGAGAGCCACATGAAAAGGATGAAGATGGACGCTCACCTGACACCACCTGGAAATGTAAACTCAAAAGTAGATGGAAGATCTAAACCTAAGACCTAAATCCATAAAATTCTTGCAGGAAAATAGGGAAAAAGCCCCACAACACTGGGTTTGGCAATGATTTCTTGGATATGACACCAAAGCCACTGGCAATAACTAAAAGGGATACACTGGACTACATCCAAATGGAAAATGTCTGCGCATCAAAGGATGCAATCAACAACGTGAAAAGATAATCTGTGGAGGGGGAGAAAACCTTTGCAAATAGTATAGAAGAAATTAATATCCAAGGCCGGGCGCGGTGGCTCACGCCTGTAATCCCAGCACTTTGGGAGGCCGAGGCGGGCGGATCACAAGGTCAGGAGATCGAGACCACGGTGAAACCCCGTCTCTACTAAAAATACAAAAAATTAGCCGGGCGCGGTAGTGGGCGCCTGTAGTCCCAGCTACTCGGGAGGCTGAGGCAGGAGAATGGCGTGAACCCGGGAGGCGAAGCTTGCAGTGAGCCGAGGTCGCGCCACTGCACTCCAGCCTGGGGGACACAGCGAGACTCCGTCTCCAAAAAAAAAAAAAAAAAAAAAAAAAAAAAAAACAAAAAAAAAGAAATTAATATCCAAAACTATAAGGAAGTCTTAAACTCACTGACAAAAGACGACCCACTTAAATATGGGCAAAGGACCTGAATTCGCCAAAGGAGACATACAAATGGCCAACAGGTGCATGAAAAGCTGCTCAAGGCCACAAATCATTGAGGAAATGCAAATCAAAACTACAGTGAGCTACATCTCACTCCCACTAAGATGGCTACTATAAAACAACCCAGAAAACAAGCGGTGGTGAGGACGTGGGGGAACGAACCCTGTGGCACTGTTGGTGGGGTGTGGAATGCTGCAGTTACTGTGGAAAGCACGATGATGGTTTCTCAAAAAATTAAGACTAGAATTACCAACAATTCCACTTCTGGGTATATACGCATGAGGACTGAAAGCAGGGTCTCAAATAGATATTTGTACACCGGTTATAGTAGCACTACTCAACAGTCAAATATCTGCAGCCTAAGTGTCCACTGATAGATGAACTAATAAGCCAAGTGTGATGTATACACACAATACAATGTTACTCAGCCCCCAAAAGGGAGGAAATTCTAACACACACTACAACATGGATGAACCTCGAGGACAGGATGCTCAGTGCAATAAGCCAGTCACAGGACAAACACTCCATGATTAATTCCACTTATATGAAGTACCTAGAACAGCTGAATTCATACAGTCAGAAAGTAGAATGGTGGCTGCTAGGGGCCGCAGGGAAGAAAGTTACTGTTTCATGGGTACAAATTTTTTTTTTTTATTTTTTTGAGACGGAGTCTCGCTCTGTTGCCCAGGCTGGAGTGCGGTGGCACAATCTTGGCTCACTGCAAGCTCCGCCTCCCGAGTTCCCGCCATCTCCTGCCTCAGCCTCCCGAGTAGCTGGGACTACAGGCGCCACCACCACACCCGACTAATTTTTTTGTATTTTTAATAGAGATGGGGTTTCACCATGTTAGCCAGGATGGTCTTGATCTCCTGACCTCGTGATCCTCCTGTCTCGGCCTCCCAAAGTGCTGGGATTACAGGCGTGAGCCACCGCACCCAGCCGGGTACAGAATTTTAATACTGCAAGATAAAAGTTCTGCAGACTGCAAAACAATGTGAATATATTGGCCGGGCGCGGTGGCTCAAGCCTGTAATCCCAGCACTTTGGGAGGTCGAGACGGGAGGATCACGAGGTCAGGAGATCGAGACCATCCTGGCTAACACGGTGAAACCCCATCTCTACTAAAAAATGCAAAAAACTAGCCGGGCGAGGTGGCGGGCGCCTGTAGTCCCACCTACTCGAGAGGCTGAGGCAGGAGAATGGCGGGAACCCGGGAGGCAGAGCTTGCAGTGAGCTGAGATCCGGCCACTGCACTCCAGCCTGGGTGGCAGAGCGAGACTCCGTCTCAAAAAAAAAAAAAAAATGTGAATATACTTAACACTATTAAACTTTACACTTAAAAATGGAGGCTGGGGGTGGTGGCTCATGCCTGTAATCCCAGCACTTTGGGAGGCCGAGGTGGACAGATCATTTGAGGTCAAGAGTTCGAGACCAGCCTGGCTAATATGGTGAAACCCCGTCTCTACTAAAAACACAAAAATTAGCTGGGCGTGGTGGGGCACGCCTGTAGTCCCAGCTGCTCGGGAGGCTGAGACATGAGAATTGCTTGAACCTGGGATGCAGAAGTTGCAGTCAGCCGAGATCATGCCACTATACTCCAGCCTGGGTGACAGAGTGAGACGACTGTCTCAAAAAAAAAAAAAAAGTTTTTAACATGACAAATTTTATATTATGTGTAAATTTATTTATGAATGAATGAATGAGGCAGGGTTTCACTCTGTTGCTCAGACTAAAGTGCCAGGGCATGATCACAGTTCACTGAAACTTCAGCCTCCTGAGTAGCTGAGACTACAAGTGTGCACCACCATGCTCGGATAGTTTTTGTATTTTTTGTAGAGATAGGGTCTTGCTATGTTGTCCAGGCTGTTCTTGAACTCCTGGGCTCAAGCAATCTGCCTGCCTCAGCCTCCCAAAGTGCAGAGGTTATAGATGTGAGCCACATCCAGCCCTACAACTTAAAAAAGTGACCACCAGGCTGGGCGCGGTGGCTCACGCCTGTAATCCCAGCACTTTGGGAGGCCAAGGCGGGCAGATCACTTGAGGTCAGGAGTTTGAGACCAGCCGGACCAACATGCTGAAACCCCGTCTCTACTAAAATTACAAAAATTAGCCAGATGTGGTGGCCAGCACCTGTAGTCCCAAATCCTTGGGAGTCTAAGGCATGAGAATTGGTTGAACCTGGGAGGCAGAGGCTGCAGTGAGCCAAGATTGCGCCACTGCACTCCAGCCAGGGCGACAGAATGAAACTGTCTCAAAACAAAACCAAACGAACAAACAAAAAACCCAAAAAGTGACTGCCAGATAAAGCACTAAAAATACAAAAATTAGCTGGATGTGGTGGCAGGCACCTGTAGTCCCAGTTACTTGGGAGGCTGAGGCACGAGAATTGCTTGAACCTGGAAGGCAGAGGCTGCAGTGAACCGAGATTGCGCCACTGCACTCCAGCTGGGGCGAAAGAGCAAAACTCTGTCTCAAAAATAAAACCAAAAAAAAAGAAACAAAACAAAACCAAAAAAACCCCCACAAAACAAAACCCAAAAAAGTGACCACCAGATAAAGCAGTAAGAATTAATTTCGTTGTTGTTGTTAAACCATGTAACTTATTCATTTATTGTAAATAATAAATGACTGAAGAAACTTAAAAGATTAATGGGATGGAAACTTATAGCAGAAACTTCTAAACTGAGAAACAATTCAATGAATAGCAACCAACCAACTAGAAAAAATCAGGAAATAAAATAACTAGGAAAGGTAAAGAAGAAATAATGTGGAATCACTATAGACTGGACTGATGGATGTCTCTAAAAGCAAACTGACTCCCAAAATGGATTAAATATAAAAACCTAGCTGCTCCTAAAACATACAATAAAAAATGAAAACAGAAGGCAAAGACATACCGTGTAAAAAGAAAAAAATGGCACTGTTAACATTACGAGGTGAAATTTAACACTAACACACACGACAGTATGGAAGGGTATTACATAAGAAGGAAGATAAAGCAATGATAAATTGTATGCATGAAACATAGCAGTTAAAATTCGTAAGACAAGAACGATTGGAAACCCAAGGATAATTTGATGAGCAGCACAATGAGAACGAGAGGCTTCACTCCTCTTCTCCACCATGGCCTACCCGTGACAGATCCTAGGTCAGGACACCGAGCTGCAGAGTGACAGCCTCCATACATTTATTTTTATTTAGTTATATGGTTTTTAAGAGTCAGGGTCTCACTCTGTCCCCTGGGCTGGGGTACCGTGGTGCAATCATAGCTAACTGCAGCCTCAATCTCCTGGGCTCAAGCGATCCTCTGCCTCAGCCTCCCAAGTAGCTGAGACCAAAGGCACATGCCACCATGCACAGCTAATTAAAAACAAATTTTTTTTTTTTTTTTTTTTTTTTTTAAAGAGACGGCAGTTTCACTGTTGCCCAGGCTAATCTTGAACTCCTAGGCTCAAGCAATCCTCTCGGCTCGGCCTCCCGAAGTGCTGGGGTTACATGCGAGCTCCTGTGCCTGGCCACTAGTGTGTTTTCCTGATACCCAGGAAAGCTTCTGAGGACGGGCAGAGCTAGGACAGATGGCGGGAGACGACTGCTGGGGAGGGACTTGCCTCAGAGAGCACCATGTTTTGAGGTGTCCGGCTCACTGCAGAGCCCCTCAGGACTCCTTCCCTTCCAGATGTGAGCACCCCGCAGCCACCACACACACGTCCCACCCCACTGCTTTGGACAGTTCCCTCAGGAACTTACGAAGAGCAACTGGGGGCCATTGCTGGGTGGGGCATGGAATGCAGAGGCCCCGAGGCAGCCGAGTGGTGTAGCCTGGACCCCTGTCCTCCGGGGCCCATGGCATGGAAGGGGCACTGGCACCAGGGTCCCCCTGTGGCCTGGGTGTAGCCCTCACTGCAGATACCGTGAATGCCCCTTCCTCTGGGGGAGGGGGTTAATGCAAAACTTGATTTCTGCTTCTAACTAAATTCCTAATACAAACTATCTCATTTTAGTGAGTGCTTGTAATTTTGCTTGGCCACTCAGCATCTAACTCTGTCCCTCCGTGAGGCCTCAGAGAGGGGGTGGTGGCCCGTCACTCCTCAGGCCCCAGGCACAGGGCTCGGGCTTGCGGCTGCTGCCTTCCCTGCCCAGCTCTCACCTGACAGCTCCAACCCTTGAGGGAAGCACCAAGAGGGAGGCGGCGGCGGCCTCCGGGAGCTTCCTGCGGCCCCGGGGTATCCCGTCACACAGCCCTGCAAGCTTCCCCAGGCCCCCCAGGGCTCACTGGGTATCTTTGCTTCTCTTGGAGCCCAGTGCTTGTCTGCTGTGACCACCTGAGAGTGGTGGCCATGATGTCCCCTTGGTACCAGGCACAACTCATCTGGCAGGAGAAGTCGGCATCCTTCTTGGGGGACACAAGCCCTTGATGGCTTTTCACTCTCCAGTGACCAATGGAGCATCTGCCCCGCCACAAGCAGGTGACAAGAGCGTCACCTGGGAGGAAGGACCTCCTGCCACACTGTCCTTACCCGACGTGGTCACCTACGGGTTCAAGACACAACTCACCCGCACACCATGGAAGATGAGAGGGAAGCCTTTCTTAGGCAACTTCTCCCAGCCCAGCAAAGAGGTCACCACTGTAGGGTCCGCACAGACCTCGAGTTCCCTGTGGTAGAACAGCTGTGAGGGCAGGGTCAGCAGGGCCTCGTGGGACCGGTAGTTCTTCACCAGCTTTGTGACCTACAAGGAGAGGGTGATGGGTCACAAGGAGAAGGTGGCACCTGGCACAGTTTCTGTCAAAGGAAAAGCGGCTCTGCACGGCAAACGTGAGGCCCGCCTGACTTCCAAGCCCGACTCTGCCCCTGTGCCCCCAGTGTCGCCTGCCCCCAGACCAAGCCCTTGGATGATGGTGAAGCCAAGGGTCCATCTGAATAGAAAAATGGGAACATCAGGAAGAAAAGGGTGTGACGGCCACCCTCTTTTCCTCTCCTGGGTCTGGGTGGGGCTCTCAAAGGGCTCCTGCCACCTGGAACCCGGCAGCTGGGAGGAGGGCAGGTGGACGCTTACCTCATGTGCTGAGAGCTTCACCCTGCAAACAGTGTCTTGCCGGCCCACGAAGCCCCGCCTCCGCTGGCCACAGGGAAGGAAGAGCTCCTGGGCCCCTGGGCCAGGAGAGTATAGACACTGTGACTGTGGGGGCATGGCCAGCCCTGGGCAGGCCTGGCTGTGACTTCAATGATGCGGCCGAGGGTGACTGTGATGTCACCAGTACATGGGACACGTTTACTATCTGCCTCCAACTTGCCCAGGAAGCTCACTCAGGGCAGGCACTCTTCCCGTGGTGCTGGTGTAAGCAGCCAGGGAGGGTCTCCAGGGACTACAGGAGTTCAACCAGTCAGAGTAATGCTCAGTCTTGACACTGCTCATCACACGTGACCCACGTGTTGGCATGAGGACTCGCTGCGTCTGTGCCATGGGGAGCCGCCCTCCGCATGCAATGCTACACCCTCTGCCCTCCTGTCACTGACTGTCCCTCAGGAAGACACTACTGGGGAGAACACGCCCAGGGCTCTCCCTCCTTGGGATGAGTAACAAAGCCCCTGTTGGTGAAAACCTGAGTTCCCGTGGTGCTGTCAGTTACTCGCCAGGTGATACGGGCACGAGAGTGCCATTACTGGTCCCATGACTCCTCCTGACTCTGTCAAGCCTAACTAGAATGTGTCCACCCTCCAACGTGCTACTCCAAACTCCAAATGTGATCTAGAGTCATGGCACCTCTGCCTTAGCTGGACCCGGGCAGCTGCTGGGGAAAAGAAAGGAAGCATGCCGCCCCCTGGGGTCACTGTGGCAGCCGCTCTGGTTGGAGGGTGCAGGACACTGCCCAGGCCCCGCACAGGACAAGGCCTTCACCTCCTGTGTGGCAGGGTCTGTCTGTACCTGTGGCTGTGTGCCACGTGCACCTGCCCTGAAGGCTGTGTGGTGGGGACGGTGGTGACGGCAGCTCTCAGGCGCCCTTTAGGCCCAGCAGCTGGTCGCAGCTGGCCGTCTTCCTGGGGGCAGTTTCATGGCCTCCTGGCACAGCCGGTGCCTGTCTTGCGAGTGGACCCTCATGAGACCTTCCTTGGCCTGAAGACCCCACCTGCCCCACACCCTTGACAACCAGGAATGGGGTCCAGTCCTTTTCCCTGAAAGTCTGCCCACAGTAACTGCCCGTCATTTTCTATTGATGTTAATACTGGCAATGGGAATCAGACGGAGACTGTTCTTCTGTGGGCTACAGGGGCTTAAAAACTGAGGCTACTTGGTTCACTGTTTAATGATGGGCGCTGGAGGCCCAAGCTCAGTGTGCTGGGGGCTCCAAAGATGCAAATCCCAACGCCCATCCCTCAGAATTTGGTACAAGGTTGGCTGAGAGCCCAGAACCTGCACTTCAGTGGGACCTTGGGGTCGGAGACCACTGAGGAGACATTGCCTGCAGTCACTCTAGGGCAGGCTTTTTAAGTCACAAAAGTGACTTCCTGCTTTTCTGATGTGCACAGAGTAACACAGATTTTAACTTATTTTACTGTATCTGACCCCAGAGTCTCAGCCATTAGCACCAGGCTGCAGTTTCTGCTGACGGGGGAGGTGCTGCGGTGGGTGCTCTCCTGCACTCTGCCCACGGACAGAGATGACTCGGGTGGACAGAGAGGTGAGCTGCTCAACTGACCTGGAGCCTGTGTCTGCTTAACTGGGACCGGAACACGCTGGAGTCTGTGACTCACCAACAGGGGGTTATGTGCGCCACAAGCACCGAAAGCATTTTCGTCCCTCTGGTACGCAGGTCGAGACATCAGCCGTTCCAACAAGGACACGTTCAGCCCATAGGCCATGGCGAGTCTGGACTTAATGACTGGGCCGAGCTGCATGGGGTCTCCTGCCAGCACAATCTGCACACGGAGGCTGGTCTCAGCCCACACAGGGAGGCCGGTCTCAGCCCATGCAGGGAGGGGCCGAGGGGTCGCTGCCACGCCCACGGGCTCGGGTGGTGGGGGTGGGGCCGCGCACAAGGCCAGCCCAGACTCGCTCTGGCTGCAGGGGATGACGGGAGGGGCTGGGAGACCAGGGGATGCCGACAAGGCTTGGAGCCATCTCTCTCCGCTTCTCCCCGAAGTCCTGCCACCTGCCCGGCTTCTGCAGCCTGGCTTTCTCTCCTGCGAATCTCTCAAAGTGGTAAGAGCCCCAAGGATGCCATCTATCTTCTGGAAGCTTCGTGTGGCCGGCCCTGGCCGTCATCCCACCTGCCCCTGGCCTCTTGCCCATGGTTGCCTTGACCTGGTGAGGCTGCCCAACGCCACTGCTCCACCTGGACCAATCCCTGCTCCCTCCCTCAGCGCCAGCTTCATGCTCCACCCCATGCCTGGTGACTGGGACAGGCATCTAGGATGGGCGCCAAGGAGGAGCCTGAAACGTCCAGCGCTGGACACTGGATGAGCTCACCTTGATAAGTCACAGGGAGGGAAACAGGGGAGTTCAAGGTGATGCCCACGCCACCATCAGAAGCACCCAGTGAGGAAACAGATGGGAGCGGACAACAGAGGATGCACAGAGCTGGAGGCCGGGGCAGCCAGAGGCAAAGGCGGGTCAGATGCAGGAGCACCGGCCCTGTTCGCCCCTCCAGACACTGTGCGGCTGGCTCACCCACAGCAAGGACCACATTCCTGACTTTACTGCTGCATCCCCAATACCTAGAATGGCTCCTAACCTCCGTTTTAGAAGTGAGTGAGTCAAGACATTCACTTCTTGTCCAAAAGGAATAAAGTACAATAGCGACCCATGGCCCCCAGCACCTCAGGGTCCTTGGCACTTCCACCTGACCCCATATGGCTGTGACTTCCCAGCAGGACCGCAGCCCCCATCCCCACAGGAGAACAGGGTGAGGAGGAAGCAGCACACACAGTAGTCGGGACTTACCTGGCCACTGACGTCTGACATCAGCCCCAGAGGAATGAGGCATTCTGGCTCACTTGCCTGCCCGGCCTCATCCACAAACACGTGAGTGAAGTGTCCAACTCTAGAGCAAAGATATTCTAAATGGTAATTTCTGCCAAATTGTTTTAGCAATCGATGCCTCTGACACACTGGCAAAGCCACGCTCAGCACCCATGGGGCCAGCTGGGTTGCCCAGGGGTGTGCAGGAGCTGGGGGTCTGGGTGTCACGCGGCTGGAAGGAGGACAGGCCACAGGCATCAGGAGATGCCGGCTAAGCCACATCAGCACCCGGTGCTCTGCACGTAGTGTCTGTATTTCTAGAGATGTAGAGGGAAGAAGGGGTGGGGGCGAGGGGCAACACACGAGCGCATCCTGGGGGTAGCTCACAGGAGAAGCGCCGCAGGCTCCTGGCCTGCTCTCCACCTGCGTCTCACTCCTGTGATTATCAAAATGCCCAGGTTTGACTCCTGATCTCCCCTCTCTGAGCCTCCACCTCCCAAATGTCCCTCAGGAGGCGGCTAGGGTGAGAGCCGAACTGGCTGCCATGAAGCACTGAGAACAAGCCTGGCCGGGCAGGCAGCCACAGATGGTGGCCTCTCCTGCCATCCGCTCATTTCCTCTTGACTCATCCTTGTGAGCTATTCTCAGCTGGGCACTGCCCAGCCTGCCATGCCAATAGGCTGAGGCCCCGGGAGCCACTTCCCAATCTGTGGCACTATTAAGAAAATAGGGTCTCTAGAATGGCTCCCCACAATTCTGGCCCCTGCTGCAAACTCAGTGAGGTTCCCAGCTGTAGAGCAGCCCCTCCTGGCAGGTGCCTGTCCAGCTCTCCCTTCTCCGTGTGCCCAGGTGTGGCAAGGGAGGTGCAGGGGCAGAGAGTCCACAGCGTTGCTGATGGAGGGGGTGGGGATTTTGCAGGAAGGAGTCGTCAGATGCAACTGCCTGTCCGTGGCTCAGCCCCCACAGAAGTTGCAGAGCTCTTGCATGGGAAGGTTGTGGGACTGAGCGAAGAGCAGGAGCTCGTTCGGCTCATGATCTGTTTCTGGAGTGCAGAGGGGCCGCCCCACCTGGGGCCACAAGCTGAGGAACAGGCACCCCGAGTTCACTGGCTCGCCCATCCCAGCAGCTTCTACTCTGTGGTCAGGAGGCCTCAGTGGGGAAATGCTGTTGGGGCAGAAACAGGTCCTGATGCCCGAGGAAGCAGGTATGGGGCAGGGAGAGTATCCGGAGCCATGCCAACACTCAACAGGAGGCACTGTGGGCCCGCACCCTTCTCACTGCCAAGCCCAGGTTCACCCTTCTCACTGCTGAGTCCAGGATCTCCCCTCTCCAACCCCAGACGCTAGGCAAATCCATCACCTCTGAGCCTCAGGTGTCCCACTGTGGGGTGAGACCCTGTGGTCAGAGCTGTGCCGGGGTGGGCTCCTGCTCACAGCAGTGCTGGGCCCCACACGTCCTGCATGTCCTGCACCCACTCATGGCCAGCTGACACCTTTCACTTCAGGTCTCAAGACACGGATTTCACAAGTGACACCGTGCACCCTCCCAGTGAAAGATGCAGCAACCAGCACACTGCCATTTCCCCATCTCATGTCCCCACTGCTGCTGAAAAAAATTAACATTATGCATCTTTCCTAGAATGTAAGCATTTAGGTTTGAATTCTGTATTAATTGCAGTTATTTAATGTCACTTTTGCCAGATGACGTTGCTACTTCTTTCCCCTTTGAAGTGTCCCTCCCCGCTCCAGCCGCCCCCAGTGGCCAGCTAACCCTGTGGGGCCTCTGCAGCTGGGCTGCGACACCCTCCCTGCTTCTGCACAGAGCGTCTCTGAGACAGCGGCCCGCCCCAGCCTGTCACCTCCTCCCACTACCTGGACATCAGCTCCAGGGTGCAGGTTTCATGCTGTGCCTACCCCACCTCCACAGAGCCCTCTGCACCCCAGTGAGGCCAGGCTCTTCAGCTCTTGACCTTTGACTCATCAACACACATTAAAAAAAATCCCTCTCTCGTTCAGATCCGTGCTGTCCAATCCAGTAGCCACACATGGCTCTCGGGCACCGCACAGTGGCTAGTCTGAAACCTGACACGCTCTAAGTGTAAAATACATTGTGGATTTTGAAGACTTGAACCAAAAAAATTGTAAAGTGTCTCATCAATCATGTTTTACTAATCTCATGATGAAACGACGTTGTGTATGTGGGAGACTAAAACACGCCGATGAAACCATTCATGACACGTTGTGACAGGCGTGGCCGGCTGTGCCTTTGCTCCGTGTGGAGCTGACAGACCACCTCCTGTGGTCACCCCCACGACCACCGTGATGCTGGACACTGTCCAGGGCGACCTGTCTCCAGGCTGTCAGGGAGGGTGGGGCTTTCCTTGGAGCCCCTAGCTTCTCTCTCTCTCACCCTCAGCCTGTGCACCCGACACTGTCTGGCTCTACTCACTGAGAGGGAGCTGCCTGCTGCCTCCCCGACCCCAACTCCCTGCACAGGGGTCTGAGAGTGCCTTGGTCCTCACTCAGCCTCCCTGGGCTCGAAGCTCTTCCTCCCATCCCCCAGGGGAGGCCCTCCTATGACAGCCGGCACCCTGCACTCCATCTCCTCTGCCTGCCTCCCCTGCAGAGCCCCCACCACCAGGGGCACAAATGGCCCCCAAGGGTCTGACCTTACAGAGCCCAGCCGTTTCCTAGGCAGCCTGCCTCCCCACGCCCACTCCAAGCGACTCAGTCTCCTGCTCAGAAGCCCTTCACTGGCTTCCCAGCTCACCAGTGGTCAGTCCAAAGGCCCCTCCACGGCCCACCAGGCCCAGGCTCCAGGCCTCCCCTTCACCACCTCGTGCAGGACGTTCCTGCTCATGAGTCTCTGGTTCCAATCTCCTTTGGGGAGACCTCAGCATTCTCCAACTGTGGGGCCTCTACACGGGCCAGTCCATCTGCCTGCCCATCCCACTGCTGGCTCCTTTGAGTCCTTGGGGTCTCGGCCTCCCCGGCTCCATTCAAGCACAGCCCTCCCCAACCAGCCTTTCTCACCCACAGCCCTGCCTCCCTCCCTGAGCACTGAGTCTCTGGGTCATCCGCCCCTCAGACAGAAGCTAGGAGAGGACACTGACCTCTGCTCTGGGAGGTCCCGCGCCACACTCCACGCCCAAGGCTCACCTCACTCCTATTTGGTAAAACAGCCCTGAGCTGCTGCAAGTGGTGATGATTATCCGGAAGCGTGAGGCTTTCCAGATGTCTTCTCCGTCTCTGCAATACGGTTTGACAGCATCGATAACTATCTGGGGGCAAGGAGGCATAGAGTTTACTCCTCCAATTATTAAGCACTTCTATAAACTGGACGGAATCACCAGGGCAAAAAGAATTCCAAAAGGGAACCTTGCCCTGGTGCCACTTCTTAGTTACGTCTAAGTCATGATTTAAGGTTTTTTCCTCAGAATACTTCATACTTCCTTATCAATTCAGTCCATGTTTTATCAACTCTAGAGTCACATATAACACATAATCCTGCAGATCCTTCCCCAAAACAACTCTGTACATTTTCTATTCAGTTTGTTTGTTTGTTTATTTAGAGATGGAGTCTTGGTCTTGCTCTGTCGCCCAGGGGTGTGATCTCGGCTCACTGCAGCCTCCGCCTCCCGGGTTCAAGCGATTCTCCTGCTTCAGCCTCCCCAGTAGCTGGGATTACAGGTGCGTGCCACCACACCCAGCTATTTTCAATGTCTTTTTTAAACACAATTATTTCAGGCTGGGCACAGTGGCTGAAGCCTGTAATCCCAGCACTTTGGGAGGCAGAGGCGGGTGTATCACTTGAGGTCAGGAGTTCATGACCAGCCTGACCAACATGGTGAAACCCTGTCTCTACCAAAAATACAAAATTAGCTGGATGTGGTGGCCCACACCTGTAATCCTAGGTACTTGGGAGGCTGAGACAGGAGAAACCCAGGAGGCGGAGGTTGCAGTTAGCCGAGATCACACCATTGTACGCCAGCCTGGGCAACAAGAGCAAAAACTCCGTCTCAAACAAACAAACAAACAAACAAACAAATAAAAGCAATACTTTACTCTATAACCAAACCAGCAACTTAAAATTTCCCTAAAGGTATACTTAAAACCAAACCAACAAAACAAAACTTATAAAGTAACGAGACATTTGGGGATTAAATAAAAGAGGAATGTGATAATTTAACAACGCTACGAATGCCCACAATAGGTCTGATAACTCACACAGAGTGAGAATGTGATGAAATATTCAGCAATCAAGCTCCACTATTTAGCGGTGAGGGAGGACCCACTGCAGAGCCATTTCTCAAACACAGCTTTCTGTGGCACCTCTCTGCCCACCCTCCTATCCCTGCCCTCCCCTGCTCACTTGGCATTTCCTATGTTCCACGGAGGGGTTCTGGTGCCCTCCCACTGCTCACAAGGGCTCACCTCCTCAAACCTGCAGGTGGCGTTCACCCGGACCATAGTGGCTGGCCGTAGCACCTTGCTCTCGTGCAGCCGCAGACACACGAGGTCAGCGGCACTGTTGGAGGGCGCACAGACTAAAATCCGACTGTCCGGCAAGGCAAAGTGTACCTTCATCAAAGACACACAAGAGACCAAGGCTCAACATCCACATGCAAGGTGGAAACCAGGAGCCTAAGCTCAACATGAACATTCGGTGCAGGAACTCAGCTGCGTGGGCTCAGATGCCAGCCCCCAATACACTGAGACCCGGGCCATGACTGCCTCATCATACTGCTGCCAAGGCGTGGGTAAGGTGGGAAGGTTCTCCACACTCTCTAAGATTCTAAACCACCTTCCAGGGCAGAAATGGAGTCAGACTCATCTGCACGCATCCGGCATGTTGTACAATTGTGCACTCAATACCTGTTTGCTAATTTGAATCCCGAATGACGCTAAATGTAGACGGTCTTAGACTTACAATGGTTTGACTTAACGCTTTTTTGACTATATGACGGTGTGAAGGCCATCCCCAGTCAGTCTGCTCCTCAACTTACAACGGATCATGCCTTGATGAGCCTGAAACAGGCTTTTCCCAAATCCCATTACGATGGGTTTATTAGGTGGTAACCCCATCAAAAGTCAAGAAGCATCTGTACACAATATTTTCACAAACTTAACTTCAATTACAAATGAAGATATCTAAAACTTCTGCAGAATGGTGGCTGTAGCTACTCCAAGAGTTACTTCTGCGGCAAAATTTCATGATTCAGATAAAATAGTTTACTAGGCTAAAAATGAGTTTCCTTCTAAACCTATGAAATAAGCTTTTAAATCCCCACATATCCATATAAACAGACTTAACATTATGAAATAACTGGTATTTCTCAAGCTCTTTCCAGCTATCCAATTCTACAATCTAAACCCACACTTCCTGAAGACACGGACGACACGTGAACAGCAGCACAGAGCCACAGCACCCGCGGCGCCACTGTCCTTACCTGTAAAACAGCCTCTATTATTGTCACTGTCTTTCCAGTCCCAGGAGGTCCAAAGAGAATATATGGGAGGGGACGGCAGTCGCCACTCAGAATCCTTTTAACTGCTAACTTCTGATTTTCATTTAGCACCGGATTGAAAAACTCCATCTTTCTTGCTTTAGGGGTCTGAATTTCATCTACTGTATTCAAAGTGGGGAAAGTTTCAGTTAGATGCAAATAGCTCTCAACAGCTGTGGACACATCCTCACCTAGGTCAGGTGTCAGCATGGCTGTGTAAAGGCTAAATCAGACTACAGACAGGGAGCAGCTCTTCAGTGTGACCATGGGTAAGACGCGCACAGGGGCATTCCTTTAATAATCTGTGTGTGTGTGTGTTTTTTTTTTTTTTTTTTTGAGACAGGGTCTGGCTCTGTCACCCAGGTTGGAGTACAGTGGCACAATCTCAACTCACTGTAACCTCCACCTCCTGAGCTCAAGCAATCCTTCCACGTCAGCCTCCCAGGTAGCTGGGACCACAGGCACCCACCACCACACCTGGCTAATTTTTGTATTTTTGTATTTTTTTTTTTTTTGTATAGAGACAGGGTTTCGCCATGTTGTCCAGGCTGGTCTCGAACTCCTGAGCTCACGTGATCTGCCCACTTCAGCTTCCCAAAAGTGTTAGGATGACAGGTGTGAGCTCTGCACTCAACCTGTCTGTGCTTTGTTAAAGAGGGTCAGGAGAATGAATGCAGCTTCTGAGAGGAAAATGACAGGGCATCATCTGATTCTGCAGCTTTAGAGATCACACTCAAATATTAGAGACTGGATTAGAAAATGTCCACATCTACAAAGAATACCTGGAAAAAACCACCCTGAATCTAAAAGTCTTCTTAAAGTATCAACCCTAAAACACCGAGTCTCCAGTCAAGGTGGAGACAGCAGCCACCTGCCACAGGCCACATGTCCCTCGACTGTTCTTCCTTCTGCATGAGAGCCCACTCCTCAAAGTCCCCGTTTTCCAGACGAGAGTCTCGGAGTTGCTCTTCTCCTTGCCCCTCACAAGCACATACCCCAATCACTCATCTCTGCAGTAAAGGGCGCCAGCGCCGGCAGGTCCTTGTCACCAACACGTCTCTCCTTTGTTCCATGTTCAGCTTGGTCCGTCATCGTTTTCCCATTCTAGAAATTATCAGGCAGAAAAATGGTTTCAAAAAAACAGCTCGGTGTTTACACTGGTTTGGTTGAAAGAGCAAACATAAACATCTAGTGTTCTACTTTAACAGCTCTTTGGATGGATCACAGGTCAGATCCTTTGAAAAATAAAGAAAAAACAAATTATCAGATAAAAAGCTGCTAAAAAGGCTTACGCTTTTTCTTTGAACTTGCTTTTATAAATAAATATAAAGTAAAATTTGTGATGAAACCAAAGCGCAGGACATTTTATTTTATTGTCTTCCCTTGGTACATCCTACCTGCTTTCCAGGCTGGACAGCGGGGGAACCTGCAGGGGACGGTCAAGGGTACAGCCTAGGGCTCTGGGTCTCACGGGCCTGCACAGTGTGCAAAGTGCCAGTGCTGCCTGTTGACGTCAGGCAAGGTCCTGCACCAGGCCGGGCGCCGGGCTCATGCCTGTCATCCCACCACTGTGGGAAGCCAAGGCAGGTGGGTCACTTGAGCCCAGGAGTTCAAGACTAGCCTGGGCAACATGGCAAAACTCTGTTTCTAGCAAAAATACAAAAAAAAAAAAAAAATTAGCAAGGCATGGTAGTGCTCACTTGTGGTCCCAGCTACTTGGCAGGCTGAGGTGGGAGGATCACTTGAGCCCAGGAGGCGGGGCTGCAGTGAGTGGAGATTGCACGACCAACTCCAGCCTGGGTGACGGAGACCCCCCAACTCAAAAAAAAAAAAAAAAAAAAGAAGGCTGGGTGCAGTGGCTCACGCCTGTAATCCCAGCACTTTGGGAGCCTGAGGCGGGCAGATCATGAGGTCAAGAGATCGAGATCATCCTGGCCAACATGGTGAAACACTGTCTCTACTAAAAATACAAAAATTAGCTGGCCGTGGTGTCACCAGCTACTCGGGAGGCTGAGGCAGGAGAGTCGCTTGAACCCGGGAGGTGGAGGTTGCAGTGAGCCGAGATTGCGCCCACAAGAATTGGTTGTACGTTCCAACGTAAACGGCATTTGTCCTAAACCAGTGGGATTTTCCATTTTTTTCATTACAATCTGTAATTCACAGCTTTGCACATTTATCTTTGTTAAATAATTTCATTACTTTCATATGACAGATTCTGGAATCTGTAAAATCGAAAGTTCTGGGGTCAGCAGTAGTGGCCCACACCTATAATCTGAGCACTTCAGGAGGCTCAGGTGGAAGCACTGCTTGAGTCCAGGAGGTCAAGGTTGCAGTGAGCCATGACTGTGACACTACACTGCAGTTAGGAGGACAGAGGAAGACTCTGTCTCAAAAAAAAAAAAAAAAAAAAAAAAAAAAAAAAGGTCTCACATTAAAAAATTTACACACACGTTACTAAGTTTTAGTCTAAAACAGGCTTGTCCGACCAGCAACCCATGGACTGCATGAGGCCCAGGACAGCTCTGAATGCAGCCCAACACATATTCGTAAACTTTTTAAAACATTATGAGTGTTTTTGTGATTTTTATTTTCAGCTCATCAGCTATCATTAGTGTTAGTGAATTTTATGTGTGGCCCAAGACAAATCTTCTTCCAGTGTGGCCCAGGGAAGCCAACAGATTGGACATCCATGGTTTAGAAGTTTATGCCAATATTCTCCTTCCACAACTATTGTGTTTTGCAGAGTGTGACTGACATACAATAAGGTGCACATATTTGAAGTATGTGACTTGACAAGTCTGACATGTGCACATACTCATAAAACCATCAGCACAATCGAGACGACAAACAGACCCGTCAGTCCCCAGAGCCGCCGTGTGCCGCAGCCCCTCCAGTCACATTGGCTGCTCACGTGCTCTGGAACTTCATACTTCACATGAATGCACACAGTGTGACTCACTGGAGAGACATCTGTGCTGTTGCATGTCAACAGCTTGCTCCCTGTATTGCTGAGTCATGTTCCACTGTACGAACGCAATGCGACTTGCTTATCCATTCACCTGCTCATGGACACTGGGTTTTTGGTGATTAAAAATCCAGCTGCTGTGAACTTTGTGTATGGGTCCTGGCGTGGCCGTAGGTCTTCATCTCTCTGGGGCACATGCCTAGAGATAAATGACTGGGTAGTATGGCAGGTGTGCATCCAGCTTCTTAAGAACACCTTTTGCACAGTGGTGTGCCACACCCCCTTCCCATAGCAGGGTACGTACGTGCCAGCGACCCCACATGCTCACCAGTGCACAGATGGTCCAACTCAATTTCTGGCCATTCTAGTAGGTGTTCAGTGGTACCTCGTTGTGGTTTAATTTGTGTTTCCCTAACAACTAATGATGTTGAACATCTTTCATGTGTTTATTACCATCTGTATGTATTCTTTGGTAAAGTGTTCAAGTGTTTGATCCATTTTTGAAAACTGAGTTCCTAGGCAGTTTGTAGAGTACTGTGTTTGCCAAATACAAGTTCTTGATCAGATGTGATTTGCAAATTATTTTCTCTAGTCTGTCACTTTCCGTTGTTTTACCAGTGTCTTGTCTTTTCTTTTTTTTTTGAGACAGCGTTTTTCTATGTTGCCCAGGCTAGCCTTGAACTCCTGGGCTCAAGAGATCCTCCAGCCTCAGTCTCCTGGGTCACTGGGACTAAAAGCGTATGCCATTGTGCCTGTCTAACAGTGTCTTTTCAACAGCAAAATACTTAATTTCATTGAAGTCCAATATATCAATTTCTTTATAAGTCATGCTTTTAGTGTCACATAAAAAAAATCCTTGCCCAAAGGATGTGCAGATGTTCTTCTACGCTGTTTTCTAGATGTATAGTTTTAGGCTTTACATTTACGGCTACGAACCACAGAGTAAGTTAGTTTTTGTTTATGCTGTGAGGTACGGATGCAGGTTCATGTTTTTGCATGTGTCCTGCATTTACAGATCATTTTAGGTAAAACAGGCAACTTGATAATATGGAGTCTTCGGACCCCAGAGATACAAATAGTATCTCTCTCCATTTATTTACATATTTTGTTGCCCACCTTTTGTCAGATGTATCCCTAATGTTTAAAACATTTAGGTGCTACTTAAAAAAAAAAAAATTCAGGCCGGGTACGGTGGCTCAGGCCTGTAATCCCAGCACTTTGGGAGGCTGAGGCGGGCGGATCATGAGGTCAGGGGTTCGAGACCAGCCTGGCCAACATGGTGAAACCTCGTCTCTACTAAAAATACAAAAATTAGCAGGGTGCGGTGGCATGCACCTATAATCCCAGCTACTCAGGAGGCCAAGGCAGGAGAACTGCTTGAATCTGGGAGGTGGAGGCTGCAGTGAGCCGAGATCTGCCACTGCACTCCAGTCTGGGCAACAGAGCGAGACTCTGTCTCAAAACAAACAAACAAAAAACCAAAAAACAATTTCTGAGTGTTTACTGGAAATATATATACAACTTATTTTTCTACACTGATCTTGTATATTGCAAAATCACTTATTAGTTCTAACAGCTTCATTTTAGATCCCATCAGGTTTTTTCTTTTTTTTTGAGACAGGGTTTCACTGTATCAGGGCTGCAGTGTAGAGGTACAATCACAGCTCACTGCAGCCTCGACCTCCCAGGCTCAAGGGATCCTCCTGCCTCAGCCTCCTGAGTAGCTGGGACTATAGGTGTGTGCCACCATGCCCAGCTAATTTTTAAACTTTTTAAAAACAGAGACAGGGTCTTGCATGTTGCCCAGGCTGTTCTCAGTGATTTTCCCATCTCAGCCTCCCAAAGTGCTGGGATTACCAGCATGAGTCACTATACCCAGCCTCCATCAGACTTTCTACAGGATGTGGATGCCTTTTCTTTCTGCTTCATTGCACAATGCTGGGCAGAAATGCTGAGTAAACATGCTCTGATCCTGATCTTACAAGCAAAGAGCATTTAGTTATCACTAAGTAGGTTTTTGTAGGTAACGGAAATTTCCTTTTTATTTCTAGTTTGCTGAATTTTGATCAGGAATGGATGCTGGATTTTGTCAGATGGTTTTTCCTTTTCAGCTTGTTAATATGGTATATTACACATTGATTTCTGGAATGTTAAGCCATTCCTGGGATGAACCCTCTTGGTCTCATATACGTGTCATATAAATATATATCTGAATATATGTGTGCGTGTGTGTGTGTGTGTATATATATATATAATTTTTGAGACAGAGTCTCGCTCTGTCACCCAGGCTGGAGTGCAGTGGCATGATCTCGGCTCACTGCAATCTCCACCTCCTGGGTTCAAGCGATTCTCCTGCCTCAGCCTCCTGAGTCTACAGGTGCATGCCACCGCACTCAGCTAATTTTTTTCTGGGATGGAGTCTTGCTGTATTCTATTGCCCACAATGGAGTGCAGTGGCACGATTTCAGCTCACTGCAGCCTCCACCTCTGTTCCATTTTAGATAGTTTCTACTGCTCCGTCTTTAAGTTCACTTTTTTCCTTCTGCATTGTCTAGTCTGCTGATAATTCTGTCCAATATATTTTTCATTTTAGGCACTGAAGTTTTCATTCCTAGAAGATAAAATTGTCTTTTACATATCTTTCACGTCTCCAATTAACATGCTTATGTCTTCTACTTTCTGGAACACATGGAACTTATTTATAACTGTTTTAATGTCCTTGTCTGCTGATTCTACCATGTTATTTTGGGGGGTTGGTTCCAACTGACTAAATTTCCTCCTTTTGGGTTATGTTTTTCACTTTTTCATTTTTTAATCAGATGTCAGACAGTGTTCATTTTATACCTTGTTGGGTGCTGGATAATTTTATATTCCTATAAATATTCTTAAACTTTGTTCTGGGATGCAATCCAATTATTTGGGAACAGCTTGCTCCCTTTGAGGCCATCATACTTTGTCAGTCTGGGCCGGAGCAGCCTTCAGTCAAGGGCTGGACTTTCTACACTCCTGAGACAAGGACTCTACATGTGAATTATGAGGTTTTTCTTCTCTGGCTGTGGGCACAGCTATTTTTGGCACTGTGACAACTTTAAGGATTTTTCTTGCTGTTCTTTCCAGCTGGTTCTTTTCCAGGCCTGGGTATTTTACTCACATCATGCATTCATCAATGCTCAGCTGGAAACTCAAGGAGGAACCTCTGTAGGTCCCCAGATGCTCTCTGTGCCCTGCCCTCTCCCCAGCACTCTACTCTGTCAGCCTGATCCCGCTTGCCCTCCCCACCCTTCCAAATGCTGTCTCTGCACTCAGATAGGTCACCAGGCTCCACCTGGGCTCCCTCTTGGTACTCTCTGGCCAAGACACTCTCGGAAGGCTGTGAGTTGGGAAAACCATGGGGTCACCTCATTTGTTTCCTCTCTCAGGAATCCCTATCCTATGACAGCTGATGTTAATGTCTGAAATTGTTGTTCCATATGGTTTGTCTGATTTTTTTATTGTTTCAGGAAGAAAGATAAATCTGGTCCCTGAAATTCTATCTTGGTTGACATATGAAATATTCTTGAGGCCGGGCGCGGTGGCTCAAGGCTGTAATCCCAGCACTTTGGGAGGCCGAGACGAGCGGATCACGAGGTCAGGAGATCAAGACCATCCTGACTGCACTCCAGCCTGGGCGACAGAGCAAGACTCCGTCTCAAAAAAGAAAAAAAAAAAAAAATTCTTGAGTTTATTTTCAATCTAGTTAATCCATAAGAAGATAATGTTTTGCATTTTAAAATCCACAGTCAATTAGGAATGTGCCCACCTAAATAGTAACACCTCCCCGACCTCACAGGCCATCCGCATCACAGACTGTCCCTGAGAATCAGGCAGTATAATGAACTAGTAATGAGGTGATGACGGAGAAGAAAAGCACTGTCCAAGGAAGACTCCTTTCTATTTGCAGAACAAAAAAGAGATCAACTATAAAATACACCACAAATAACTTTCAAGGATAACCTCTTGCTGCTTCATTTGTCGTATTTTCCATGATTGTGTAGGCATTCTAAACCTATCATTTTTGCATTTTGGGGGAGGAACTATAAAATGGTAAGCATTTTTGAGTATTAGATATAATTTAAAAATTCATGTTATACATTGAAAACATGCTCATAAAACCAAATTTGAATAGCACAGAGTAAGTTGTAAGCTCCACCATGGCATGGATGACTTTCTCGTTATTAGAAACACAAAGATAAAGAAAACCACTTCTATTGTATTCACAAAAACAGGCACTATATTACTAATTATGGAGTGACTGGACTATGAAAGCTTTTTTTTCTTTTTGAGATGGAGTTTCGCTCTTGTTGCCCAGGCTGGAGTGTAGTGGCTCAATCTTGGCTCACTACAACCTCTGCCTCCTGGGTTCAAGTGATTCTCCTGCCTCAGCCTCCCAAGTAGCTGGGATTATAGGTGTACACCAGCACGCCCGGCTAATTTTTTGGATTTTTAGTAGAGATGGGGTTTCACCATCTTGGCCAGGCTGGTCTTGAACTCCTGACCTCATGATCCGCCTGCCTCGGCCTCCCAAAGTGCTGGGATTAGAGGAGTGAGCCACTGCGCCTGGCCTAGAAGTTTTTATAAAATATCTTTGCAACATTCATGAAGTTTGGAAATGTTAACAGTTTGCGGGGTGTGTATCCTTCCAGATATTTTCCATGCATACACAATCACATAAATGTACCTAAGTGTACACAAAAACCATATAATTTAAAAATAAAACTCTAAAGCCAGGCGTGGTGGCTCACGCCTATAATCCCGGCACTTTGGGGGCCGAGGAGGGTGGATCATAAGGTTAGGAGTTCAAGACCAGCCTGACCAATATGGTGAAACCCTGTCTCTACTAAAAATACAAAAATTAGCCGGGTGTAGTGGCACATGCCTGTAGTCCCAGCTACTCTGGAGACTGAGGCAGGAGAATCGCTTAAATCTGGGAGGCAGATGTTGCAGTGAGCCAAGATTATACCAGCGCACTCCAGCCTGGGTGACACAGCGAGACTCTGTCTCAAAAAAAAAAAAAAAAAAGAAAAAGAAAAAAACCCAACTCTAAGGTCATATAAACATCCATACTTTGCTTTCCCTATTTAATATATTGTAGCCATCTTAGCCCTTGCACATAAACTTTACACTAAATCTATTTTGTGAATATTTTAGTTCACTTGATTTTAACTGCAATTTTGCGTTATTTGTGAACCACACTGCTCGAATACTCCAGTCAACTGAGCGCTAATACGCCAAGAAGGAAATTCCCATCCCCTGTGTAGAGACAGTTACGTCGCTGAGCACTACCTTTTTGCTAGTAGACTGTCCATTGCTTTTGATGTCTTGTTCATGGTTCCAATTTCCTGTCACTTGGGGAGACTGTAAAATAATTTCTTCTGGAAACAACACTTTTAAAACAAAAAAAGGTAAGAGCATAGGTATAACTAAAAAGCTAAAAAAAAAAATTATTAGAGGTTGTTTATGGCTGACCCTAAAGTAATTAATATTCTATTCCCTTCCTTTCTTAACCTGCCTGTTACACTGTTTCTAAATCAGAGCATTATTAGTACTGCATATTCTTCACAACAAAGCCATTTACTCGCTCATCTGCAAAAACAAAAATGAATTACATTTATGAGGGGAAAAGCGAGCAAGATGAATTTATTTTCAGTTATTTGAGCAAGTTATTATTAGTTATTCACTAAGCTGAAATAGTAAGAAAATACTAAAACTTGATAGAAAATTAAAAACATGAATATAACAAAGTTTTACTTCTAATGTTATGACTGAAGAGACTATTTTACACAAAATTTTACATGAAGCCTATAAAAATACTCTGTGAAGATGTAACACTATCATTCTATAAAAATAATACCTTTTACACCTAAGTGGATGACTTGTTCAAGTGCAAAGTGACACCGTCTGCTTGTAGTCCTGCCGGGAAGAAAACCACATAAAATAACTAACTTTGCATTCAGAACTATTAAGGCTGGCATACAGTAATGCAAATTTGATTATACAACCTTTAAGTCAATATAAAAAAAATCACAGCAACAATCCAACAACCAATGAAATAGAGAACAGAAAAACACTAGAAAGGATGGGTGCAGCAGTTTACACGTGCAATCCTAGCACTTTGGGAGGCCGAGGTGGGCAGATCACCTGAGATCAGGAGTTCGAGACCAGCCTGGCCAACATGGTGAAACCCTGCCTCTACTATAAATACAAAAATTAGCCAGGTGTGGTGGTGGTGCACACCTGTAGTCCTAGCTACTCGGGAGGCTGAGGCATGAGAATCACTGGAATCTGGCAGGCAGAGGTTGCAGTGAGCTGAGATGGCACCACTGTGCTCCAGCCCGGGTGACAGAGTGAGACTCTGTCTAAAAAATTTTTTTGTAAAAACCACTAGAGAATACCAACGAAGCCAAAAAAAAAAAAAGGCATGGGACAAAATCCCACACCATTCTTTTTTTTTTTTTTTCTTAAAGAGACAAGGTCTTGCTGTGTTGCCTAGGCTGGAGTGCAGTGGCACATTCACAGCTCATTGAAGCCTCAAATTCCTGGGCCCACCTGATCCTCCCACCTCAGCTTCTCAAAGTGCTGGGATTACAGGTGTGAGCCACCACACCTGGCCCCATATCCATTCTTGATTAAAAACTCACTAGGCCGGGCGCGGTGGCTCAAGCCTGTAATCCCAGCACTTTCGGAGGCCGAGACGGGCGGATCACGAGGTCAGGAGATCGAGACCATCCTGGCTAACATGGTGAAACCCCGTCTCTACTAAAAAAAATACAAAAAACTAGCCGGGCGAGGTGGCGGGCGCCTGTGGTCCCAGCTACTCGGGAGGCTGAGGCAGGAGAATGGCGTAAACCCGGGAGGCGGAGCTTGCAGTGAGCTGAGATCCGGCCACTGCACTCCAGCCTGGGCGACAGAGCGACACTCCGTCTCAAAAAAAAAAAAAAAAAAAAAAAAAACTCACTAAAATAAGAATCTATCTCCTCAACCTGATAGAGGACCACTATGGAACCTACAACCACAGTGTACTAAGTCATTCAGGACTGACAGCCCTGCCCCTAAGACCAGGGACGAAGCCAGTGCATCACTTCTCACCACTTCTATTCCACACCGGCACAGAAGTTCCAACCAGTGCAGGAAGGCAAGGGGAAACAAATACAGAGCATCCACATAAGAAAGGAAGAAGTAAAACTGTCTTTGTTTTGTTTTGTTTTGTTTTCAGACACAGCCTCGCTCTGTCACCCAGGCTGGAATGCAGTAGGGTAATCTCAGCTCACTGCAACCTCCACTTCCTGGGTTCAAGTGATTCTCCTGCCTCAGCCTCCTGAGTAGCTGGGATTACAGGCGCCCGCCACCACGCCTGGCTGATGTTTTGTATTTTTAGTAGAGACGGGGTTTCCCCATGTGGGCCAGACTGGTCTCAAACTCCTGATCTCAGGTGATCCGCCTGCCTTGGCCTCCCACAGTGCTGGGATTACAGGCGTGAACCACTGCACCCGACTTGAAACTGTCATTCTTTGATGTACGACTGTATATGCAGAAAATCCTACAGACTCTATGAAAAGCTACTGTAGCTATTGAGTTTAGGAGACCTGCAGGATACAAGGTAAACAGACAAAAATCAACTGCTTTTTATAAATACTAGAAACAAGCAATTAGAAACTTAAGTTAAAATTACTGTTTATAATAGCCATTTAAAAACTTTAAATAGGTATAAATCTGACAAAAGATACGTAAGACCTATACACTGAAAAGTATAAAATCTTGCTAAAAGAAATGAAAAAAGACGCAAATAAATAGAGAGACATACCATTTTCCAGGACTGGAGGACTCATTATTATTAAGATTTCAATTCTCCCTTAAACCGACCTATAGATTCAATGTAATCCCAATCAAAATCCCAACATGCTTTCTGTAGAAACTGATATGACCTAAAATCCATGGAAGAATAAAGAAGACCTAGAATAGCCAGCCAACTCTGAAAAGGAACAAAGTTGAAGGCTCGATACTACCTGATTTTGAGACTTATCATAAAGGCACATATCATATACTATGTTTTTGTTCCCCTCAGCTTCATGCAGTGAAACTTCATCCCCAGTATGATGTTATTGGGTATGAGGAGTTGAGGCCTTTGGCGAGTGATTAGGTCATGAGGGTGGGGCCTCAAGAATGGAGTTAGTGCCCTTACACAACAGAGCACAGAGAGCTCTCTCTCATCCCTTCTGCTGCGTGAGGACACAGGGAACAGACAGCCGCCTATGAACCAGGAAGCAGTCCCACTAGGACACTGAACCTGCTGGTGCCTTGACCTTGGGCTTCCCGACCTCCAGAGCATGAGTAATACATTTCTGTTGTTTATAAGCCACTCCATCTATGGTGCTATGCTAATGCAGCCTGAGTGGACTAAGACAGACAATAAGACCCTGTAATGTTGGTGTCAAGACAGACAAGTGTACCGTATGGAACAGAACAGACAGTCTGCAGAAACAGATCAACAAATATTTGGTTGGCCGGGTGTGGTGGCCACGCCTATAATCCCAGCACTTTGGGAGGCTGAGGCGGGCGGATCACGAGGTCAGGAGATCAAGACCATCCCGGCTAACACAGTGAAACCCCGTCTCTACTAAAAACACATAACAAACTTAGCTGGGTGTGGTGGCAGGTGCCTGTAGTCCAAGCTAGTCAGGAGACTGAGGTAAGAGAATGGCGTGAACCCAGGAGGCAGAGCTTGCAGTGAGCCGAGATCACGTCACTGCACTCCAGCCTGGGCAACAGAGCGAGACTTTGTCTCAAAAAAAAAAAAAAAGGCCGGGCGCGGTGGCTCAAGCCTGTAATCCCAGCACTTTGGGAGGCCGAGACGGGCGGATCACAAGGTCAGGAGATCGAGACCATCCTGGCTAACCCGGTGAAACCCCGTCTCTACTAAAAAAATACAAAAAACTAGCTGGGCGAGGTGGCGGGCGCCTGTAGTCCCAGCTACTCGGGAGGCTGAGGCAGGAGAATGGCGTAAAACCCGGGAGGCGGAGCTTGCAGTGAGCTGAGATCCGGCCACTGCACTCCAGCCTGGGCGACAGAGCGAGACTCCGTCTCAAAAAAAAAAAAATTTGGTCAACTGAATTTTTTTTTTTTTTTTAAACAAAGGTACAATAGTAATTCATTGGAGAAAGGACAGTTTTTTCATCAAATAATGCTGGGACAACTGGATGTTTATTCCACCCTCCAATTTCCATTCATTCCCCACAAGTAATTTGCGAAACTCAATGAGACAGATCACGAACCTAAATGTGCAGGTTAAAGCTGCCAAGTCTCTAAAATAAAGCAGGATAAAATCGTTGAGATCCAAATTAAAGATTTCTGAGATGCATCACTAAAAGATCTGTGAAAGAAAACATTCATAAACTGGACTTCACCAAAATTAATAAATTCTGTTTTTCAAAAGGCACTATAAAAACAATGAAAATACAAGCTGTAGTCTGAGGAAATATTTGCACAGACACATATCTGATAAAGCATTGTACTGAAACTATACAAACATCTCTGCAAACTCAATCATGAGAAAACAATTTTTTAAAATGGGCCCAAAGACTTGAGGAAAGACTTCAACAAAGATTTTGTACAAATGGCAAAAAAGCACATAAAAAGATGTTCAGCGGCCGGGCGCAGTGGCTCACACCTGTAATCCCAGCAATCTGGGAGGCCAAGGTGGGCAGATCACGAGGTCAGAAGATCAAGACCATCCTGGCTAACACGGTGAAACCCCGTCTCTATTAAAAATACAAAAAAATTAGCCAGACGTGGTGGCGGGCGCTTGTAGTCCCAGCTACTCTGGAGGCTGAGGCAGGAGAATGGTGTGAACCTGGGAGATGGAGCTTGCAGTGAGCCGAGATCATGCCACTGCACTCCAGCCTGGGGGACACAGCAAGATTCTGTCTCAAAAAAAACAAAAAACGGGGCCGGGCACAGTGGCTCACGCCTGTAATCCCAGCACTTGGGGGGCCGAGGCAGGTGGATCAAGAGGTCAGGAGATTGAGACCATCCTGGCTAACACGGGGAAACCCCATCTCTACTAAAAATACAAAAAAATTGCCGGGCGCGGTGGCTCAAGCCTGTAATCCCAGCACTTTGGGAGGCCGAGACGGGCGGATCATGAGGTCAGGAGATCAAGACCATCCTGGCTAACACAGTGAAACCCCGTCTCTACTAAAAATACAAAAAACTAGCCGGGCGAGGTGGCGGCGAGTGCCTGTAGTCCCAGCTACTGGGGAGGCTGAGGCAGGAGAATGGCGTGAACCCGGGAGGCAGAGCTTGCAGTGAGCCGAGATGGTGCCACTGCACTCCAGCCCGGGCGACAGAGCGAGACTCCGTCTCAAAAAAAAAAAAAACACAAAAAAACCCCCCAAAAATTAGCCAGGTGTGGTGGTGGGTGCCTGTAGTCCCAGCTACTCAGGAGAGGCTGAGGCAGGAGAAAGGCTTGAACCTGGGAGGCGGAGCTTGCAGTGAGCCGAGACCCTACCACTGCACTCCAGCCTGGGGGACAGAGCGAGACTCCGTCTCAAATAAAAAAAAAAAAAAAAAAAAAAAAGGTTCAGCATCACTAGTTATTAGAAAAATACAAATTAAATCCACGAGATACCCCTTCACACTATGAGAATCAGCTCTGTTCTAAAGTCAAAGCAGGTCAAGGAGTCCAGGCCTAGACGTGGGCTATAGTCTCTCTGGCTGCCATGATGGGGGCTGTGTGCCTTCTACCAGCACTGCTGCTCCCTGTGGCCCCAGCCAACCCTCATGCGTCATCCAACACAGCTGCCCCTCCCTTCCCATTCCTGGGCCTTCTCATGGCACTCACATGCTGGGGTCTCTCATCTTGTACAGCAAACAAAAAGCACTCCCTCCTGGGCCTCCTGTATCTCTTTGGTCACCAATTTCTCTCGCTCTCTCTCCATCCTACCCTCCCTTTCATGGGCAAATGAATTACTTAGGAATCAACGACATTTCTCCATTTCCCCGTAGTCCATTCATTCATTCTCAACACATTCCAATCTGGCTGTAGCCCAAATACTGCCGATTTCTCAGACATAAAAAGCACTAATATTAAAAAAAAATTGATAAATTTGACTATATTAAAACTAGCACCTTCTGTTAATAAAAAGACACATATATTTATATATATTAAAAAATATATACATAGTTTTTTGAGACAGAGTCTCACTCTGTCTCAGGCTGGAGTGCAGTGGTGTGATCTCAGCTCACTGCAACCTCCACCTCCTGGATTCAAGCAATTCTCCTGCCTCAGCCTCTCAATTAGCTGGGACTACAGGCATGTGCCATCATGCCCAGCTAAGTTTTGTATTTTTAGTAGAGATGGGGTTTCCCCATGTTGGCCAGGCTGGTCTCAAACTCCTGACCTCAAGAGATCCGCCTGCCTTGGCCTCCCAAAGTGTTGAGATTACAGGTGTGAGCCACCGCACCCAGTCTCAAAAGACACTTTTTAAAAAGCTAAAAGACAAGGAACAAATCTGGAGAAGATACGTACCGAAGAATAGTTTATCATAAGGAATACAGAAAGGACTCCTACAACAATGAAAATCAGATAAAGTACTCAATAAAAAAGAGGGCAAAAGATGCAAGCAAGCATTTCACGGAAGATGAACATTTTACAGTCCACAAACAAGAAGATTCTCAGCCTTGTAAGTAAGCCAGAGAAAAGTAAATCAAGACCATCATGAGATACATTACACACCTACCAGAGTGGCACCAGTTAGGAAATCGAACAAAATCAGACTGCAGGGAGGGCACTGATCAACAGGCTGTTTTTTTGTTTTTTTTTTTTTTGAGACAGAGTCTTGCTCTGTCGCCCGGGCTGGAGTGCAGTGGCCGGATCTCAGCTCACTGCAAGCTCCGCCTCCCGGGTTTACGCCATTCTCCTGCCTCAGCCTCCCGAGTAGCTGGGACTACAGGCGCCCGCCACCTCGCCTGGCTAGTTTTTTGTATTTTTTAGTAGAGACAGGGTTTCACCGCGTTAGCCAGGATGGTCTCGATCTCCTGACCTCGTGATCCGCCCGTCTCGGCCTCTCAAAGTGCTGGGATTACAGGCTTGAGCCACTGCGCCCGGCCCAACAGGCTGTTATATACCTGGATACTGGAAGTCACTGATGCAACCACTTGTAAAGCTGGAAACAGGAATATACCCCAAACCCAGCAATCCCACCCCCACATACACAGCGGCTCTAGGAAAAGCAGCAAACAATAGTAATAGGAAACAATGAAGATGTCCATCAACAGAAAAACAGGGTATTCACACAACCGCCAACTAATGAACAGTAGTTACAGGCAACAACACGAAGACATCTCAGGAACACAATGTTTAGTGAAAATCTGCAGCTCCTAGGAACCAAACACAGCAAGTTACTCCTTTTCTAAAGTTCAAAAGAATTAAAACTGAAGAATACACTTTTTGTGCATTACTAGTTAGTGGTTTTGTGGAGGAAGAAAAAGTCAGCTGGGTGCCAGGTCACAGCACCCCTCATCTGACTAGAAAACAAATAAAAGTAAGGAGCTGGTAGCTGACAGTGACAGTGAGGCATGAACCAAAGATCCAGTGCACGTGAGGTCTGGGAAAGAATGAACATGCAAATGTATGCACCTTTATATCTCAAAAAATAGTTGATAATAAAGCTAGAAACACGGGGCATGCAAAAATGCTGTAGGAGCCCACTTCATCCACGAGGCCTCTACACGTCAACCACAGGCGTGGTGGGGGCTCCTACGTCACTACTTAGATGTCAACGGCCATACTCAAGAGAAGACTGTCCAATCAAAGATAAAGAGATAAATTATTAACTGGGCATGGTGCCTCACACCTATACTCCCAAAACTTTGGGAGGCTGAGGCAGGAGGATCACTTGAGCCTAGGAGTTTATGACCAGCCTGGGATCCCATCTCTATTAAACAAACAAACAAAAAAAGACGGCTGGGCACGGTGGCTCACGCCTGTAATCCCAGCACTTTGGGAGGCCAAGGCAGGCAGATCACAAGGTCAGGAGTTCGACACCAGTCTGGCCAATATGGTGAAACACCATCTCTACTAAAAATACAAAAATTAGCTGGGTGTGGTGACAGGCACCTGTAGTCCCAGCTACTCGGGAGGCTGAGGCAGGAGAATCACTTGAACCTGGGAGGCAGAGGTTGCAGTGAGCCAAGATCGCGCCACTGCAATCCAGTCTGGGTGACAGAGCGAGATCCTGTCTCAAAAAAAAAAAAAAAGACATTTGAAAGAAGACTCACTAGGGCCGGGCGCGGTGGCTCAAGCCTGTAATCCCAGCACTTTGGGAGGCCGAGACGGGCGGATCACCAGGTCAGGAGATCGAGACCATCCTGGCTAACACAGTGAAACCCCGTCTCTACTAAAAATACAAGAAAATTAGCCGGGCGTGGTGGCAGGCGCCTGTAGTCCCAGCTACTCGGGAGGCTGAGGCAGGAGAATGGCGTAAACCCGGGAGGCGGAGCTTGCAGTGAGCCGAGATCGCGCCACTGCACTCCAGCCTGGGGCACACAGCAAGACGCCGTCTCAAAAAAAAAAAAAAAAAAAAAAAAAAAAAAAAAAGACTCACTAAAAGCATTACCTATTATAAAAAAAAAAAAAAAAAAAAAAAAAAGAAGACTCACTAAAAGCATTACCTATTATATGTGAATTCCACATCCATAGGTTCAAAGTTATAGGCTTGTTCAAATTCTGGATTAATTTTAAGAGTTACATCTTCTTCATGAATCTAAAAAAGAAACAAACAATATACCTGATTTCTTGGAATAATGTGATATCTATATCCAGCAACACATCATCAGAAATGCATTCTACAGCTTTGAGCTAAAATTTGATACCTATCTGCAAAATTAGTTGAAAAGGATTAAATCACTATGCCATTCAATTATACAAACAAGAGGAAATGGATCACTACACTCAAACTTATTGAACTTCTATTTGCTGGGCTGTAGCCTCTCTTAAGGCTCTGAGAATAGAGAATGCATGGGAGGTCACTGACTCCATAGGACACAAACAAAACAACCACAAGTGTAGCCAAGTGTTACCTACTGTAAGGAAGCCTCGATAAGAAGGTCTGCCAGGTGCAGTGGCTCACACCTGTAATCCTAGCACTTTGGAAGGCCAAGGTGGGCAGATCACCTTGAGGTCAGGAGTTTGAGACCAGCCTGGCCAACAGGGCGAAACCCTGTCTCTACTAAAAATAGAAAAAGGAGCCGGGTGTGATGGTGGGCACCTGTAATCTCAGCTACTTGGGAGGCTGAGGCAGAAGAATCTCTTGAACCTGGGAGGTGGAAGTTGCAGTGAGCCAAGATCGTACCACTGCACTCCAGGCTGGGTGACAAGAGTGAGACTCCATCTCAAAAAAAAAAAGAAACAACAAAAAACAAAAAACAGCCATTACAAGACTTCTCCTTTTAGTAGAAAAGCCCTCCAGCTAAAGCAAGATCCTGCATGATCAGTTCTGCATATTCTTTCCTAGATAGTGTGGGTAGAAAAATAAGAAGGAAAGCCCTGATCCGAAAGGAGCTCAAGCTCTTCTCCAGGTAGCTCAGGCAACAGGGTGAGTTTCCTGAGGGTCAGGGCTGACACCAGCAGAGGGTCGGGAAGCTACGCCCTGGGCTGGCTTCCAGCTCCGGGAAGAAGGGAAGCAACAGTGGTACAGGGCTGTGGGATCGTTTCCGCTGAGGATGAGGAAGACAGACCAAGTCCTCACTGTACACAGGAGACACGCGTTAATCTACTTGAGAAGAGGAGGAGGTGGCATCCAAGAGAGCCTGAAAAGACGAAAATAATTTTTGGAGCTCAAAAGGATATGGAAGGTCATTTCAGACGCCAGGGTTTGATCAATGGCATGGAGGCCCAGCCATACGGCTCAGGAACCAGGGGCGGAGGCAGGTACCTTCCTCCTGAGATCTCTGGCTCTGCTTCTTTGGGGGTTTCGGTATGCGAGGTTTCCTTTCTTGGAACAGCTGGTCTACTACTTGGAGGCTAAGATGGTCACTCGGCCATCTTGGGCTCCTCATGTCAACTTGATCAACAACAAAAGTGGGTAATGGAGAGCTGGCGAGGTCATGTCACCCGTGTCTCACATCTCAGTACACAGGCCATGGCCTAAGTCATTACAAGATCTCTGAAATCCTGCCAAGATTTTGTCTTCTGGGAAATATCCCATTCTATGAAATCAGCCACAGCATGGACCCTGCATGAAGGTGTAGCCCAGAGTGACTGTGGCAGCAAAGGTCGGAGGCTGCCTCTTCTCCAGATCCTTACCAGGCTCTTCTAGCTCTCTCGGTCCTTCTTCCCTCTGACAGTAAAGGCTCTGGCATTCTCCATTCAAGTTTTCTACATTAAGTAATGTGTCGCTTCATCTTCTCTGATGCACAGATAAAGCACCTCCACTCTTATGCAGATCCCAGTATCGCTCCCAGTGCTATGTTCAGTACATGACCAGTAAAATCCAGCCCAAGAGTCACAGACCATCCCATGCAGAACGATCTGGAGCACCAGGAGCTACTCAAAGCCAAAAAAACCACCTTCACACAAACATCAGAGCTGCAAACTTGTAGGTGTATTTTTCCTTTCAAGGTTTCCACTCTGCGAGCTCTTCCGGAATACATTCAGAATGCCCGAATATAACTCAAAGCAAACAACATGACTTACATATAACCTAAAAGATAAATGTTTTATGTGGTTGAAAATTACAGAATTAAGTTTCCTTTATGCATCAAAAATTATTTAAAGATTCACTGTATCTTCACATTTTCCAAAATAGCCAATGCATATGGGAGCACCTCCCCAAGAGCCGTGGGGAGAACGTTACCTTTCCAACCAGTCAGAAGAGTGCGTCCAACATGAACTCATTAAGAGAGTGTGCTCTCACCTCAGTCACATAGCTGATGTATTCGATGGCATGTCCATTGTACTCTTGAGTTTTTAAAATCAGTTTATCACCTAGTTAAAAAAATATATTACCACGTTTAAAGCTAATACAAAATCACAAATTTCTGTGCTGTCCTATAAAATTCAACACGAGGAAGTTCAATAAAACATTACTGGGGTCAGGTCAGGCACGGTGGCTCACACCTGTAATCCTAGCACTTTGGGAGACTGAGGCAGGTAGATCACGAGGTCAGGAGATTGAGACCATCCTGGCTAACACAGCAAAACCCTGTCTCTACTAAAAATACAAAAAAAATTAGGCGGGCATGGTGGCGGACACCTGTAGTCCCAGCTACTAGGGAGGCCGAGACAGGAGAATGGCATGAACCTGGGAGGTGGAAGTTGCAATGAGCCGAGATCGTGCCACTGCACTCCAGCCTGGGCAACAGAGCGAGACTCTGTCTCAAAAAACAAACAAACAAACAAACAAAAATTACTGGGGTCAACTGCTTACAAATAATGAAATACAACAAAGAGGCCTGGCGCGGTGGCTCACGCCTGTAATTCCAGCACTTTGGGAGGCCGAGGTGGGCGGATCATGAGGTCAGGAGATTGAGACCATCCTGGCTAACACAGTGAAACCCCGTCTCTACTAAAAATACAAAACATTACTCAGGCGTGTGGTGGGCGCCTGTAATCCTAACTGCTTGGGAGGCTGAGGCGGCAGAACGGCATGAACCCAGGAGGCGGAGCTTGCAGTGAGCTGAGATTGCGCCACTGCACTCCAGCCTGGGCGATAGAGCGAGACTCTGTCTCAAAAAAAAAAAAAAAAAAGAAATACAACAAAGAAACATGCTTGATGTACATAGGTTGCTGATTTTTAGTGAAATTCTAACCCAAAAGAAAGAAAATGTGATAATGTGACTGTCATATTGCCAGTTAAAGAGTATCTTTTCTCTCTTAAGGGTGGTTTCTCTGCTAGTCTACCTAGGGAAGTATGCAAGTAACAAACACACCTGGGTATAGAGAAGGTCTCCCTTCGGCCAACCCTGGGACCTCCAGAACCAGCAGATCCCCATTCCTTCTCAAGACGATCCCGCTCATGTTATACTCTTTCAGTTCCATTTCTGCATAAATCTCCTCAAGCCACAGCAAAGTCGAAAACTTCTCCTTGTAATTTGACATGTTCAGAAGCTGGAAAACACATAAACGTATAGAATACAAAGTCAGCGACAGCGCAGCGGCACGCTGGAAAGCTATAAAGTCAGCTATAAAGTCAGCTACAGCGCAGTGCACGCCTGGAAAAGCTATAAAGTCAGCTGGAGAAGAGTGTGCACTGCTAAAGTCAGCGACAGCGCAGCGGCACGCTGGAAAGCTATAAAGTCAGCGACAGCGCAGCGGCACACTGGAAAGCAGCAGCTCTGTAGCGGGGAAGTCCCAACAGCTCCAGTTCAGCACATGGCTCCCCAGGTAGGGCAATTCTCGCCAGAGTCTGCTAATGCCTCAGTACGTTTCCCAGCCTTCAGCACGAGGGCCATGAGGCTCCAGCACACTCCCTGGCCTTTGGCACGAGGCTGTGGGGCTCCAGCTGGTGGTGTCCCTCCCTGCACTGCCCAGCACTGTCCACCCTCCCTGCTCTTTTTCAGGTTGTCCAAGTTAATTCTGGAAAGGTAGAATTTGGCTTCCACAGACGTCTGTGAAAAAAGGACAAACTTCTAGATCTGGCCAAGGTGGACTAACAAGGACCAGATTTACCCTTGTACCTGAAAAAAACTTAGAGACATAGAAATAGGAAATGATGGTGTTTAAACAATGAACATTACGCAGCACAGGACTGTGATCCCAAGACTGGGGAAACAATCCATGGAGGCCCCATGACTGACCCACCTGCACCTGAACAGAGCTCCTAGGCCCCAGCACAGAGGACTCGGGGAGCCGCATGGTCTCTGAAGAGAGGAGCTCTGGTCTATGGGGCTGGGTGCTGGGAAGAGCAAGCAGCACAGAGTGGTCTGGAGGGGTCGGGGGACCCACTCGGGACCATCAGTTCAGCACTGAGGAATGCACGAGACACCACCCTGCAAGACCCATTGTGGGGCCAGACCAGGGCCTCAGCATGAGGTGGGGGAAAACTCACAGCAGCCTGCCCGGAATCAGAAAGTGGGAGGGCAGAAAGTGCGTCTGAACACATGGTGGCTGAAAATTTCCAAATGTGAAGAAAACTCAAGGCCACATATTCAAGAATCCCAATGAACCCTGAGCACAAGAACAGGAAGAAAAGAATCTCTACCACCACACATCGTAAACCAAATCTATTAATATCAATGATAAAAGAGAGAATCTTTTTTTTTTTTTTTTTGAGACGGAGTCTTGCTCTGTCACCTGGGCTGGAGTGCAGTGGCCGAATGTCAGCTCACTGCAAGCTCCGCCTCCCGGGTTTACGCCATTCTCTTGCCTCAGCCTCCCGAGTAGCTGGGACTACAGGCGCCCGCCACCTCGCCCAGCTAATTTTTTGTATTTTTAGTAGAGACGGGGTTTCACCGTGTTAGCCAGGATGGTCTCGATCTCCTGACCTTGTGATCCGCCCATCTCGGCCTCCCAAAGTGCTGGGATTACAGGCTTGAGCCACCGCGCCCGGCCAAAAGAGAGAATCTTAAAAGCAGCTAAGAAGAAACAACGTTATGTGCAAAAGAGCAAAGATAAGAATTAAAGCAAAAGAACCCCATAAGAAAAACTAAAAAAATACTTAGGAGATGAATGAAAACAAAAACACAACATAGGAAGACTTATGGGAAAAGCATAAGCAGTGCTAAGGGAATTTGTGACGATGAGTGCTGATTCCCATGAGCACCGCAAGGAATCAGACAAAGGAGAACAAACTAAACCCAAAGATAGAAGGAAATAAAGATTAGAGGAGAGATGAACAAAAGAGAGAACGGAAAAACAATATAGAAAACCAGGAAAACAACAAGTTGGTTCTCTAAAAAGATCAACAAAATTGACAGACTTTTAGTAGATTAACTAGAAAAAAAGAGAAAGACATAAATTACTAAAATAAGATAGGAAAGTGGGAACATTACTACAGATTCTACAGAAATAAAAAGGATTATAAGAGAGTAAAGCAATTGTACACCAATACCCAGATGAAATGGACGAATTCCTAGAAACACAAAACCTACTAAGACTAAACCATGAAGAAACAGAAAATCGGAATAGACTGATTACTAAGGAGGTTAAAGTGGTAATCAATATTCTGAAAAGGAAAACCCCAGGACCCGATGGTTCCAAAGCTAAATTCTACCAAACATTTGAAGAATAACTAATACCAAACCTTCTCGAACTTTTCCAAAAAGATTCAAGAGGAGGGAACACTCTGACTTACTCTTATAAGGCCAGCATTACCCTGATCCCAAAGCCAGACAGAGACACTTCACGAAAAGAAAACTACAGACCAATATGAACACTGATGTAAAAATCCTCAACATGATACCAGCACACAAAATTCAGGAGCATATGAAAAGGATTAGCTGGGTGTGGTGGCTCATTCCTGTAGTCCCAGTTACTTGGGAGACTGAGGTTGGAGGACTGCTTGAGCCCAGGAGCTTGAGGCTGCAGTGAGCAGTGACTGAGCCATTGCACTCCAGCCTGGGCAACACAGCGAGACCCTGTCTCAAAAATACATACATAAAAGGATTACACCCTTCAATCAAGTGGAATTTATTCCTGGAATGTAAGGATAGTTCAATATCTGAAAATCAATTACTGCAGCAACACACATTAACAGACGGAAAGAAAAATCACATGATCATCTCAATACAGAAAAAGCAACTGAATTTTCTTTTTCTTTTCTTTTTTTTGAGACAGTGTTTCCCTCTGTCACCAAGGCTGGAGTGCAATGGTGCGATCCGATCTCAGCTCACTGCAACCTCTGCCTCCTGGGCTCAAGTGCCTCCCAGGTAGCTGGGATTACAGGTGCATGCTACCACGCCTGGCTAGCATCTGACAAAATTTAACACCCTTTCATGATAACATTTAACAAACCAGGAAGAGAAGAAAACCAGGCTGGGTGCGGTGGCTCATGCCTGTACTTGCCTGTAATTCCAACACTTTGGGAGGCCAAGGCGGGAGGATTGTGAGACCCCATCTCTATGATATATGAAAGTTAGCCAGGCATGGCGGTGTGCCCCTGTAGTCACAGCTGTGAGCTGTGATTACACCACTGCACTCCAGCCTGGGCCACAGGAGAGCCTGGCTCAAAAAAAAAAAAAAAAAAGAGAGAGAGAGAGAAAAAGGAAAAGAAAAAAAAAAAGAAAAGAAAAGAAAGAAAGAAAACCACCACCTCAAAATGATAAAAGTTATATATGAAAAACCCACTGTTAACATCATACTCAATGGTGAAAGATTGAAAGCTTTTCCCATAAGATTAGGAACTTCCAAGAGAAGGATGCTTGCTTTCACCACTCCTATTCAACATGGTACTAGAAGTTCTAGCCAGAGCAATTAGGCAAGAAAAGGAAATGAAAGGCATCTAAATTGAAAAAGAAGAAGCAAAATTATATGTTTGCAGATGGCATAATTTTATATGTAGAAAACTCTAAAAGATTCCACAAAAAACTGTTAGGATAAATAAATTCAGCAAAGTAGCAGGGTACAAAATCAAAGGACAAAAAGTATCTTCATTTCTAAACAACAATGAAGAATCTGAAAAGTAAGCTATGAGAGCAATGTATTTACAACAGCAGCAAAAAGAATAAAATACTTACAAATTAATTTAACCAAAGAAGTGAAAAACATATACAAAGAAAATGACAAAACACTGCTGTAAGAAATTAAAGAAGACATAAATAAATGTTAACATATTCCATGTTCATAGCCTGGAGGATTCAATATTGTTAAAATGTCCATACTAACCAACGCAATCTACAGATTCAATGCAATTCCCATCAAAATTCCAATGACAGGCCAGGTGCAGTGGCTCACACCTGTAATCCCAAGCACTTTGGGGGGCTGAGGGGGGAGGAATACTTGAGGCCAGGAGTCTGAGACCAGCCTGGGCAATGTAGTGAGACTTCGTCTCTGGGGAAAAAAATTCCAATGGTGTATTTTGCAGAAATAGAAAAATGCATCTTAAAATTCATATGAAAGATCTTGAAAAGCAAAATAAATTTTGCCAAAGAACAATGAAGCTGGAGGACTCAAATTTCCTGATTTCAAAACTTACTACAAAGCTGCAGCATCAAAACATCAAGTTGGTGGCCTGAGGAAGGAACTGAGGAGCACCCTCCAAGCCCAGCAGACCTGGGTCCCGAGGGAGGAGCTGAGGAGCACCTCCCCATCCCAACAGACCCAGGTCCAGCTTTTTCCGCCACTTTCTTTCAATGAACCATTCAGGCATTTGCCTGCAAACTCAAAATGACTGGGGGAGAGAGGACTGCACTCCCGACTCATGGCATCCTCCCTGCCCAGGATCTGTGAGTAAAACATACCTGAACTTGTTTCTATCATGGCAATGGATTGAATTGCACCTTCCAACCCAAGAACCCAGTGCTGCCCAGGCCGGGTTTTCCCTGGCATTGAGGAACATAAGATTGAGCTCCCAGTGCCAGATGGTCAGGCAGGCATAACCCGGACACAGGTCAGACGAGAGCCACTAGGGCGTCTGCCAGAATAAGTTAGTTTCCTGTGTGAGGAACCCCTGGTTATGGGGCATCAGCCTGTCCTCCTGGTAAAACAAGTATCCCCTGAAGGGTGCATGGTGAACACCCAGGTCCCATTCCCTTCATTCTCCTCAGGACAGGGCTGCCAGTTGCTCTGGCACTGGAGCTCCAGTTTAGCTGGGGACTCTCAGAACACCTCAAAGCCCTACAGAAAAAAACCCTCCTGGACAAAGGGCAATGTTCTCCCCTCAAACTGTCAAATTTCATAGACTTTTCATCCTTCTTGGACTTTTCTTCTCCAGACACCTCACTCAGAACATGCTCCTCTGTCTCTCATATGGGTGGGGACCTGGGCTCTCCTCCCCTGGACCCTTGCCCTGCTGGCTCTGTCAGGGTGATGTTAAGAGGCTGGAATGCTTCTTGCTCATAACAAAGGCCTCCTAGTCTAGCGAGAGAGGCTGAGTTGATGGCACAGGTATTCCTGAGTTCTTCTGCTCCAGACCCCAAAGGCCCTGTGCATGACTCCCAGTGAAGCTATGGGATGCCAGCCCCTGAAGCACAGCAGGTCTGGCAGTGTGCCTCAGGGCCAGACAGTGACCCTCGTTATCTCAGCTACCTGTGAAGAAAATGAGCCAGATGAAGGTCTGAACCTGAGAAGGAACCTCCTGGCTTTGTCAGAAAACAAGAGCATTAGAAGATGCAAACACCCCATAGGCCATCAGATACTTCCTACCTCTGCAAGTAATGGCTGGAAAGTCAGGATGTCAATTTTTTGTTCCACACATTTTCTAAGTCTATCTGGGATTGGATATTGTGGAAGAAAACTTGGAAGTTGTCGTCTTGAGTTCCTTAAAAAATTAAGTTCACAAGTTAAAAACAAGTCTTTATCGCCAGGTATCACTAGACATTCTTTTTTTTTGAGACGGAGTCTCGCTCTGTTGCCCAGGCTGGAGTACAGTGGCGCGAACTAGGCTCACTGCAAGCTCTGCCTCCCGAGTTCACGCCATTCTCCTGCCTCAGCCTCCTGAGTAGCTAGAACTACAGGCGCCAGCCACCACGCCCGGCTAATTTTTTGTATTTTTAGTAGAGACGGTGTTTCACCGAGTTAGCTAGGATGGTCTCGATCTCCTGACCTTGTGCTCCGCCCACCTCGGCCTCCCAAAGTGCTGGGATTACAGGTGTGAGCCACCGCACCTGGCCTAGACATTCTTACCTAAACATCCTGTCCTATTTTAGGGAGACCAAAGTTCATCCACTCACTGAAAAGAACTGATATATGAACAGCTGGTCTAAGGCAGTGGTTCGAAGCTTTTGTTTTAGCTCTGGGATCCTTTCCTCAAACAGTTTCCATGAGTCTACTATTTGTACACAGGTAAGTGTAGCTGCACAGGCTGTGGGAAAACAGGGCTGGAACCCCCAGAATCTGCTGGAACCAGGAGTTTGAAAACAGCTGTTTTTAACATTCTATGAGCTGAGCTCTTCCTACTGTATTTGTCATCAGGACTCCATCTGGGCCTATCCCTGCAAAGCACACATTAGGAAAAGGCTGCTCTGTCTGGGTCCTGCCTTCGATTTGTTTTTGTTGTTTCCCAGCCTGTGGTTTCTCTGCATGTTCAGGATGAAGAACATTGCTGCTCTGGAGGCAAGCCCAATGCAGCAACAGAGATGACAGGAAAGGGACAGACAGGAGAGGAGAAGCCAGGAGGGAACAGGGAAATGAAAAGTCAGAGTGAGGTCGATAAACCTCAATTCAGCGAATAAGGATGTTAGCTGGACCTTTATCCCTCATTCCCTCCTAGCTTTCCCTTTCAGTGCAGTCTCACCCAAGAGAGAAGCCCACATTGCTCTCTGTATTCCATTCACTGTCATCTCAATTTGGGTTCCACTGGCTCACCCCTCAACAGGAGAAAAGGGGTGAAGACACTCCCTGTGGTTTGTGCCAAGGGTTATGTCAGTGCTCACGTGTGAGGTGTATTTGGAAAGCATTGATTACTAACATGAACAAGGTAAAGGGAAACCAGGATGATCACTACAGGCTTAGGTCAACAGCCTGAACAGCTGACAGAACCACATGGCCTCAAAAGACACGCTGGATTAACAAAATGTGGTCGCTACCATGATGGGTGGCTAGAAACTCAGCTGGGAAGGTGCTTGCCTACAGAGCACCCAGAACAGATCTGCTAAGTGAACATGCTGCTCTAAGAGCCAAAGCTGCCTGGCACTGGGGGTCCTAGCAGGAAGTACAGTGCCTGTGACAGGCGGCCACAGATGGACAGCTCTGGAAGCAGGCACCCGCCAATGCCTGCATGGGCAGGTCCAGACACCTGGTGCTCCAGGTGTGCTTGAGCCAACCCGGGTCAGGCACTCTGGGTCACCAACCTGACCAGCAGGAAACTAATGTCCTTGTTTTAGAGATGCTCCCACACAATATGTTAATATTCACAGGGAAGTAACTGACCAGGGGGTTAAAATCCTTGTGACTGTTGCTTTGTGCATTTTACTCTTTGTGTTAAGCCAAATGCTAACTAGAAAACTGCTTGGTGTGTCACTAGATGAGAACCAGGGATCCTCCAAGGCTCCTATAATTAAAACTCGATCCTTGGGGACTCTACTCTGTCTGGCAGCCGAGGGACCTTCCTGCTCCTTTTCTGGGTTACATCCCTATAGCCCCTTGATGTTGAAACTGTGCCCAAAGAGTTAAAGAAACCAATGACTAACAGAAATTCTTGAGCCTGCAGGATGGGTGATAAGAAACAACTCCAACGCTGAGACTCCCTCTGCTTATGACATCAAAGGACTGGCTGAGATCAGCTAGAACCAAAATAGACAACTGGAGTTTGTGCAGAGCTTACTGACATCACAGCCTGGATTCCCACCACGTGTTTCATGCGAACTCCCTCCGAACTGGCACATGACCCGTGAGGTAGCATGAAGAGGTAACTACGCACACCCAAGGCCTTTCCAGCCCTCCCTTTTCCTTCCACCAACTACCTATTAATCCCAGACTCTACCCGCTAAACGTTTTCTGATAAAATTACTGCCTTAAAGTCAGCACAGAGAGACGCATTTGAGCTTGACTCCTGTCTCCTTGGGGGTTGGTTTTCAATACAAAGCTTTTCTTTTCTCAGAAACCCACTGTCGTAGCAATGGCCTCTAGTGCATCAGGCAGTGAGCCCCTTTTTCTCAATAATAATGTGCCCAGGGATGACTGCTTATTCACTTACTGAGTGATTGCTTTGTGCCAGGAAACTGTACATTTTACATGCATGACCTCACTCAACCTTCAAACCACATGAGGCAGGGACTATCATTTTACCAACAAGAATAAGGCTCAGAGTGGTTAAGAAACTTGCCCAAGGTCACACAGCTTCTTGGTGGTGGTGCTGTGATTCAGACAATGGTCTAACCTTAAAACGTAAACAACCACATATTCTTCTCTGGTAACAGGTTTTCCCGTCAGTCTGCAACTCAGTAGAAGTCCGTAATCCCTCATCTTGAACTGTAACTGGGGCAACACGTGATTTGAAATTCAGAATTTTCCCATATTACAAAAGTGACCCATCTCACCCTCAGGGGGCTCTGGGGTGGTAGCAGAGCTCAAACCCATCAGTTATTACAGCTGATGGAGGAAACGTCACACACACACGGGACAAAGTCATTAAACTTTAGAAAAGCCTGCTGTAAGGCCAGGCGCGGTGGTTCACGCCTGTAATCCCAGCACTTTGGGAGGCTGAGACGCGCGGATCACGAGGTCAGGAGATCGAGACCATCCTGGCGGACACAGTGAAACCCCGTCTCTACTAAAAAATACAAAAAAAAAAAAAAAAAAACCAGCTGGGCGAGGTGGCAGGCGCCTGTAGTCCCAGCTACTCGGGAGGCTGAGGCAGGAGAATGGCGTGAACCCGGGAGGCGGAGCTTACGGTGAGCCGAGATGGCGCCACTGCACTCCAGCCTGGGCGACAGAGAGACTCTGTCTCAAAAAAAAAAAAAAAAAAAAAAGAAAAAAGAAAAGAAAAGCCTGCTATTTCAGGGCTTTTTGGTTTTATAACTACAGAAGAGAACACGTGGACGTGAAATGCTTTCCTGAGACAAAACTCCAGTTAAAATCTGGGTGGTCCCTATGTTCCCCAGCCACAAGTCCCAGATCACACACTGTTTCTCTTCATTCTTAAGTGGTACCACATCTTCAAACAGGCTTCAGGTGACCCCACAATCCTGTTGCCCCCAGTGCGAGTGACACAGGGATGCCGTGCACTACACACCATGGCCTCGTCAGGATGGGAGAGGTGGTGGGAGCTGGGTGAGGCCAGCCTACTCTGAGAGCCATCTTGAGAACTGCCAGGGCAGAGTGGGGCTTGAGGGAGTGAAGGCCGTCTTCCTTGGGCTTCACGCTGCTGCTGGGCAGCTGCAGAGACAGAACTTGACCTTCAGAGTTCCATGGAAATGCACCCCGTCCCCCAAATACAATCATGGAAAGAGGCTTGAAACCCAGCAGATAAAACTGCCAGACCAAGAGCCACATTCATTTCACTTAGGGTACCTTTTCTGTGTGGTCACAACAACTGTCGTTTTTGCGGATGTTAATGCTTGTGAACTTTTAAGCTTTTTCCAAGAAAATGGTTCGCGCACAGCAATTAGTGACTCCTCCCCACTGATAACATTTACTTCAAGGTATCGCCCAATCAGGAAATCGGAAAAACAAAGCAAAAGGAGCTCCTTGCAGCGGCCAGGATTTCTTGAAAAAACAAAATGAAATTTAGTTTTAGTCATAATTAAGACAAGCAGAGTCAACACAATTTTCCTTTGCACATACAAGAAAAGTGACAGAGCTAACAGTCATCTTTAGTCTTCAATAATTCTTTTTCCAGAGAAAAAAGAGATTTTCTAAAATAAGCTATGTAATTAATATTTTCTCAAGATAAAATTAAGCACCTATGGGCTGGGTGCGGTGGCTCAGGCCTGTAATCCTAGCACTTTGGGAGACTGAGGCAGGCAGATTGCTTGAGCCCAGGAGTTTGAGACCAGCCTGGGAAACATAGGATGAACCTGTCTCTGCAAAAAATACACAAATTAGCCGGGCATGGCGGTGCATGCCTGTGGTTCCGGCTACTTGGGAGGCTGAGGTGGGAACTCAGGGAGGTGGAGGCTGCAGTGAGCCATGATCACGCCTCTGCACTCCAGCCTGGGCAACAACAACAACAACAAAAATTAAGCATCTATGACAGTCTTTTTTGTAATCCTAACATATAAGAATAGGAAAGTTTTGATATTTCCATCTTTAAGTCAGAATTTTATGACATGACCAAAAACAGGTACTACACCTAATGTGCTTTCTGCCCAGCCCTTGCTGTGGCTCTAACTGGGGCTACACCATCCACACTACACGTTGTGCCCACCTATGACTGTTTTTTGTTTTTTTTTAAACCTGTTTCTATGTTGTCATAAGGTCAAAAAAAAAAAAAAAAAAAAAAGCACTGAAGCTGGCTGCACCTCACACAGCTGACTGGGCACTTGCCACCCACAGCTTGATGTTGATGAGCTGTGATTTCATCAGATTTAAGTTTTTTAAAAAATTGAGGATTAGACACCCAGCTGGAAGGCAATCACGCACCGTAGGGCAGCTTAGGCAGGGATGTGGGGACACAGGGAGCTGGAGGACAGGGCCTGTTTGGTCAGTTGATGTAGCCAACCACACCAGGGAGGGGGAGGGCTCAAGGTTGGTGACTGGCATCCCAGCTAGGAAGAGACCATCCCTGCCCCTCCCTCAGCACACTGTGCTGTCCGTGCCTTGGCCAAACACCCAGGTGACAGGATGGAGATGACCGAGGTTCGAGGGCTCGGCTACGGGGAACACGGGTAAGGCAGTGAAGGGGAGCCGACGTGATGTCTCAGAACAGCAGAAGCACAGGGAGCTTAGGCCTCAGAGAGCCTCACAGAGGCCCTGTTTTCTTTGTGAGGGTGACAGCGAGGCCGTCTGGTGAGGACCCTCATGAGTAGTGCGAAGTTACAGGATCCATTGCCCCAGGTGGGTCACACTTGGTAGCCGGCTTCTAGATCAAAGCTTTTTCTTAGGATTCTGTCAAATCAAAACAATCAGGTGTACCTTTTTGTTTTTTTGAGACAGAGTCTTGCTCTGTCTCAGGTTGGAGTGCAGTCATGCGATCTTGGCTCACTGCAACGTCCGTCACCTGGGCTTAAGTGATTCTACTGCCTCAGCATCCTGAGTAGTTAGGATTACAGGGGCCCAAGTAATTTTTGTATTTTTAGTAGAGGCAGGGTTTCGCCATGTTGGCCAGGCTGGTTTCGAACTCCTGGTCTCAGGTGATCTACCCGCCTCAAAGGAGTACCTTTTATAACGCCCAACCTAGAAATATCAGAGAAACTTAAAAAGGCAGCTTTCTTCAGACCTCCAGGCCCTTACTTTCCATCACATACGACCACAATGAAGGTTTTTCCCCCTGGAGGGACAAGCCCCCCAGGCTCGGGCTCTGTCATCTGCTTCCTTGAGAGAATGTCTTTTTCTCCATTTTCTCCTTTACAGGTATAATCACCTGGGAAATAAAAATTTTAATACAAAGTTAGACCAAAAGGCAAATTATCTCTAACAGTGCTGGCATGCTTAGTGGAAATGAAGACTCTCTCAAACACACAACACACACACACACACACACATACACACACACACACACACACACATGCACACAAAAACACAGGGCAAAGTCTCAGATGGTGGCTGGAAAAACATAAGCAGAGAGAGCAGCTGGAAGTAGGAAAGGGCTGTGACCACAACTATCCAAGTGCTGGGAAAGAAGGCCCCCCCTGGCGTGCCCAGCAATCTTTCCCTGCTTAGAAGCACTCAGGAGCTGGCTGCCATCTGAAGCACCTCTTGGTATTTGTCAAGCTGCTTTCTGTCCCTCTCCCTAACCTTGTCAGCAAGAGGAGAAGGGCCTGAAGCCGAAGAGCTCAGAGCACAAAGCACTGCAGCTGCCAGGTATTCTGGCCCCTGCTGCCTGCCCTCTGTCCAGAGCTCACAACTCCATGGCCCGCTCCAGAGCTCACAACCCCATGGCCCCTAGCCCACCCAACCTCATGCAGTGACAGCCGAAACGTCCACTACCTGGAGAGATTCCTCTGTTGTTCACCAAACCGTTCTCTGACATCTGAGAGATTGTGTTTTTTGTGTGGCTATTTAATGAATTAACATTTTCATCTGATGAATCCTCCTTCTCAGAAACAGAAACAAAAGATACTATGGGGCACGTCTGGTCTTTATCCAGCATTTGAAATCTGAATTGTTTAGATTGATCCCAGCCAGCCAGTTTACAGCTGACTAAGTTTTGAGGAATGTCTCCTTTATTCCTGGAAAAAGAAAATTAACCATGAACCCAGCCAGGATTTCTAAAACCAAAATATTCAGTTATTGTAAAACACAGAACTTAATCTAGGAAGTGGTGACTGCAAATACACTTACGAATATAAGTAAAAAGGACATTTTGGGGTAAAAAAGTTTGAAAAGACCTTCATAAAGAAAAAAATAAATGACCAAAGTTGGTTTTACAGAAATTATTACGTCACAGTTTAAAAGCCATTAATGTAGCTTTACAGAAAATCTTTCAGTGGCAAACTCACTCTATCCAGATCACCATAGTTTTACTTCTTCCTTCCTTTAGGGTTCCAAAATGTGTCATCTGTGTAACTTCAATATCACCTTTGTTCTTCAACAAAATGGTTCCATAGAACTGAGTGGCCTCATGAACGGGGGCGGCGTCTCTGAAAAAAGAGCCCCAGAAAGATGTCCCTCTGCAGCAGCACCACCCCTTCCTCACCTGCCTCTGCTCTTAACGATAGACTGCCGGTGGGGGCACTCAGAGGACCACTCCACCACAGGCAGGACTTCCACAAGACTTAGGTTTCTAAGAAGGATGGCAAATCCGAAGGAAGAAAATGACACGCTTCATGAAGTCTAGAGAAAAGGGAGCAGCCCAGAGGACAGTCACAGGGGATGAGCCTGAGAATGGTGTCCTGAATGTGCTCCCCGGCACTGCCTACCTCGTGCTCAGGGCGCAGAGTTAGGGTGGCATTCTCAGTCCTCGTCTCTCCAGCCACCTTCCAAGGTGGTGGTGGGGGAGGCAATGGGCCTTGCCTATTAGGGCTCCACTAAACTCGCTTTGGAAAGAGTTCTGTTGCTTTGAAATGTTTGAAAACAATGAAATAAGTTTTTTTCTTTAGAAAATGAAGAGATTTTACCTTTCCCTAAAAATGGACCCATTTACTTCCCCTTCTTCTACTGATGACGCAGGCTTGATTCTCCTCCCTGCCTCTCCACAAGCTCTTTCCAGAAGGTAAACCTGCTTCATGCCCCTTTCCAATCTGTGGCGCCATAAAAAAAATGGTCTCTAGAATGGCTCCCCACAATTCTGGCCCCTGCTGCAAACTCAGTGAGGTTCCCAGTTACAGAGCAGCCCCTCCTGGCAGGTGCCTGTCCGGCTCTCCCTTCTCCGTGTGCCCAGGTGTGGCAAGGGAGGTGCAGGGGCAGAGAGTCCACAGCGTTGCTGATGGAGGGGGTGGGGATTTTGCAGGAAGGAGTCGTCAGGTGCTACTGCCCTGTCCGTGGCTCAGCCCCCACAGAAGAAGCTGCGGAGCTCTTGCATGGGAAGGTTGCGGGAATGAGCGGACATCAGGAGCTTGCTCTCGGCACATGATCTGTTTCTGGGGTGCAGAGGGGCCGCCCCACCTGGGGCCACAAGCTGAGGAACAGGCGCCCTGGCTTCCCTGGCTCGCCCATCCCAGCAGCTTCTACTCTGTGGTCAGGAGGCCTCAGTGGGGAAATGCTGTTGGGGCAGAAACAGGTCTTTTTCAAGCATTTCTAGCCTAAAGAGAAGAGTGAGGAAAGCGCAGGTTTGGTGCTGTGCTGTCTCCTTCGCAGCCCTGGTGAATCCCACCCTGGTGAATCCCTGCAGACCCCAGGCCACACTGCAGGCCCGGGCTTTCTGGGCCTGATGCAAGAATGGGACGCCACAGCTTCCGCCTGGGGATGAGGTCAGAGAACAGATGAGAAGCCTGAGGAGTTGACTCAGACACAGGGAGGAGGTGCAGGTCAAGGAACCCCACCCTGTCTTATGTCCTGGCACCAGCAGGCTCAGCAGACTGGGCTGAAAGCAGAGCTCTTGTGCGTCCCAGGCCTCTGTGGTCAGATGGAGTGCATGTCACATCCTCGCCCACGAGATGGGCCCTAGACACCCTCCCAAAGGAAAGCAGGGTCCAGTGGGGAGGGGGAACTGGGCTCTGAGCACCCAAATAAGCATCTGCCAGTGTGCCATGGCGAGGTGCCTAGGAGGCAGAGCCCACCAGGTCCTTTCCCGTTAACACACCCCCATAGCCCCTAGTCCATCTTCCGGCAGCTCCCTTACATGGGGTGCACTGTTCCACACACCCGTGGCTCAGTTAACACAGGGTTGTCTGTCTGCACCCAGAGGCCCAGCCAGGCACCAGATACAGGGCTGGAAAGCAGACGCTTTCCCCAAACAGAACCTGCATTCTACCGGGATCAAAAATAAGTGGACTGATGGAGGAGATGTCTCAGAAGCTCACTGGTGGTGAGTAAGGAGTGTGAAAAGAAAATAAAGACTCACGGCCAGGTGCGGTGGCTCACGCCTGTAATCCCAGCACTTTGGGAGGCCAAGGCGGGCGGATCATGAGGTCAGGAGATTGAGACCATCCTGGCTAACACAGTGAAACCCTGTCTCTACTAAAAATACAACAAAATTAGCCAGGCGTGGTGGCGGGTGCCTGTAATCCCAGGTACTCAGGAGGCTGAGGCGGGAGAATGGCATGAACACGGAAGGTGGAACTTGCAATGAGCTGAGATCGCACCACTGCACTCCAGCCTGGGTGACAGAGAGAGACTCTGTCTCAAAAAAAAAAAAGAAAAGAAAGACTCGCTACCCCACTCACCATGCCAAAAGGAAAAAACTCAGCCAGAAGCTGAGTCATGCAAGAAGCTGCCTTTCCTTTGTCCCTAAGCAAAGAGCTATGAGACAAGGTTAAACATCTCCATGTTACCTACCTTCTCTTACATCGAAGTGCTGATTTACATAACCAACTCTCCCTCCCTGTTCCTTTTCCTTACCTCTTGCAAATATGTATCCAGTCATGTGACCATACCCTCTTTCTCCTCCAGTCCACTTTTCTCTTTTAAATACCGAAGGCCTCAAAATCATCCTCGGAAAAGGGCAAGAACCACAGATTGTTCCTGTGGATTTGTGGTCCTTTTTCCCAGGTATGTCCTTCACTTTGGCAAAGTGAACTTCTAACTTGATTGAGACCTGTCTCACATACCTTTCAGTTATAGGCAGGCAGGGAGGGGGTGGGTCAGAGCTGGGGCTGCCCCGCAAGTAGCGAACTCAGGGAAGCCTTTTCATGTCTAGCACACAAAGAACACAGATACAGGAAATCTAATAATTTTTTGTTTTAATTGGAGATGGAGTCTGGCTCTGTTACCCAGGCTGGAGTGCAGTGGCACGATCTCTGCTCACTGCATCTTCCGCCTCCCGGGTTCAAGCAATTCTCCTGCCTCAGCCTCCAGAGTAGCTGGAATCGAGAGTGTGTGCCACCATGCCTGGCTAATTTTTTGTATTTTAGTAGAGACGGGGTTTCACCATGTTGCCCAGGCTGGTTTTGAACTCCTGAGCTCAGGTAATCCGCCCGTCTTGGCCTCCCAAAGTGGTAGGATTACAGGCATGAGACACTGTGGCTGGCCGGAAATCCAATAATTTTAAGAACCATGTTCAATACATTTTTTTAAATGCCAAAATGTGAAACAACAAGAGAAAAATCCACCAAAAATGTCAATCACCAATGTAAGATGAAGGACGAAGAGGGACCCGTAACTCCACCTTCAGTCAACCATGGAGATGGCTGAAAGCCTCCAAAAGACAGTCTATCTTCTTTTGAGATGGAGTCTCGCCCTGTTGCCCAGGCTGGAGTGTAGTGGTGCGATCTCGAGAGGCTCACTGCAAGCTCCGCCTCCCGGGTTCACACCATTCTCCTGCCTCAGCCTCCTGAGTAGCTGGAACTACAGGCGCCGCCACCACGCCCGGCTAATTTTTTGTATTTTTAGTAGAGACGGGGTTTCACCGTGTTAGCCAGGATGGTCTCGATCTCCTGACCTCGTGATCTACCCTGCCTTGGCCTTCCAAAGTGCTGGGATTACAGGCGTGAGCCACCGCACCCAGGCAAGACAGTCTTTTTTTTTTTTTTGAGACAGTGTCTCCCTCTGTCACCCAAGCTGGAGTGCAGTGGCACGATCTCACCTCACTGCAACCCCTGCCTCCTGGGTTCAAGCGATTCTCCTGCCTCAGCCTCCCGAGTAGCTGGGATTACAGGTGCGTGCCACCACACCCAGCTAATTGTTGTATTTTTAGTAGAGACAGAGTTTCCATGTTGGCCAGGCTAGTCTCAAACTCCTGACCTCGTGATCCACCCACCTTGGCATCCCAAAGGGTTGGGATTACAGGCGTGAGCCACCATGCCCAGCCTCCTTTTCCTTTCTCTTTTTTTTAAAGACTGAGTCTTGCTCTGTTGCTCAGGCTAGAGTGCGGTAGCACGATCACAGCTCACAGCAGCCTCAAGCTCCTAGGCTCAAGCAATCTTCCTGCTTCAGCCTCGTGCCTAGCTGGGACCAGGGGCACACACCACCATGCTTGGCTAATTTTTTAATGTTTTGTAGAGATAGTGTCGCACTATGGTCCCCAGGCTGGTCTCAAATTCCTGGGCTCAAGCAATTCTCCTGCCACAGCCTCCCGAAGCGCTAGGGATGCTCTCCTTTTACCTCAACAACTCAGGGCTTGAAATGTCTACTATTTGGCTTATTAAAGTAACTCTTCAAAATATACTTAAATTGGGCCTTTCACATCCCAAAGAAGAAAAGCATTTTCTTTTATTGAGACAGAGTTTTGCTTGTCGCCCAAGCCTGAGTGCAGTGGCACGATGTGAGCTCACTGCAACCTTTGCCTCTCAGGTTTAAGCAATTTTCCTGCCTCAGCCTCCCGAGAAGCTGGGATTACAGGCACCCACCACCAGGGCCAGCTAATTTTGTACTTTTAGTAGAGACAGATTTCACCATGTTGGTCAGGCTGGTCTCAAACTCCTGACCTCATGATCCACCCGCCTCGGCCTCCCAAAGTGTTGGGATTACAGGCGTGAGCCACCGCGCCTGGCCAGAAAAGCATTTTCTTACCGCCTCTTCACTAGGGTCATACAGAGCGCCCTCCAGACGTAGCACGACTGGCTGCTCTCCACCACCACTGCATTGACCATGTCACCTCTCCGGGGTGTGTACCCGTCTGGCAGTTTCAAGGAGTCCAAGGTGAAGAAGATGCTTTCCTCAATCACCCCGTTCCTTCCACAGAGGCTAGAGATGCAGACCTGGGAGCACAGAGCTGAGTGTCACGGGAAGCAGGTGCTGCACGACGCCAGGGCACAGCTCTAACGCACACCCAAGTCAGCCCAAAGCACACAAGCTGCACCAGGAAGCTCAAGTCCGCCATCCCATAGCACTCGTCCAATATTTCTCTAACACACCTTTCTCCTTAGAACATTTGAGTACTGTCGTGTAAGCTGTAGACCTTAGAATTTAGCTATGCAAGCACTCGGGGTTACTATTTCCTAAGGAAACACAGCATTATCAATAGGAAAACACACTCCTCTTTGGCCATGACTAAGCTGTATTTTTCCAGGCTCCCAACACATGCAGGAGAAGCCTGGGCTGTGCAAGTTACCCCGATGGCAGGTCTGCTAGAAGCACAGAGAGGAGCCACTCGCCGGCACGCTACCTTGTCCACGCGCTTGTATCTCAGCGGCTTCACCGAGGTGGCTTCGCTGTTCCATGTGCCGGGCCGGATCTGGTACTCAGCCTCTACCCAGTCTCCCTTGCAGGGCTCGAAGCCTGAAACCGCCAGGGAAAAGCCATGGTAGTGTTAAAGTGCATAAGTTATTCTGAGATCGTGGTAGACTGAAATCATTTCTATCATATCTGAGGATACATTTAAACATTTAAAAGGCACTTTCTACTACTGTGAGAAACATATTTTGGAATTTAAAACCCTGAAGTATTAATATTAACCACTGCAAAAAAAGGAGCTGAGCTGGAGCCTCTCACTCACACCTCTAGGCTCCAGAAGGTGCACTGTGCATGCTCATGGCAGTCCTGCCCCATGTGGCACATCTGAGGGCAGGTGGCATCCCCCTTCCCCTGTCCTGCAGTGTTTGTGGCACCTCCCTGTCAGGGACACACACATGGTGCTCAGGGACAGAGAGACACCTGCGCTCAGGTGTGAGGGAAGCACTCAATGGTCCAGTCAGCCCCTCAGTGTGCCAGAGAGCTGGGCTGTGGCCCCAGCCATGGCCTGCCAGACGCAAGACACCACTGGGCCTCCAGCAGCTGGTGGAAAACTGCAGATTCAGTGACATGAAGTGGCTGAGCAGTGCTGACAGAACAGAGAGGTGGTCTGCACAGGTCTGCCATGGTATAGGTAGTTAAAATCTTTTTGTTATTTTGCAATAAGCACTCTGGAAATTCAAAAAAAAAGAGTATAATTGAATACTGAGTTTGTTTCTCCAGAAAGCTGGTGATGAACACGTAACAGCACAAATATCAGATGACATCTACATTCAACATGTGAGCCATGGTGAAATTACTGTCTATGTGAAAACAGAGGCTGGGTGTGGTGGCTCACGCCTGTAATCCCAGCACTTTGGGAGGCTGAAGCGGGCAGATTACGAGGTCAGGAGATCGAGACCACGGTGAAACCCCGTCTCTACTAAAAACACAAAAAATTAGCCAGGCACGATGGCAGGCGCCTCTAGTCCCAGCTACTCGGGATGCTGAGGCAGGAGAATGGTGTGAACCTGGGAGGCCGAGATCATGCCACTGCACTCTAGCCTGGACCACAGAGCGAGACTCTGTCTCAAAAAAAGAACAGAAAGAGGCCGGGCGCGGTGGCTCAAGCCTGTAATCCCAGCACTTTGGGAGGCCGAGGCGGGTGGATCATCTAAGGTCAAGAGTTCGAGACCAGCTCGACCAACCTGGTGAAACCCCATCTTTACTAAAAATACAAAAAAGTAGCTGGGCATGGTGGTGCACACCTGTAATCCCAGCTACTCGGGAGGCTGAGGCAGGAGAATCAATTGAATCCAGGAGGCAGAGGTTATAGTGAGCTGAGATCATGCCACTGCACTCCAGCCTGGGCAACAGAGTGAGACTCCATCTCGAAAAACAAAAACAAAAACACAAAAACAAAACAGTGACCTGGTCCCCTCTCCCAAAGTCCACTCAATATCCAAGACCCTCTGTGTAAAGCCAGCACCTGGAGAAGCTACTCTAATCCCCAAACCCTCTCCACAAACAAAGCATGCCCAAACCTGATCCCTTCAATGATGTGTGTAGCCATCGCAAACAGGGTTGTGTTCCGTCATCCAGGCTGGAGTGTAGTGGCTGGATCATAGCTCACTGCAGCCTCCAACTCCTGGGCTCAAGCGATCCTCCCGTCTCAGCCTGACAAAGTGCTAGGACTATAGGCACGAGCCACTGTGCCTGGCCCGTAACAATTCTTTAAGAGACAAAACCTAATTTTCAATGTGAAACAGACCCTTGAGCGCACCTTCGCACACACTCTCCAGAGAGAAGTAGGTGGTCTGACTGATACAGCCTGCGCCCTCCACCAGAGAAGTCACACAGCCAATCAGCACTCGGGGACTGCAGTCTGAGGGACTGCCTTGGTTTCTGCTGTCGTCTTCCCATTTATCAGAGACAGCTTCTACCTGTAAAACAAACACACTGCTCTTTAAACCATAATACAAGAACTACAAGAAAAGCAAACTACAGGCTGGAATGCCTGTCTGAGTCCATTAGGGCTGCAAGTCCAAGATCAAGGCCCTGGCAGATTCCGGGTCTGGTGAGGGCCTTCTTCCTGGTTCACAGCCGGTGTCTTCCTGGTGTGTCCTCACATGGCAGAAAGGGCAAAGGGGTTCTCCGGGGTATGTTTCATAAGGGCTCTGCCCCTGTGACCTAATCACCCACCAAAGCCTCCTAATAAGATCGCGCTGGGGTCAGGATTTCAACATATGTATTTTGGGGGACACCTACGTTGAGTCTACAGCAACCCTTTATGAACACTGATGCAAAAATCCTCAACAAAATATTATCAAACTGAATGCAGCAGCATATTAAAAGGATTATATCCCATGACTAAATGGGGTTTATCCCAGAATGCAAGTGTTTCAACATAGGAAAATCAGTCACCATATTACACTGATGAGGGAAAAAAATCACGATGATCTCAACTGATGCACAAAAAGCATTTGACAAAATCAACACTTTCCATGATGCACACTCAATAAACTAGGAATTGCAGGAAATCTCTTCAACACGAGAAAGGCCATAAATAAAAAACTCACAACACACACCACACTCAATGGTGAAAGCTTTCCCCTAAGATCAGGAACCAGGTAAGGATGCCCATGCTCACTTCAAGACTTTCAAATTTCAATTATCTTTATTCACAGATGGTAGGATCTCATCTGTGGAAAACTCTAAAGACCCCACACATGTAAATAAAACAAAAAATGGTTAGACCTAATAAATGAATCCAGCACATGACACAAAGTCAACATACAAAAATCAGATTTCCACACATTTGAAATGAAAAATCCAAAAAGGAAATCAAGAAAAAGGATTCCAAAGAAAGAGAAAACAATTCCATTTATAACTGCATTGTTAGGTTAATAGGTTAATCCCTAAGAACACTTAGTAACCTAATTAAGGAGATGGAAGATGCATACAATGACACTAATGAATGAATTAAATACCTCAATAAATGGCAAGACAACCATGTTCATGAATTTGAAAACCTAGTATTATTAAGATGACAATCTTTTTTTTTTTTTTGAGATGGAGTCTCGCTCTGTCGCCCAGGCTGGAGTGCAGTGGAGCAATCTCTGCTCACTGCAAGCTCCACCTCCCGGGTTCACGCCATTCTCGCACCTCAGCCTCCTGAGTAGCTGGGACTACAGGCGCCTGCCACCACACCTAGCTAATTTTTTGTATTTTTTAGTAGAGACGGGGTTTCTTCGTGTTAACCAGGATGGTCTCGATCTCCTGACCTTGCGATCCGCCCGCCTTGGCCTCCCAAAGTGCTGGGATTACAGGCGTGAGCCACCACACTCGGCCAAGATGACAATCTTAAAACTTAACTATTAAGATGACAATACTACCCAAAGTGATTATAAGTGATTAAGATGTTAATAACTAATTATTAAGATGACAATCTTAAGACTTAATTATTAAGATGGCAATACTACCAAAAGTGATCTATTACACAAATTCAGGCTGGGTGTTGTGGCTCACGCCTGTAATTCCAGCACTTTGGGAGGTCGAGGCAGGCGAATCACTTGAGGTCAGGAGTTCAAGATCAGCCTGGTCAACATGGTGAAACTCTATCTCTACTAAAAATACAAAAAAAATTAGCTGGGTGTAGTAGCAAGCACCTGCAGTCCCAGCTACTTGGGAGGCTGAGGCATGAGAATTGCTTGAACCCGGGAAGCGGAGGTTGCAATAAGTCAAGATCGCATCATTGCACTCCATCCTGGGCGACGGAACGAGACTCTGCCTCAAACAAACAACAAAAAAACCCCAACAGGCCGGGCGCGGTGGCTCAAGCCTGTAATCCCAGCACTTTGGGAGGCTGAGACGAGCGGATCACGAGGTCAGGAGATCGAGACCATCCTGGCTAACACGGAGAAACCCCGTCTCTACTAAAAAATACAAAAAACTAGCCGGGCGAGGTGGCGGGCACCTGTAGTCCCAGCTACTCGGGAGGCTGAGGCAGGAGAATGGCTTGAACCCGGGAGGTGGAGCTTGTAGTGAGCAGAGATTGCTCCACTGCACTCCAGCCTGGGCGACAGAGCGAGACTCTGTCTCAAAAAAAGAACAACAACAACAAAAAACCCCAACAAATTCAAAGCAATCCCTATCAAAGTCCTACGGGTCTATTTTTATATAAATAGAAAAACCCATTTAAAATTCTAATGGAATCTCAAGGGACCATGAATAGCCAAAATGATCTTGAAAAGGAGTAACAAAATTGAAGGTCTCATACCCCTTTATTTCAAAACTTCCTACAAAGTCACAGTCATCAAACTAGTGTGGCACCAGAGTAAGGACAGAAATATAAACCAATGGAATAGTAAAGAGAGTTCAGAAATAAACTCTTGCATGTGCAGTCAACTGATTTTTGACAAGGCCCATTCGATAAACTGCAATTGTGCAGTCTTTAAAAAAAAAATAGTGCTGGGAAAAATAACCATGGGCAAAATTAAATAAAGTTAGACCCTCATCTTACACCATACATAAAAATTAACTCAAAATGGATTAAAGAGGCCGGCCGTGGTGGCTCAGCCCTATAATCCCAGCATTTGGGAAGGCATGGGGTGGGCGGATCACTTGAGCCCAGGAGTTCGAGACCAGCCTGGGCAACATAGGGAGGCCCCATATCTACAAAAAATACAAAAATTGGGTGAGGTGACACACACCCGTAGTCTCAGCTGCTCAGGTGGCTAAGGTGGAAGGATCACTTCAGCCTGGGAGGTTGAGACTGTAGTGAGCTGTGACTGTGCTGCTGCACCACAGCCTGGGCAACAAAGTGAGATCCTGTCTCAAAAAGTATTTTTTTAAATGAATCAAAGACTTAAATCTAAAAGCAAAAACTATGAAACTCTTAGTAGAAAAAAATCTTAATATTCTTGGATTAGTCAACAGTATCTTGAGTGTGACATCAGAAGTACAGGCAATAAGAGACAAATTAGACTTCCATCAAAATTTAAAACATCTGTGCATCAAAGGATACTATGAAGAAAGTGAAAAGACAATTGATAAAATGAGAGAGAATATTTGCAAATCATGTATGTGATGAGAGATTAATATCCAGAATATATAAAGAATTCCTACAACAAGAAAACAACCTAATTTCAAAACGGGCAAAGGATTTGAGTAGACATTTCTCCCAAGAAGATATACAGACCGGCCAATAAGCACACGAAAAGATGCCCTCACAAATCATTAGGGAAATGCAAATCAAAACCACAGTGAGATACTACCTCACAACTACAAGGAATGGCTACTGCCAAAAGAAAAAAAAAAAGAAAAAGAAAATAGCAAGTGCTGGCAAGGATACAGAGAAAGTAGAAACCTCATGCACCGTTGGTGGGAACATAAAATGGTGCAGCTGCTGTGGAAAACATCTGGTTCCTCACAAAGTTAAACCTAGACTTACCATATGGCCCAGCAATTCTCTTCCTAGGCATAGCCCCAAAAGAACCAAACAGGGACTCAGACAGACACTTGTTCATGGCAGCAAAATTCACGACAACCAAAAAGTAGAAACAACCCAAGTGTCCATCAACAGATGAACGCAGAAACAGAATGTGATTTATTCACACAATGGAATATTCAGCCATAAAAAATGAATTAACTTTTGATACATGCTACATGGGCAAATCTTGAAAACCTAAGTCAAATAGCTAGACACATGATTCCGCTTATATGAGGTGTTTAGAATAGGCAAATTCATAGAGACACAAAGTAGAACACTGAATAACTGTTTAATGGGTACAGAGTGTCTACTGGGATGCTGAAAAGTTCTGAAGACAGATTGTGGTGATGGCTGCACAACAATGTGAATGTGCTTAATGCCACTGAACCGTACACTTCAACGTGGTGAAAATGGTATATTATGCATATTTTACCACAAGAAAAATACCTAAATAAAAAATAAATCCAGAAGTACTTTCAGGTTTATACTAAATGGGGATCATTCTCGTCAAGTGAGAATGGCTCACAACACAGAAACTGCTCATATTTTCCAACCATGTTAACAGTTCAAAGGAACAAAAACTATGGCATCATGTGGAAGATACTGAAAAGCACTTGAAAAATCCATTACTAATTTATAAAAGCAAGATTGTGAGTAGAGACGAACACTCTTCACCATAACAAAAAAGATCCTGCATTCCTAACAAGATGGAACAAGCGAAGGGCAGCTGACCACCAAAGGGGTTGGGACTTGCTGGACACCCAGGGGCCAGTTTTTCCACATTCTCACATTTCTGAGATCAGAATGAGTCTCAAGACCTATGTTTCCATTTTAAATTTTCATTATCAAATTAATGGCGTGTCTTAAAATCAACAGGAATTTGGTACGAGAACCTGCTTTGGAAGGCTGCGTGTGAGCTACACAACCACAGCTCAGAGAATGAGGTAAACATCATCTCCACAGGTTCTGAGTTCCAGATCCCCTTTGAAAGACTCTGAACCCAGAGTACTCCTTTAAATACACATAAAAACATGAGGACTATGGTGTCATTTCAAGTTCAAAAGGAAATCTTTGGAGGAAAAAATATAATTAAAAAATCGGGAGAGGGAAAGAGGGTAGTGTGAATGAGCCAGTTGTACATCTCTGATGATGGAAGTCCATAAATACTAACATTGGTGAATTAATAAAAGATACAAGCATACTGTTCGAGTGACTCCACTACCCACCAGATGAGGTAAAAACAGAAACCCAGAGCATCAGGTCTGCAGCATGAATGTGCAGGTGGGGAAAATGGAGGGAGGCTCTTCTACTTTGTATTCAGTCTCTAAGCCAGAGCTGACAGAAATGTTCTCTATGTGTGCTGCCCAATTTGGTAGTCACTAGGCTTCACTTAGCACTTGAAACGTGGCCAAGGAAACTGAGGAAATAATTTTATTTATTTTTAAGGGACAGAGTCTCTATGTGCCCAGGCTGGTCTCGAACTCCCGCCTCAGCCTCCCCAAGTAGCTGGGACTCCAGGTTTGTGCCACCATGACTGGCTGTAAGTTGCATTTACTTTTAATAAATTTAAACAGCTGCACATGAGTGGTGGCTACCATATTGAATGACGGAATTCTAGACTTTGAATTATTTTATTGGGTATGCATTTTTTTTTAATTTGAGAAAGATGATATTAAGCATTAGATAGTACTAACTATAATAGTGTAATAAAGTACATCTCAAGCATTTTATTTAATTTATTTAGTTTTTTGAGACAGAGTCTCACTCTGTCTTGCCCAGGCTGGAGTGCAGTGGCATGATCTTGGCTCACTGCAGCCTCCACCTCCTGGGTTCATGTGATTCTCTTGTCTCAATCTCCCGAGTAGCTCGGACTACAGGCGTGTGCTTTTATATTTTTAGTAGAGATGGGGTTTCACCATGTTGGCCAGGCTGGTCTTGAACTCCTGACCTCAGATGATCCACCCACCTTGGCCTCCCAAAGTGTTGGGATTATAGGCGTGAGCCACTGTGCCTGGACATCTTAAGTGTTTTTAAAAAGTAGTTAATAGTTCAATAAGTTTGCCAGATTCCAAATTACATTTAAAAACCAAAAGCTTTCCCATAAAGAAAGAAAAAGATAAATTTGAAAATACAATAGAAAATGATGTTGGCCGGGCGCGGTGGCTCAAACCTGTAATCCCAGCACTTTGGGAGGCCGAGACGGGCGGATCACGAGGTCAGGAGATCAAGACCATCCTGGCTAACACGGTGAAACCCCGTCTCTACTAAAAAATAACCTGTAATCCCAGCACTTGGGAGGCCGAGACGGGCGGATCACGAGGTCAGGAGATCAAGACCATCCTGGCTAACACACGGTGAAACCCCGGCCTCTTACTGGGGCAGTCACAGAGCAAAAATCTAGCCGGCGAGGTGGCGGGCGCCTGTAGTCCTGGTAGCTACTGGGAGGCTGAGGCAGGAGAATGGCGGAACCCGGGAGGCGGAGCTGCAGTGAGCTGAGATCCGGCCACTGCACTCCAGCCTGGGCGACAGAGCGAGACTCCGTCTCAAAAAAAAAAAAAAAAAAAGAAAAATGATGTTAATAGAACACATAAAAACTCCTGAAGATAAATTTAATAAGAAATTCACAGGACCTGGGCCGGGCGCGTGGCTCACGCCTGTAATCCCAGCACTTTGGGAGGCCGAGACGGGCGGATCACAAGGTCAGGAGATCGAGACCATCCTGGCTAACACGGTGAAACCCCGTCTCTACTAAAAATACAAAAATAGCCGGGCGTAGTGGCAGGCGCCTGTAGTCCCAGCTACTCGGGAGGCTGAGGGAGGAGAATGGCATAAACCTGGGAGGCGGAGCTTGCAGTGAGCTGAGATCCGGCCACTGCACTCCAGCCTGGGCGACAGAGCGAGACTCCGTCTCAAAAAAAAAAAAAAAAAAAAAAAAAAAAGAAATTCACAGGACCTAAATGAAGAAAACTATTGAACTATAAAAAGAATACAAAGGGCTGGGCGCGGTGGCTCACGCCTGTAATCCCAGCACTTTGGGAGGCCGAGGCGGGTGGATCACGAGGTCAGGAGATGGAGACCATCCTGGCTAACACAGTGAAACCCTGTCTCTACTAAAAATACAAAAAATTAGCCGGGCGTGGTGGCGGGCGCCTGTGGTCCCAGTTACTCGGGAGGCTAAGGCAGGAGAATGGTGTGAACCCAGGGAGTGGAGCTTGCAGTGAGTCGAGATTGCGCCACTGCACTCCAGTGTGGGCGACAGAGCGAGACGCCATCTCAGAAAGAAAAACAGAATACAAAGGAAGACTTAAATAAATGCACAGACATAATGTGTTGTTGGAAAAGACTCCACATGACCCAAATATCAGTTATTCTAAATGAAATCCATAAACTCAGTGCCATCCAAAGCAAATCTGGGCAGAAGGGGAGAAGCAAAAAGACTCCAAAACTCATCCAGAACAACTGAAGAGCCGGAAAAATACCATATGCTAATAAGAGCAAGGAGGAGAAACCTGCTCACCACCTATCACAGCACCCATGCCATGAGACCCCCTTATAAACATCAGGACCACATCACATGCAGGTGGGATTCTGGTGCATGATTAAAGAATTTCCAAATCAGCAGGGAAAAAGTGAGCGACGCAGATGACTGGCTAGCCATTAGGAAAGCAATGTCTGGTTCCCTCTCTCAGTCTGTGCACTAAAATAAATTCCAGGCCGGTCAAATATTTAAATATCAAGAAACAGGCCAGGCATGGTGGCTTATGCCTGTAATCCCAACACATTGGGAGGCCGAGGTAGAAGGATCACTTGAGGCCAGGAGTTTCAGATCAGCCTATGCAACAGAGATGTCATTTCTACAAAAAATTTTAAAAATTAGTCAGGTGAGATGGTGTGTACCTGTGGTCCCAGCTACTCAGGAGGCTAGGGTGGAAGAATCGCTTGAGCTCAGGAATTTGAGGCTGCAGTGAGCTAATGGCACTACTATACTCCAGCCTGGGTGACAGTGCAAAGCTCTGTCTCAAAAATTTAAAAAAAAAAAAATTCCAATTGTCAATAAACAATTTTCAGGGTAAAATCTGAATATTAGAAATAAGAAGTGGAATAAGCCTCCCCAAGGCTTCTTATAGCATCCAAAAGCTACATGGAAAAGAGGCACACTTAACTACAAAAAATGAAACTATAAAACACAAAGATGATCCTGGGGAAAATATTCCTAACACTTTTATATAATAATTTTCCTTAAAAAGCTCTAATTTCGGCCGGGCACGATGGCTCACACCTGTAATCCCAGCACTTTGGGAGACTGAGGCAGGCGGACCATGAGGTCCAGAGATTGAGACCATCCTGGCTAACACAGTGAAACCCCGTCTCTACTAAAAATACAAACAAATTAGCCGGGCATGGTGATGGGCGTCTGTAGTCCCAGCTACTCGGGAGGCTGAGGCAGGAGAATGGTGTGAATCCGGGAGGCAGGGGAGCTTGCAGTGAGTAGAGATCGCGCCACTGCACTCCAGCCTGGGCGACAGAGCAAGACTGTCTCAAAAAAAAAAAAAAAAAGCTCTAATTTCCCTAATATATAAGCTTTAACAAGAGAAAAGGTTGAACTCAACAAAAATGTGAACACAGGACACAAAAATAATTCATAGAAAATACATGAAGCCAGGCGCCAGGCGCGGTGGCTCATGCCTGTAATCCTAGCACTTTGGGAGGCCGAGGCAGGTGGATCACGAGGTCAGGAGATCGAGACTATCCTGGCTAACACGGTGAAACCCTGTCTCTACTAAAAATACAAAAATATTAACTGGGCGTGGTGGTGGGTGCCTGTAGTCCCAGCTACTCAGGAGGCTGAGGCAGGAGAATGGCGTGAACCCGGGAGGCGGAGCTTGCAGTGAGCCGACTCCAGCCTAGGCAACAGAGACTCCATCTCAGAAAAAAGAAAAAACATGAAAAGTTACCATACTTAAGGCTTAAATGCAAATCAAGTGCAGTCTCTCATTCTGCTCCTAAGAGTATAAATTAGTATATTATTGATGTTACTTTGGTGATAACCATTAAATTGTTCAAAAAGCACAAAAATAATAGACACATAATTGCTATGTTTTCCACAGCATAAATTCATAGGCAAGCTTTACTTTCTAAAGTATACATGTCTATGTTGTTTGAATGATTTACAATGACTGCTGTTTATTTACAGAGACAGGGTCTTGCTCTGTCACCCAGGCTGGAGTATGGTCCTGCGATCATAATTCACTGCAGCCTCAACCTTCTGGGCTCAAGCAATCCTCCCGCCTCAGCCTCCCATGTAGCTGGGACTACACGCATGTGCCACCACACCAGGCTAACTTTTGTGGAGGTTTTTTTTTTGTAGACACGAGGTTTCACCATGGTGTCCAGGGTGGTCTCTAACTCCTGAGCTCAAGTGATCTGCCTGTCTCAGCCTTCCAAAGTGTTGGGATTACAGGCGTGAGCCACTGTACCCAGTCTGTTTATTTTTTAAAACAGAAATCATACAGAGCAAAAGCATCCCCTTGAAGGTATGTTCCACTCTCTCTCCCTTGGCCGGGTCATGTCTGATAGATTAAACACAAGGAAAACAACACAAAGTACTGTGGCAAAGAAAAACTGTTCCCAAATGAACTCAAACCTTACCCTGATTGCTTTCAGTCCATTGGACACTTTATTTTCTTCCACAACTGCAATCACTTCCTGTCCAACATTCAGAAGCACTTTGCTAGTCACAGCATCACTGGAGAAGTAGATCAAATCATCAATCATGCCATAATCGCTGCAGTACCTTGTCACGACACCCCGTACAGTTTTCAGCTTAGTGTCACCTGAGATGGGTAAACAAAAGTTATCTTGGCCATAAAAGCAAGGGCACACTACAGTGAAGTCCCACCAGAGAAAGGCAGAGTGCAAAAGCCTCCATGAAGGACTGTCGCCTAACGGGCTGACTTGAGACAGAGAATCCCATCAGAGAGTGCTGTGTCTGGAACGTGGGGTTTGGGGGCAGACAGCCCAGTTTCTTCTGAAGGGCCCAGGTAGTGGCTGTGGAGGTGACAGCCCTGACTCCACAGCAGACTGCGGGGGTTGACTCCCAGCTCTTCTACTGCCATTGGTGTAACCCTGGACGAGGTCCTTAACTACTCTGGGCCTGTTGCCATCTGTAAGATAGAGACTAATCGTCACTACCCAAGGGAGCTGCTGGAGGGTTCAGTGGCAGAACACACATGCATGTATGGACCTCTGCGTGGCTGACACAAGTTAAGTGCTACGTAAACTGCCACGTGTATCGGCATCTGGGAGATATTAGCATGCACGGTTTTATTAGCACTATCGATTATCTTCTTTCATCACCATCAGCAGCAGCCTTAGAAAACTAGAGAATCTCAACAAATATGCTGCTAGAAAAGGTTTGGGGCTGGGCAGGCAAGTCTGACCCAGGAGCAGGGCACCCCTCAGCCATTTGGCTACTGCTGCAGCCATGGTCCTGAGTTCTGAACGCGCCTTTCCTGCAGCTTCCAAGCCACGGGAGGAACCTGGGGCGCCGGTTACGGTACAGGCAAGGAATCTTAGCGCTGCCAAGAGCTGGAGCTCCAGCTACGGCTGAGGGCGTTCTACCGAAGAGACCCAGATCTGCGGAGCAAGTGCTCCAGGTAACACAGCCGGCCCCCCGGGCATCGGCCCCTGTGGATCCAGAGGCCCTGAACACGCTGCCTGCGGCAGGAAGCTCCCCTCCTGAAGCCTGCTCCTGGTTTCTCTCACAGAAGGCAACTAGGGACCCACTACCGTGGATTCCATTCCCACAGAAGGAAACACTGGGAGAAGCCACCAGAACCTCGGGAGAGGCTGGGTGCGGTGGCTCACGCCTGTAATCCCAGCACTTTGGGAGGCCAAGGCGGGTGGGTCACCTGAGATCAGGAGTTCGAGACCGGCCTGACCAACATGGCGAAACCCCGTCTCTACTAAAAATACAAAAATTAGCTGGGCATGGTGGCAGGTGCCTGTACACCCAGCTACTCGGGAGGCTGAGGCAGGAGAATCGGTTGAACCCGGGAGGCGGAAGTTGCGGTGAGCCGAGATCGCGCCACTGCACTCCAGCCTGGGCGACAAGAGCAAAACTCTGTTTCACAAAAACAAAAAACAAACAAAAAACAAACAAAAAAACACCTCGGGAGAAAGGAATCGTGCGGGAATCCGAGCGCATCCCGGGCTTTAGGAAGATGGGCTCGGAAGCAAGGCAAGGAAAAGGCGCGCGTGGGCGCAGCGCGTTCTGAAAGGACAGGCGAGGTCGGCGGGGCCGCGTTTTTCGGGGCTTTCTAGGCACACAGCCGCCGGTGGCGCTGCCCGCAGGGAGGAGCGACGGGGACACGCGCCTCGGCAGCTGCTCGGCGCAGAAACACAAAGTGAGGGCGGCAAGGGGGGCTAGTGACACCGGCGAGACCTCACGGAGGACGGGCGCCCAGGGCGGCGGGGCGTGTGGGGTCCGCAGCCTCTGAGGCGAGCGAGGGGAGACGAGGAAAGGCCGGGCCCAGCGTCTCCCGCCCGCCGCACTGCACTCAAAGACCTTGGGGCGCGGCTCCCTCGTGGCTGACACGCGAGGGTTCGGGACCCGCCTCCCGCCCGGCCGCCCCGCCGCCTCCCGCGAGCCACCTTCCGCGAGCTCGGGCTCCAGCCGCCCAGTTTCCTCCCTAGGGGTGTCCGCCGTCCTCCAGAAGAAGGCCACCAGCTTGGCCGCGAGGCTCAACATGACCCTCGCCCGGCCTCGGCCGCCGCCACCGCCGCCGCCGCCCGCACGCGACCGCGCCGCTCCCGCCGCCCGCGACCAATGGGGTCTCCGCGCCTGGGCATGCGCGTTGGGGTCGTCGCGCGAGCCGGGACCCGTATAGAGGGCGGCGGTTGGCGCCTGGCAGCGCGTGACGAGGCGAGGTGCCTGGTGGGAGTGACGTCATGCCGGGCGCGCAAGGCGCTGTACCCGCCGGGTGGGCGGGGCTTCGGGGGCGGGCGTGGCCTCGCGTGAGTGGGCGGAGCTTCGCGGGGGTCCGCCTTCTTGCTGCCCACACCTTAGGGAAAAGTGCGCGATCTTTCACCGCCCAGAGTGATGTTAGGAGTCGTTTTTTGTGGGTGTTCTTTATTAAGTTGGGGACGTTCCCTCTAGTCCTATTTTTCCAAGAGTTCTTACAAGTGGGTGTGAAATTTTCTGCAACGCTTTTCTACGTGTATTCAAATGATCCTGTAGCTTTTTATCTCAGCCTGTATAGGGACTTTCATTGCTTGGCTCTCCTGGGAAAACTCACTTGGTCGCAATTCGTTATCCTTTTCGTGTATTGCCCAACTCAGCTTGGTAACGCTTTGTCCAGGGTTGGGGACGGTGCTGGTGAAGCAGATTGCTCTGTGGCCGACCTCCCGTTTTCTGTGTCTGTCTGGTTTGGGGTTGGTTTAAGCTGGGCCTGCAGTGACCAGGAAGTAGGATGGTGTAACTTATTCCCTAAAAACTGTAGTAGTATTCACCAGGGAACCCATCTGGGCTTCGAGTTTTCTTTGTGGGAAGGTTTTTAATGAGAAGTTCACTTCTGCATCAGCTAGAGGGCTATTAAAGTTATCAGGGTAATATTGAGTAAACTTTGGTAATTCTTTTAAGGAATTTGTCCATTTCATCCAATTATTAGATGTCAGATTATTGGCATAAAGTTGTTCAGCATATTTTCTTATTATCCGTTTATTGTCTGTATGATCCATAATGATGAACCGTCGTTCATTCTTGACATAGGTAGTTTATCTCATCCCTCTCATTTTCCTTGATCAGTCTATATTTATCAATTTTATTGATCTTTTTTAAAAAAATAATCTCTTGATTTCATTGATTTTTCTCTATTTTAAAAATATCTTTACATTTGGCGAGACCAAGGTGGGTGGATCACTTGAGGTCAGGAGTTCGAGACCAGCCTGGCCAACATGGCAAAACCCCAGCTCTACTAAAAGATCCTTGCTCCACACTCTCTCCACCCTGGTCTTCTCATCTCTGTCCTCACTGCTCAGACAGAACTCAGCAACATCGCTCTGACAGCAGATTGCGTCCGCTCTTCAAACCCTATTCAGAGCCCAGTCCCTCCTCACTGCTTGCCCATTGCCACCTCAATGCCAGGCAGCACCTGCTCCTCCCACCCCCCAGCCTGCTCTCTACCCAGTGAGTGACCGGATGCTGCTCTGCCCAGACCCCTCCAGCAGGTCCGCCTCAGAGTCCAAGCAGAGTCGTCTCCACACCCACAGGTGCTAGTACCCGGCTGTCCTACTTGTACCCCCCTTGTGTGGTCCTCGCCTGCCCTCCCCCACCTGTGTCCTTTGCTTTGCCAGCCTCCCCTCCCTGCCTCCTTCTCACTGAGGCCTGCCCTGGCGCCTGCAAACAGCAGCCCCTCATTTCTCTCCCCTGACTTATTTTCCCTCATAGAGGAAATCACATGTGTCACTGGACATATTAGTCTGTTCTCATGCTGCTATAAGGACATACCCAAGACTGGGTAATTTTAGGGTCAGGTCCTAATAGAGGAAAGAGGTTTAATTAACTCACAGTTCCACAGGGCTGAGGAGGCCTCCGGAAACTTACAATCATGGTGGAAGGGGAAGCAAACATGTCCTTCACAAGGCAGCAGGAAGGAGAAGTCCCGAGCAAAAGAGGGGAAAGCCCCCTATAAAAGACCATCAGATCTCGTGAGAACTCACTCACTGTCAGGAGAACAGCAGTGTGGGGGTAACCACCCCCATGGTTCAATTACCTCCCAACAGGTCCCTCCCACGACACATAGGGATTATGGGAATTACAATTCAAGATGAGATTTGGGTGGGGACACAGCCAAACCATATCACTGAATAACACATTAATTTGTTTATCCTGTGCACTCCCGTGCCCCCATTGAATGTAAACAGCCTATAGGAAGGATGTCACTTCTCTGTCTACCCCCGTAAATGTTTGTTGAATGTTGAATGATGATGGAACGTCAGCAGGCAGAGGGAAGAAGGGCATTTTAGGAGCAAGAATTTGTTGGAAGATCGTATGAAAGAAAAGGGCCTGTTCTAGAAACTAGCGTTGCCAATGGTAACATGGGAGCATTTCTCAAGTGACAACTTACGATCTAGGAAGCTGAGGGGTTTGCTCTGCAACCTCTGGTTCAGGGCAGCCTGTTTGCATTTTTTTTTTTTTTTTTTGAGACGGAGTCTTGCTCTGTAGCCCGGACTGGAGTGCAGTGACCAGATCTCGGCTCACTGCAAGCTCCGCCTCCCGAGTTTACGCCATTCTCCTGCCTCAGCCTCCGGAGTAGCTGGAACTACAGGCGCCCGCCACCTCGCCCGGCTAGTTTTTTGTATTTTTAGTAGAGACGGGGTTTCACCGTGTTAGCCAGGATGGTCTCGATCTCCTGACCTCGTGATCCGCCCGTCTCGGCCTCCCAAAGTGCTGGGATTACAGGCTTGAGCCACCGCGCCCGGCCCACCTGTTTGCATTTTTAAGTGGAGAACTTTTGAAAGAAAAAATGTTGAAATCCGATTAACATTTTTTTTCAAACAAAAAGAAACACAGGAGGATTCGATCCAGTTGGACTAATTCCCACTAATCCCGTTTATCGCTTTAAAAGACAGAAAAGAAGTTTGGGAGGTTTCTCAATCCATTCAGAATAGTTCTTGACTTCATGGATTATAGTTTGTGAAAATTATTTCTCATCCTTGCTGGATTGAAACAAAGACAACAGAACATTGACTGCGGTGGCTGGCATGAAATTAACCAACCCTAAAATATTAGTATAGCTTAAACTTTCGTTTATTGCTAAAGATTGATCACTGCTGTTTCCCATGGGGATGTGGTTGAGCAAAGTGTTTTGAGCTGCATTTATGTGTACTTGATACTTACTCGTTTTGATCAAGGTAATTTAGTGGACATTTTCACCGGGATGGGGATGCTTGCATGTGTAATCTTACTAAAAGCTAATAAAAGCTTATTAAAAGCATCTTGCTTGATTGAAACGAAGACAACAGAACATTCCATGGTCTGGAACCTGATGACTTTACTCAAGTTTTAATGTGGGTTCATGGTTTAAGGAGCTGGTTTTTCAGAAACTTTGGTTTGAGCCTTTTTACAATGTGCACAAAGAATCTGTTGCTGTAACTGTCAGGGTGCCAGTGTCTCTGGGCGACACACATTGCTGTGGTTTCTCTCTGCTTGGTGAGCAGAGATAAAAGGGGCAGCGGGACTGGGCCTACCAGCCGTCCAGGCTGCCCACGCAAACCACAGGGCCGAATCTGGAGCAGCCCAAGGGCCACACAGCTAAGCCGAGTGCGAGAATGCTTGTGTGACCTTGTGAAGGCGATTCCCACCGTGTGGCTGTGGGGGATAGAAAAAGTCTGCTTGGAAAGATGTATGAGACCTTTGAGCAAACAGCTATGTTTCAGAAACAGGGCCTGCTCGGAATGTGTATTTGGTGGGATTCTAACCTTAGGGATGCTTCTTTCTTCTGAGATACCCGAGGTCTTTGGCGAGTGACACAGGAAGGCCCTTCCTTTCCTAGTTGGGTTCTGACAGCTCCCAGGCAGTGGTTTATACAACCAAACATTTCTAGGATCCACCCGATTCCTCCCCTCATTGATATTCAGGAAGCAGCTCTCCTTCCCCTGCCTTCAGCGCAAGTTTGCTGAGCTTTTGTTTCATTTGTGAATAGTTCTTGCTGGAAGTCCCTCACCCAGAGACCAGCGCTCCCAACTGCCGAGCGGCGGGGAGGTAAGTGCTCAGACATTCAGCCGCTAAGCAGAGGTGTGTTTTACAATCTCTTGTTTAGCTACCAATTGGAGCAGTTTAATGTGCTTGAGTCCCCGGCGTGATGTGTTCATGGGCGAAGTTGCCAATGGAAGTTGTCAGGTGTTGTTGCACCTGGAGGGCCCACATGGCTCAATGAGGCATTTAAAGTGTAGAAGCTCACCCTGAACCCAGACTATTCAGGTCTGTTTTTCCAGGAAAGTTATTTTTTTCACTTTTAGATTCAAGTGCTCATTTTCTTCTTCAAATTTAGAGCACTTCAGTGTGAACAATATTTCTTCTGTTAAAAAATATTTCTTGGAAACAACTTATTGAAGTTTCTTCAGAGCGGTCAAAACCAATGATAATTTTATTCCAGATAAAGAACTGGTGACACGTGGCTGCACATTCAGCACAGCTGTGGTGTCCCCAAGTGCCATGACCCAGGAGCCATTCAGAGAGGAGCTGGCCTATGACCGGATGCCCACACTGGAGCGGGGCCGGCAAGACCCCGCCAGCTACGCCCCAGACACGAAGCCGAGCGACCTGCAGCTGTCGAAGAGACTGCCCCCCTGCTTCAGCCCCAAGACGTGGGTCTTCTCCGTGCTGATGGGGGTGAGTAGCTCTACACCAACACCTTGGAGGGCCACGAGCACCTGGTCCCTCTGGTGATGGACCGTGGCGCCCTGGAGCCCCAGGTGGGACAGAAAGAGCAACTCTCAGACTAACCCTGATGCTGCAGAACTCTTGGGTGCTGACGAGCTTGTTTTGCTTGTGTTTTCACAGTTATTTTTATTAATTTATGGGTGTCTGTTGTGCCAGCCTCGAGCTGCTCCAGGCTATGGCTAAGTCCCACCAGGGCAGGGACAGTCCCAGGGCCACCCATGGGCCCCGGGAGCCTCCATGACCCTTGGCTCTGGGGGTCCAGAGTCCTCCAAGGGGTCACCTGCAAAGGTGGGAGGAGGTGCCTCAGGTCAGGCCTCAGTGAGAGAACCTCAGGGACCTCCTCCTCGTAGGGAGAGCCACAGGGGCCGGACGGGAGGGAGCTGGTGCAT